ATTAGTACCATTCCCAACCTTTCTTTCACACTGTGCGGTGTGCATTTCAAAGCTATTCTGTGTACCTGTCCCTGTGCGCCATGTCCCAGGCAAAAGGAAAGGTGAACTCCTTGCATCCTTCTCTTCGTATCTGCATTGCAGCATTATACAGATCCTTCTCGTTCCCCTCCCCATGTTCTGCTCTCAGAGGGCAGAACAGGGTCGTGCGAAATCAATTTCAAGCAAAATTGACAATGCAAATGTTTTCTTTTGCACGTTGCAGCCTGATGCAGCCTTTGACATTGATTAACTTAAAGTTAACAGGAACTTAAGACTTGCATGCAGAGGTTTCTAGGTTCCTTGCAGGGTGATAGTGGGTGGTTAGGGAGAAAATAAAAAGAGCAATTTACAACAACGTTGTCAAAGGCTAGAGAGACCTCCTAGGCTTTGGGGGGATGTGTTGAGCACTGCTATAATTTGAAGTGATGGATGGATACTAAAACGTTACAGCACACTTTATTTCAAAGGACAGTGGGTGGTATTCAACTCAATTTTACTCAGAGTAGGTGCATCGAAATTCATTGACCTGACTTAATCGTGCTCATTAATTTCAGTGGCTCTGCTCTGTTTAAAATCCAGTTGAATGCCATCCTGTATTTTTCTGTTCTTACTACATGTAAAGATTGCTTGTAACTGAAATTATTTAACAAAACCAATAAATAAAATAAATAAGAAAGGAACATCCCAATATTTCAAAGTATGCTTGGGTGGAGATTTATTCACAGGTATGTAAATTTCCCTTAAATTTTTATTATCTTTCTACAATTGAAGAATTAGGCTGCAATCATAACCCCACTTACCTTGGAGTAAGGGCTCCTGAAATAAACGGGCCTTTATTCTAAGTAGGGATGTCTTGAATTCCAACCTTCATAGAACCAGAGAATCATAAAATTGGAGAGTGGGAAGGGACCGCGAGGGTCATCTAGCTCAACCCCCTGCAATGAAGGAATCTTTTGCTTGATGTGGGGCTCGAACCCATCACTCTCAGAGTAAGAGTGCCCTACCAAGTGAGCTAGGACGCAGGTGGCGCTGTGGGTTAAACCACAGAGCCTAGGACTTGCCGATCAGAAGGTTGGCGGTTCGAATCCCCGTGACAGGGTGAGCTCCCATTGCTCGGTCCCTGCTCCTGCTAACCTAGCAGTTCAAAAGCACGTCAGAGTGCAAGTAGATAAATAGGTACCACTCCAGTGGGAAGCTAAACGGCGTTTCCGTGCGCTGCTCTGGTTCCCCAGAAGCGGCTTAGTCATGCTGGCCACATGACCTGGAAGCTGTACGCCGGCTCCCTCGGCCAATAAAGCGAGATGAGCGCCGCAACCCCAGAGTCGGCCACGACTGGACCTAATGGTCAGGGGTCCCTTTACCTTTTACCAAGCGACCTACCCCATAAGCACTTTACCACAAGACAAATGGACCTGCTTGATAAATCCTTCCTCTCACCCCAGTATGGTCGGGCCTTAAATATTCTCTCTTTGGTTGTATTTGAGGGTTGATTTCAAAAAATCCTGCTGGAAAAATGCTTATGTCCATGTGGAGATGGCAGTATTGAATCAGTAGCGCATGTTCTTCTGGCTTGCACTCTTTATAACGATTTGAGGAGTGAGGTTATTACCCCTCTGCTACTATCCAGACCAGGTCGCTCAACCATTTGCTACTGTGTCCTTTATTCTAGCAGATCAAGATAATCAGGTGACAGCCAAAACTGCAAAAAATTAGCAGGGGCAATTAGAACAAGATCTATTATTTGATTATTGATGTAAACCTCCAAAATGTATTTTGTATGGTTAATTTTTTGCCTCTATCTTCAGTTCAGTGGTACCTCGGGTTAAGTACTTAATTCGTTCTGGAGGTCCGTTCTTAACCTGAAACTGTTCTTAACCTGAAGCACCACTTTAGCTAATGGGGCCTCCCGCTGCCGCTGCGCCACTGGAGCACGATTTCTGCTCTCATCCTGAAGCAAAGTTCTTAACCCGAGGTACTATTTCTGGGTTAGCGGAGTCTGTAACCTGAAGCGTATGTAACCCGAGGTACCACTGTACGTTGTGTTTTATTTTATTGCTATGGCTAGTGGCTGATGAAAATAAAGATTCTTCTGATTCTGTGGCTGGGCCTGTGGAATGACTGTGTGACAGAGCTGTGTCTCTTATGTTCGCCATCACAACACGGAGCACTGAGGAAGATGGGACACCTCGCATTTGTTATCTTGGAACCCATGCAAGGAAAGGGAAGCCATGCACTTTGGACAACCCCTGCATTGGGCTTCTGCCTTTGTGGACTGGACTCTGGGTAGAAATCAAAAGATTGTTATGGATGCAGTCCTGAGATCCCTGGCTCCTTGATGTCAGTGGAAAGCACAACAGTGGCAGGCATCTAAACAATCTGGATTGCAGCCAGAGAAGATTATATAAAACCAAATGTAGCTGTACTAACCCCTAACCCCTAAGGAGTTGGGAAGTCAAAACTCACAGCTGGGCAATACCTTCACGGGACTCAGCTATCCAGCTCCAAATAAAACATTTTAAGTGTGTTTTAAGTATGATACACTAGATGGTGATGGTGAGTCTTATGGAAAATTCAGTGTATTTTTAAAAACACTTTTTTAAATTTAAAAAAAACAAAACATTTTCAGAACGGTTTTTATGTGTGTAGATTCCACCACAAAAGTGCGAGAATGTTCTGAGTTTCCCAGGCTGTTTCGTCAGGCAAGGTGTTACACAAAACAGGAAGGGGGAAGGAGGAGAAAAAACAAGAAAGGAAGGAAGCAACTTTAAAAAGACACAGGCAGATTTTGTTGCCCTGCTTTGTGTAACATCTTGCTTGATCCAAGAATTCAGGAGAACACAAAGCTTGCCCCACCCCTTGGTTGGTCCCAAAAAGGCATTACTTCCCAGCTGCGGATTGAGTGATCTGCAAAGAACAGATCACTGGTCCAACAAGCTGTTAATGGAGCAAGCAGATCACCAAGGGATTGTAGTATTGTAGAATTGGAAAGGGTCCTGAGGATCATCTAGTCAAACCCCCTGCAATGCAGGAATGTGCAGTTGTCCCAGACGGGGATATTTTATCACTCAGCAGTTAAAATCCTTCTATAATACTAAAGAGTTCCTGCTCACCCAGGTATGTGGGGTCTCCTTCAAATGTAATGCAGTTGCTACTCAACAAAGGACTTTTAAGCTCAGCCCAGGCTACTCAGAAGCCAACCCCACTGAATTCAATGGGACCGGCTTCCATGCTAGGGCTGCCATACATTGGAAAATTCCTGGACATATCTGGGATTCTTCCGTCAGAAATAGCGACCGGGTGGAATTTCCAAAAATCAGTAAAAATGGCTGGGGAAACCTGGGCATATGGCAACCCAAATCAGAAGTGATGGGTTTTTTTGGCAAATTTCCTAAAAGATAGCTTTTAAAAAAATCATGGGGGGGGGGGATTTTGAAGAACTTTGCACCAGAAAAGCTCAACAACCTTTTGAAATATGGCAACCCTGTGAATCCAGGAAAGTGTGTGCAGGATTGCAGCCTAAATGCAGGAATAGCATGGAACCAGTGTGCAGGTAGTCACATGAGCCAGCTGCTGTGTGTGCGTGTATATCACTGCATAAACACACACAGGGGACAGGTGTACATTCACACACACATCACATCACATGTGATGGTCTAGACATGGATTGCACAATGCTGTCTGCGCAGGAGTCCTTTTGAGACAGGGGCCCTGTCCTGTTTTAACAACTTACACATCTCAACTGTAAACCACATGAACTGCTTGCCAGGAAATTTGTACATTGCTTGGAACTAAGCCTACTTTATGCGCCCTGAGGACACACGCCTCCTGAATCAGTTATTTTCGTTTAGATACCAATAGACCAGGGGTTAGCAAACTTTTTCAGCAGGGGGCCGGTCCACTGTCCCTCAGACCTTGGGGGGGGGGCAGACTATATTTTTTAGGGGGGAATAACGAATTCCTATGCCCCACAAATAACTCAGAGATGCATTTTAAATAAAAGCACACATTCTACTCATGTAAAAACACCAGGTAGGCTCCACAAATAACCCAGAGATGCATTTTAAATAAAAGCACACATTATTCACATGTAAAGACACGCTGATTCCCGGACTATCTGCGGGCTGGATTTATAAGGCGATTGGGCCAGATCCTGCCCCCGGGCCTTAGTTTGCCTACCATGCAATAGACTAACCATCTTTCCTTTGTTCCTGGTTGCCATACATTTGCTTTGAGCTCTGTCCAATAGGCAGTAGTTCTACATTTGCAGAGGCGCAGATGCTTTCAGATTGAAATGAACCAGAACAATGTACTCTATGTTGGAAATATAACCATCCTGGGAATATTTGACAGCAGGGGAAAAATATTTTCTAAATAGTAAAAACTAAAAACAATCTCGGATTAGAATTCCAACCCTAATCTCTTTCAGGGATATAATAAACCCATATGGAAGCAGCTTTTTATTTCAAAGTTGTTGTTTCCTTTCCTCCACCAAAGCTACTGTAGAAAATGAGTGAAGAAGCATTTCTCCAAATAATCATACACATATTTATCCTGCAGCTAATATAAAGTGCCTACAAACAGCAAAGAGACATGATAGCAAACATACAGGGTTTAAAAAGGGGAAAAAAGAAAGAAGAAGTCCACAAGATCACCAACTCAAATGCATACCTAAGCAGAAGAAAATTGGTCAGCTATAATTAATTTTTTAAAAATTGTTCAATGGAATCATGATCCTTTCAAAACTACACTGTCACCATTGTTCCTGACTGAGATCTGGTCCTCCTTTGCCGTGTCCGATACAAACATGCAACTGTGGGCAGCTCCCTTTAGATCAGCTTGTTTGCAGAGCAGCTTCTGAACAGGTCCACGCTTGCCCGATGGAAAGTTTCTCCTTAAAGAAAGGAAAAAAACCACTCCCGCTTTCTCGGTGAGGAAACCGTCCCAGAGTCTCCCAGGCCTCTCTATACTTGCTTGACGCTGTTCAGCAGGTCTGTGAGCTCGCTGATGTACTTGATGGTGTATTTCAGCGTCTGTATCTTGGTGAGAGGCTGACCCCTTTGGCTGTAGACGGGAGGCAGGTAGTTGCGAAGAGTGTGCAACGCTTCAGCCAATGTCCTCATCCTCAGCTTCTCCCTTTCGCTGGCCTTTCTCCGGCGCTGAACGGACATCCTGACTTTGGAGCCCTTGGCGAGGGCTTTGCCCTGGCCAGGGCCTGGGAGATAGACAGGAGGAAAGTCCATCAGGTTATAGCTCCTGTTGCTGCTGTCGCTGCTGCTGCTGCTGGCACAGGGCATCTCCATCACAAGGGGACAAGGCGAGGATGCATAGGATTCGAAGGAAGGGGATGGAGAGATGCTCTGGGGAGAGGAGCTCTGGCTCAGCTCCAGAGGCCCAGTCTTCCAGTCCCATGAGGAGAAGTAGGAAGAGTTCTCTGATTCCGCGCTCCCTTCCATGCTCACCAAAGCCTGGCCCGATTTGTGGCAAGGGGAAAAGCGGGAACAATTTCCTGTCAAAGCTGCAAGCAGGGAAAATCTGTGGCCTCCCTGTCTGCGGAGACCCTTTTATGATAGAGGGAGGGGTGGTGTAAGAAGTGACAAAATGGGAAACGGGGAGGGGGCCAAGGTGTGGGGAGAATTCAAAGGAAGGCAAGTGCCAAAATGGAAAATGAACTCCTGGCGGTGTTACTTTCCTCTCTATGATAATTATCAACCTTTGGCTAAAACCCATTTAAGCTAACAGGCTATAGTGAGAAAGAAAAGTGGTGGTGGTTGAGGGGGAGAGATTATCATCTTGTAGCAAAACCAATCGAGCCTTCTTATCTACATTTAACAGTGTCTTGGGAATAACTGGCAGTGGGAAAGGAAATATAGAAAACAGGCCACAGGATCAACACCTAGGTTTCAATTTTATTTGACTGGATTGGATTTAAAGTGGTAAATTGGCTGACAAGGACACGACGACAACAAACTCCTATTACAGACCCTTCCAGTGCTCCTATTTCCTGGTTTAAAGAAGCCATCCCAGTTTCTGATTTGATCCCAGAATGTCCCATTTTTCCTTAAAGGTAAAGGTAAAGGGACCCCTGACCGTTAAGTCCAGTTGCGGACTTTAACAAAATAGTATATATATTTTAAAAGTGACTATGGTGCTTCATGAAGAATAAATCAGTGTTAGGAATTTATTTTGTAGGGCTAAAAAGGTAAAGGTAAAGGACCCCTGACAGTTAAGTCCAGTCGCGAACGACTCTGGGGTTGCGGCGCTCATCTCGCTTTAATGGCCAAGGGAGCCAGGGTTTGTCCCAGACAGCTTCCGGGTCATGTGGCCAGCATCACTACGCCGCTTCTGGCGAACCAGGACAGCACACAGAAACGCCATTTACCTTCCCACCGGAGCAGTTCCTATTTATCTACTTGCACTTTGACGTGCTTTCAAATTGCTAGGTTGGCAGGAGCAGGGACCGAGCAACTGGAGCTCACCCCATCGCGGGGATTCGAACCGCCGACCTTCTGATCGGCAAGCCCTAGGCTCTGTGGTTTAGATCACAGCGCCACCTGCGTCCTTCATTTTCCTTAGGCTGTCCCCTGGAGAAATGTTGGAGGGCATGGAGTCATCCGACCCCTGAGCCATCTGAAGGCAGTCCTGTATAGGGAAGGTTTTTTAAAACTGTTTTATTATGTTTTTATATATGTTGGAAGATGCCCAGTGTGGAATGGGATGTCTCTATTTTCATTGGAGAAATGTTGGAGATTATGCTATGCTATATATAAAATATTCCTCGTGGAGTTGCTTCCAATAAAATGTGTTCCACTATGTCACACACACACACACTCACACACAAATACACCCCACAAACGCAGAATTGATTTCCCACATTTTACTCCCCAAATATACCAAACTGGAGGGATGGAGAAATGTATTTCAGATTTTTAACGTTCGCATTGTCTTCTTTGTAGATCTAAACATTCTAAATGTCCATTATGATGAACATTCCTTTTAAAAGCACACACCAAAAACAAGCATTAAAAGCCTTCCAAATTATTATAACCCCTATACAGCACTTACAGCTCCTTGCACAAAACAATATCGTAATATGCAAATATATTAGCTTTTAGAGGCAATATTGCCTTTTGCCTATCCACCACCACAGAATAGTACAGATGTTCTACTTGGAATAATTTTCTCATATTGGTCTGGATGGCTTGGTAAAATAATGGAATTCTTTCTGAAGGCATTTCGGTCAATCCCATTATCTACATTTAGCAGGAACAGTAGTGTCACATTATTTAGACAGAGCTTGGCTGACTCTTTCTAGCGGATGTAGCATAATGGTTTAGGAGATTACAGCCGCTATCCTTTTTACCTGGGAGTAAGTGCCACTGAACTCAATGGGGCTTACTTCTGAGTAGACATGCATAGTTCTGTACTATAGGTTGGGAAGTCTCTGGTTGCAATTGTGTCTTTGCTCTGAGCTCACTCAGGGCTTCCATTAACCTTTTTTTTTTACAGCTCCCTCATCTGCAATGCAGACATGAGAATAATAACTTACCTACCGGAATTGCTGGAAGGATTTTAGATTATTCATTTATTTAGAATACTTCTACCCTGCTTTAGGGCCCTGAGAGGCTGTCAAAATGAAACCTTGTACAGGAACAAAAATTACGCTGTCTCCATACACACCATGCATTAAAAGCATGGACCCAAGAATCCTGAGAATGCTGAGGTAAACCACAATTCCTGGGTTCTCTGGGGAAAAGAAATGTGTTCATCCTTGTTCCTCCCTAGTGTCATAGCCAGGCAGCAGTTCCACCTAAAATCCTCAAAAGTAAGGGAAGGGTCAGCCAGAACTCAGCGAACTGATTATGAAAGCAGCCTTCCTTTGCTGGTATTTACCAAAAAGCAGCTCTCAAGCTGAAATTCCGGAGTTATCATCATAATCATCAACACCATCACTAATAATAATAATAATAATAATAATAAAATTCGTGTGGCCTTTCCTCTCCGTATTGCCCTTTAAAAAAACACTATTATTTTTAAAAATTGTTTTTATTATTAAATATTCTCTTGGGTTACAAAGGTCCGTACAGCGTCTCTGCTTTTAGTTCATAGATTTCTTTCTACATATCATCCATATTCGGCGTGAGACGCAGGCATTATAGACAATATAAAATTGGGGAGGCGAGAGCTGGGGGGAGAGAAGGGGATGATGGCTAACTTTCATTCTTCTACATAGTGTATGTATAGGGTTTGTGTGTCAGTGTCACGCAAGTAGCTTCTATTTCTATTCGTTTCTTGGTTTTTGTTAGCCGTGAGAGAGATTGGGGGGAGACTGTGTTGCCCTTCTCATACTGAGCAGGTACAGGTACATACCCTTCAACATTTCTACAAAGAAAATAAAAACACTCTGTTCCATAATAATAATTTTACTGTTCATACCCCACCCTTCTGACTGGGTTGCCAACCACTCTGGGCAGCTTCCAACATACATTAAGAAGTAATAAAACATTTTTTAAAAAAACCTTCCCTATACAGGGCTGCCTTCAGACTGCTCAGGAGTCATATAACGCTATACTTTCCAATATTTCTCCAATGAAAATAGGGACATCCTAAGGAAAAGCGGGACATTCTGGGATCAAATCAGAAACAAGGTCGGCTTCTCTAAATCTGGGACTGTCCCTGGAAAACACTTGGAGAGTTTGCAGGTAGTTTTAGGACACATCAAGGCACCATCACTAACAGGGAAGCCATGAGCTAACTAAGAAAAAATGTCCGGGAGAATTTAGGCAACTAAAGCTTTCTGAATACTCAGAACTGCTGTGTGAGTAATAATGAGGGTGCTGCTGATGTTGACGATCTATTGACCACTGATCGTGCGTCTCTATGTTCCAGGGACAGTCCCGGATTTACATAAGCCGTCCCGGTTTCTGATTTGATCCCGGAATGTCCCACTTTTCTTTAGGACGCCCAAACCACAGAGCCTAGGACTTGCTGATCAGAAGGTTGGCGGTTCGAATCCCCGAGACAGGGTGAGCTCCCGTTGCTCGGTCCCTGTTCCTGCCAACTTAGCAGTTCGAAAGCACGTCAAAATGCAAGTAGATAAATAGGTACCGCTCCGGCGGGAAGGTAAACGGCGTTTCCGTGCGCTGCTCTGGTTCGCCAGAAGCGGCTTAGTCATGCTAGCCACACGACCTGGAAGCTGTACGCCGGCTCCCTCGGCCAATAAAGCAAGATGAGCGCCGCAACCCTAGAGTTGGTCACGACTGGACCTAATGGTCAGGGTTCCCCTTTACCCCTTTACCCTTATTTTCATCAGAGAAATGTTGGGGCGTATGGAGTTATGTGACCTCCGAGCCAAGGAGATAAGTAACTCTACAACCTTTAGAAGACATCTGAGCCGCCCAGATACCGTTAGCCCAAAGGTGGAAAGAGAAAGCAGTCCCAACCAAAGAAGATTGACAAACTAAGTTAATGGACTATGCTGAAATGGCAAAATTAACTGGAAAGCTCAGAAATGAAGATGACAAGAAATGTAAAAAAGAATGGGAAAAGTTTATTATGTACTTACATAAGTATTGTAAACAGGTTAATACACTGGCAGGCTTTTAAGAGCACTTGTAATTTTAGAAATAATGTAAGAAATTTGAGGTAGGAAAAAAATGAAGTAGAAATGATAAGCAGTTCAAAAAGAAATTTAAAGAACCAGGGGGGAGGAGTCACAGGATTCAGAGAATACAATTTTAGGGATTTGATATTGATTTTATGTATATTTTTCTTTGTTTGTGGTTGTCGTTGTGTTTGTTGTTGTTTGTTTTTTATTTTTGTTATTTTTGTTGGAAATTTAATTAAAATATTACTTTTTAAAAAACAGAAGACATCCGAAGGCAGCCCTGTATAGAGTAGTTTTCTTTTTAATGTTTAAAATATTTTGGAAGCCGCCCAGAGTGGCTGGGGCAACCCAATCAGATGGGGGCCCCCGGCGTAAATAATAAAATTATTATTTTTTATTATTGTGGAATAAGATGTTCCTACTTTCATTGGAGAAATGTTGGAGGTCATGTATCCCTTGGACTGCAGGCAGTGGAGGGCAAGAGTTAATTTCAATGGCACAGGCTTCTCAGAACTCCTCTCGAATTGTGATAGCAAGCTATAAGCCAAAATAGATGGACTAATTAAAATCTGAGCATTTGGGGTTGTGGTTATTAAACTTTGATTGCCGTTTTATATGAACGCAGAGACAAAGCGTTCCTGAAATTGCAGGCCTCGTTTGGCTTTCCTAGTGGAACACGAAGCAAAATGTACATAGAAAAACCAGCAGAAGAATCTGGAAGCCTGTAATGTTCCCCCAAAAAACATACCTCACTAGGAGGAATTTTCTGATACCTTTTTCTGTTGTGAATGCATGGCACTAGATGGGCACCCTAGTGTCTATTCACCCTAATGGCTCGCCTTCACTGATGGTTAGATACACAAATAGTCTAACCTGATGTGAGGCAGTTTCATACTTCCCAAGAAGAAAATTATTATAAATTAATTTGGGGATGGTATTTAACACCAGATTAAATCAAATAAACAAGGAATATTTGGTGTTACTTTGGAGGGAATACCAGGAAACAGGGAATTATGTTCACATGTGGCGGAGGTGTAAACATGTACATTTTTTTTTGGCAAAGGGTTTTTAAGGAGATAACAGAAACCATTGGGTTGAAGCTCATCGAAAGTGCAGAGGTAGCATTATTATCAATTTACGATGGTGTGGAAGGTTCACAGGCTACAAAGGACTTGCTCACAATTTTAGTGACAGCTGCACGAGTTATTATAGCTAAGAAGTGGAAGGCGCTAGCAGAATATACAGTGGTACCTTGGGTTACAGGCGCTTCAGGTTACAAGTGCTTCAGGTTACAGACTCCACTAATCCAGAAATAGTACCTTGGGTTAAGAACTTTGCTTCAGGATGAGAACAGAAATCGTGCGGTGGTGCGGTGGCAGCGGGAGGCCCCATTAGCTGAAGTGGTACCTCAGGTTAAGAACAGTTTCTGGTTAAGAACGGACCTCCAGAACAAATTAAGTTCTTAGCCCGAGGTAACACTGTAAAATGGAAGAATGGTATAAAGAGGTGTGGGATATAGCTATTAATGATAAATTAACATGTGCCATTAAGGTAAGATGGGGAATATGCAGGAGAAATTATTTTGAGGAAATATGGAGGTTGTTTGTAGAATTTGTACTGTTAAAATGGAAAGGGGTCAAACCATCGCAAGAGGTGCTGAAAATTTGGGAGGTTGGATAGTTATAATGGAATGGTCTCGGTGGTGCAGCACACATTTTTATTCTTATTTATTTATGATTATTCCTTTGTAAAAAAAAATAAAGAAAAAGAAAAGAAAAGTGCTTGTTAAAAATGATCTAATACTTGCCATTGTAAATTATACCACTTGGATCCCTCTTGCCCTTTGTACATCTCACCACTGAAGTCACTATCACACGATAAAAACATAACATTCTCTTTTCACTGTCGGTGTTAGGAAAGAACCAAGAAACAGACTTGTTCCGTTTTTCTGCGGCTAAAGGGGTTTTAATATATAATATCTAGGGAGAATTCATATTTGGGGGGTCTCTAAATTTTCTTCCACCTTGTAAAAATCAGGGCAGAGAGGGGAAAGACCTTTTCGGTCACCAAGTAATCTCATAATGTTAAAGGTTTTCGAGCTGTGCAGCTCATATCGTAGGCGTGCTTGGTGACACCATAAAAAAACAAGAAGATTTCCTGCCTGAGTGATAGGTTTTGGGTTTTTTTAATCACTCCAACAATTTATTCAGCAATTTGAAGCCAAGCAACATTCAATCTTCAGCCGGTCAAGGGAGCCGTGGACTCAAAAAGGTTGAAACCCTCTGTCTTGGAACGATGAATGTCTCAGGGTCATGTGTGAAGCAGCCCCAGAATCTGATTCGCACAACTATGCAGGCTGGGTTTCTTGATCTCACTGGTGTCTTGCAAAGGCGGTGTCCTCTGGTCACACACTAGCAAGATCAGGGCCAATATGCCATATCTGAGAACCTCCCATGTGAACATTTGATCCCCCCAGAAGTGGCAATCTCGACTGACTGAGATGTGACAGCAACTTCCCAATTCATTAAGACAACTGGCCTCTAATCAAGCGGCTTCCTAGATGAAAACAGTCTCATGTGCCGAATTTACACCTACTCACCTTTTAAGTACAACTTTTATGACTTGGCATTTTCCAGCTGATATTGAGGAGGGTCTTTTTAATGCCCCTGTTAACAGAAGTTGAAAGGAGATGACGCCGTGTGGTTGGTCTTCTTTAATGTCTGCTTCTCGTTTTAAGCTAACGCAAAAGGATCAGAAATAGTACAGAGTACAGGCTTGTAGTTATTATTTGAGCAGAGAAGAGTGAGGTTTCCTTCCTGTCAAAATGTACACTTTTTCCAAGCACAATTTCAACAAAGAAATCCAAAGACAATGTATTGTGTCTCTGATTTAAAGACCTATGGTAAATTCGGTATAAACACTTAATCACCAGCTTTCATTGCCTCACAAAATAGCTTCAATTTCCCCCAATCTTTGAAACACACACTCAGAAGTAAGCCCCACAGAGTTCAGTATGTATTGTACAGTAGTACCTCAGGTTAAGTACTTAATTCGTTCCGGAGGTCCGTTCTTAACCTGAAACTGTTCTTAACCTGAGGTACCACTTTAGCTAATGGGGCCTCCTGCTGCCACCGCCGTGCAATTGGAGCACGATTTCTGTTCTCATCCTGAAGCAAAGTTCTTAACCCGAGGTAATATTTCTGGGTTAGCAGAGTCTGTAACTTGAAGCATATGTAACCTGAAGCGTATGTAACCCGAGGTACCACTGTATAGGATTTAGCAATCAAATTTAGCTATCCTGTCTCCTCACTTGCCTTTACATAACTGGAATACTTGCTAAAGTGAGCTGATGAATAGTCTGAAATTTTATTTGGTATGAATGGTACGCATAGGTGTCTTTTGATAAGTTATCATTTCAATTTTTGCACAAATGTAAATAGGATAATGTTATAGGAATTAAAGGCCATGCCGGTACCTCAATACAGATCAGCTTAGATCTAGTTCACATTACCATTTTGTAATGGCAACGTTTAGCTGTTAACTGGCATGTCTGTGTCATCAGAGATCTAACACCCCAGCTAGAAGATTCATATCACTCCCTGTCACCTCAAATGTCCATCCTTTACATTCCAGCTTTTATTTAATAATAATTATTCTACAGCAATTCTTAGTTTGTATTAAGCTCTTTGCAGAGGGTTTAAAGGTAAAGGTAAAGGGACCCCTGACCATTAGGTCCAGTCGTGGCCTACTCTGGGGTTGTGGCGCTCATCTCGCTTTATTGGCCGAGGGAGCCAGCGTACAGCTTCCGGGTCATGTGGCCAGCATGACTAAGCCACTTCTGGTGAACCAGAGCAGTGCACAGAAACACCGTTTACCTTCCTGCTGGAGTGGTACCTATTTTTCTACTTGCACTTTGACGTGCTTTCGAACTGCTAGGTTGGCAGGAACAGGGACCGAGCAACGGGAGCTCATCCTGTCTTGGGGATTCGAACCGCCGACCTTCTGATCGGCAAGCCCTAGGTTCTGTGGTTTAGACCACAGGGTTTACACGACTGCAAATTAAAGCCAATTTTCTTATTACAACTAAAACAGGCATTTTAGACTGATTAAAGAAATTGGTAATATTATGGAAAATACATTAATAATACAACCAAGAAAGCCATCATTAGGGAGACTGAATGAGATAACATACAATGTATTAATCATAGGGCAAGGGCGGGGAATCTGTTGACAGTGGCTCAGATATTGATATCTAAATATTAAAAGTAACAACAAATCCTTAAGGGAATGGATATGAATGCATAAAATATCATTAAAATGCAGCTCCATTATAGTGGAGTCAGTTTACCTTTTGACCAAATGGTGAGAAAGGATTTGAATGCCAGTTCTTGAAATCCACTCTGCAATTTGCAGGAATTATCGCCGGTGTGGGGGAGCTTTGGTTCCCTCAGATAATAATAATAATAATAATAATAATAATAATAATAATTTATTATTTATACCCCGCCCATCTGGCTGAGTTTCCCCAGCCACTCTGGGCGGCTTCCAATCAAGTGTTAAAAACAATACAGCATTAAATATTAAAACTTCCCTAAACAGGGCTGCCTTCAGATGTCTTTTAAAAAGAAGATAGCTGCTTATTTCCTTCACATCTGAAGGGAGGGCGTTCCACAGGGTGGGCGCCACTACCGAGAAGGCCCTCTGTCTGGTTCCCTGTAACCTCACTTCTTGCAATGAGGGAACCACCAGAAGGCCCTCAGTGCTGGATCTCAGTGTCCGGGCTGAACGATGCTGCTGAACTACAACTCCCATCATCCCTGGCAGTCGGCCATGTTTTCTGGTGCTGATGGGAGGGGTCATTCAGCAACATCTGGTGGGCCAAAGCTTCCCTTGGATTAATGAGAAACGCCCCATACAGATCCTACATGCAAGTTTTCCCTGCTGAATGTGCTTGGTATACAATATGGTGGGAAGTTGCAGTACGAGCAGGAATCTGATCTTCCTTCTCGTCTTTTAGGCACGGACTGATGCCTTTGCATACAATATTGCTGTGTTCCACAGTTCTCCCTAATGCAAAAAAATGCCACTGTTTTATGCTGATGAGTGTGTACAAAAAACAAACAAAATGCAAGCTCCACTCTCCCCACAACCTCTGGCGGCTACCGCCATATAAATGAGGAATTTGTGTTCCAAAACGTACTCTCCTATTGCCATCAAAGTTTTTTACCCTGACATTTCATTTTTATAAAGCGTATGCTCAGAATAACAATCGTCTCCCATTTGTTTTCCTTTCCGCAATCTTGTCAGATGAGGAAGCTACATGACAAGTTGTTCGGGCTTTGTAGAGGAGCAGCTTTCCCAAATCCATCCATAACTTTTTAAAATGAAAGAATCAGCCTTCCAAAACAGATCTGATAATTATTTTAAAAATGGATTTTCCAAGCATGATCTAGGACACTTCCTCCCCCTCCCAGCCCCCTAAAATGACGCTGCCTTATGATATACTGTCATTCCAACAGGGGCTTCTGTGGTGTTAGAAAAATCAAGCTTGGTTCGTTCATAAGCCAGAGATTGATCTGCTAAAATTATTTAATGAGTTGACAGCCCCAGTCAAAACATTGTCAGAATCCTTCTCAGAAGATTCTGTGGTGAGAGATTTCCAAGGTCAGTTCATAGAAGAGGAGAGTGATTGAAAAGACAGATTTCCACACTCAGAACCTCCTGCAATGTCTGCATTGGTTTTGGAATCAGATGGGAGCATTCGAATGCATAAAACAACAACAATGACATCCTTGACCCATCTGCCATACTAGAGGCTGCTGTGATTCCTATAATCCTGGTCCCATTTGTCAGGCAGGAGCCTGAATGTACTGCCAAAATCTGGGTTGATACCTGAGTTTTGGTCTCATGCCTAGAGGTTGCACGTGAATGGCTCACTGTGCAGAGAAACCTGGGGCAGTTGCATTTAAATCAGCAGCTCTGTAGTTAATATACCTGGAACTAGATTCAACGCGAAATGCAATTCACTAATGCCCATATTGGCAGCTGTGGGGGAAGACGCAGATGAAAAACAGCTTGGCTCAACTCTAATTTCTTTGACTTGATCTGCCAGGCTCTGCCGCACATATTTATCAGACCATGGCAGGCAATCATAGCTCTCTTATTCACTAAAAGGTTAGAAGTGAAACCACACAGACAGATGCATCAGTCTTCCGGAGATCAAAATTAGTGATGGTAATGTCCTGGAGGCAGAACTGGAAGGGACTTCTGCTAAAAAGTGAAGGAGCTTTGGGTGCTGTGTGACTACATAGGCCAGAAATTGATGCAGAAGGACCAAAGGTCCCCATGTTTGATCCTTGCAATCTTCTAGTGGAGCTGTGGGAGAGACCTCGGTCTGAAACCCTTCAGGACCATGGACAGTACACGAAGACAACACTGTACTGATCTGGAAGGATCATTGTAAAGGACTCAGCATAAGGCATGGGTAAGCAAACTAAGGCCCGGGGGCTGGATCCGGCCCAATCGCCTTCTAAATCCAGCCAGCGGATGGTCCAGGAATCAGTGTGTTTTCACATGAGTAGATTGTGTCCTTTTTATTTAAAATGCATCTCTGGGTTATTTGTGGGGCATAGGAATTCATTCATTTTTTTCCAAAATATAGTCTAGCCCACCACAAGGTCTGAGGGACAGTGGACCGGCCCCCTGCTGAAAAAGTTTGTTGACCCCTGGCATAAGGCAACTTTCTATGCTCCTAACACAGTTGTCAGGACTGTCTGCTAGGACACACTTTTGAAGATATTGGATAATCTTACTCTTAATTTATGGGGGAAACAGTTTCTAGTCTAGAACGGTTTTGAAGATATGTTTGAAAATGTGTGGGCAATGCAGGCTGAGATCTCAGAAGCCAGAAGGGTGGCTGGATAAAATTACCAGCAGTTTGACGTTGGGGTCCAATACGCTGTACAGTCTTTATCTTTCGAGACGCAAGTGGGGCTTATCAACCTGGGAAGGAAGGAAGGAGAAGGAAAACTCTGACTGTAAACCTCCGCTTCCTTGCAGGATAACTTCAGGAGAAGAAAAGGCTAAGGGGCAAACCCTATGGAAATCCGGAGTGGAGTCCCTAAGACGGTCAGATAGCATCTTGTATGTCTCCTTCTGGCAACTCCTGCAGTCCAGCTGGTGCCAAACATATTGCCCTGTTTTCCTTTGGGCCACATCAGCAAAGCCAAGAGGGTCTTCTCATCTGGGCAGCCCAGGACTACCCAGATGGTAAAGGACCACTGGACAGCTGAGTCCAGTCAAAAGCGACTACGGGGTAGCGGCGCTCATCTCACATTCAGGCTGAGGGAGCAGGCGTTTGTCCAGAGACAGTTTTCCGGGTCATGTGGCCAGAAGGACTAAACCGCTTCTGGTACAACGGAACACAGTGATGAAAACCAGAGCTCATGGAAATGCCATTTACCTTCCCACCGCAGAGGTACCTATTTATCTATTTGCGCTGATGTGCTTTCAAATTGCTAGGTTGGCAGGAGCTGGGACAGAGCAATGAGAGCTCACCCCGTTGCACAGATTTGAACTGCCAACTTTCCGATTGGGAAGCCCAAGAGGCTCAGTGGTTTAGACCACAGCACCACCTGTGTCCCTGCCCAGATGACAAGACTAATGAAAGCAACTCTCTCTTTCTCCTGCAAATCTCTGCATTACCCAAAAGCCATCACCCAGAGGAAATTCTGAATGTCCTGTATGGGGAACAAAGGACTATGGCAGGAAGGACAATAGTCCCCTTTTCCTCAGGCTTTCATCCATGTTGAGCTACAGCAGTTCTAGTGTATTATGCCCTGTACAGCTCCTTCTCATGCTTACGAAAACCAAAATAAATTGTGCCTCATTGTACACATTGCAGAACAAATTGTGCGATCTAAGTGAATCATATGGAACCTATCTTTCGGGGGATTTTAAAATCCCTTGGAGGGTTCAAATAAACAGGAACCAGTGTACACCTTCGGTTTGTATCATACTGTTGTAGTGAACCTTTGTGAACTTTATTTAAAATAAAGATAGCTACAGTACCATAATGTTAGAACATGTGGTTTTGTGTTCTGGGCCATTCCAAAAATTTTGGACTACAACTCCCATCACCCTCAACCAGAATGGCTTATAGTCAGGGAGGATGGAGTTGTAGTCCAACCAGGTTTGGAAAAGCATGATTGGCATCACTACTAATCAGCTGCTTTGTTTGCTATAAATCAGACTAAGCTTGCAGCCTTATTACCTGAGAGTAAGCAACATTAATGGGATGAGGGTGGCGCTGTGGGTTAAACCACAGAGCCTAGGTCTTACCGATCAGAAGGTTGGCGGTTCGAATTCCCGTGACGGGGTGAGCTCCCGTTGCTTGGTCCCAGCTCCTGCCAACCTAGCAGTTCAAAAGCACGTCAAAGTGCAAGTAGATAAATACGTACAGCTCCGGCGGAAAGGTAAACGGCATTTCCATGCGCTGCTCTGGTTCACCAGAAGCGGCTTAGTCATGCTGGCCACATGACCTGGAAGCTGTACGCAGGCTCCTTCGGCCAATAAAGCGAGATGAGCGCCGCAACCCCAGAGTCAGCCACGACTGGACCTAATGGTCAGGGGTCCCTTTATCTTTAAGCAACATTAACATACAGAGACTTCCTTCCGAGTATACAGTTGTACTATAAAGCCTACAATCCGCTGCACATAATTAAGTGTTGTTGAGCAAAGAATGACATTTCCAGGTAAATATGTTTAGGATCTGGATCTGGAAGGTTGATCTAGGTTTTCCTTGTTGTTCCTAAGAAGAGCTGATCACTTCACCTGTTGTTTTTTAAAAAACAAAACACCCAAACAAGGATGCAGGCTGGTGGTTAAAAGATCAAAGACTATAAATGTGTCAAACTCTGAAATGCAAATCACCTGCCACAAAGTTGAAGGAGCAATTCCTGCATTGACACCTTAGTGTCAAAGGCTCCAATTAGGTTGAACTGATGGAAAAGAAAAGGCCAAAGACAACATATTTATCGCCTATTCAGATTTGTTATCTCCCCAGCTGAGTTGGACAATGGCATGAAAGTCTATCATTCCGAATTATCTCTCCCTAAATTTGTCAAGTGACCTATCCATTTATGGTGAAGTTGCACGCAATTGCTGAAGAGAGACTGGGGCTTGAGGGGAAACCACCACTGCAAATAAAGCAGCAAAGAAAATATGTCTCTTATACTTTGACATATTCCATATTTCTCCAAAGGCATCGACTCATCATGAAGATTTTTGATCTGGCATTTTTAGCTGCTCCTGATGTATATAACTTTCTGTGTATGGTAATTTGCATTTCATAGGTAGCTGGAAAGTGTTTCTGCTATATTTCTATCAGCGTAACATTATATGTCGATTTTACCAGGAAATATTTGGCAGCCCTCCCATGTGTTGAAAGAACGCATGGGGGGTTATAATGTTGTGCCAACATCCCTGCCATGGAAATGTTTCTCTGCCACCTGTGTGGGAAAGGCCGTTATTCAATTCCTATTCCTGGGAACTTAAAAATCTGCCTTATATGGAGTCAGAGTTAGTGGACGAAACCAATACTGTGGTACCTCTGGTTACGAACGTAATTCGTTCCGGAGGTCTGTTCTTAACCTGAAACCGTTCTTAACCTTAGCTAATGGGGCCTCCCGCTGCCGCCACACGATTTCTGTTCTCATCCTGAGGTAAAGTTCTTAACCCGAGGTACTACTTCCAGGTTAGCGGAGTCTGTAACCCAAAGTAACCTGAGGTGTTTGTAACCCGAGGTACCAGTGTAGTGGGTCCAGCGGTCAAGAAGGCAGTTTCAGCCTGTGTTGTAGAGGGAAGGAAGGGGCATATGGGGCTCATCCACCTGGGAAGGTAGCCCATCTAGCAGAAGGGAAACTCTGATCCTAAACCTCAGCCGCTTTGTGGGGTATATTTGGGAGAAAAAAAGGCTAAGGAGTAAACCCTACACAAATCCAGAGTGGACTCTTGTAGGCATCCTTGTGGCAACTCCTGCAGCCCAACTGTTGCCAAAGATATTGCTTTCCTTTCCTCGGGACCACATCAGCGAGGCCGCCTGGGCAGTCCAGGACTTCCATACACACTACCTAGGGAGGTCACTTGGCTGCTGCTAACATAGCTGGATGACTTCAGCCCTGGAGATGCAATCCATTGCCAACAATGGTACCATCTTTCCAGAGTTTCAGGCAGGAACCCTTCCCAGCTCTCCTGAGAGGGATTCAATTTGGGACTTCCTGTGGACAAAGCACTACTAGTGGAGCTATAGACCATCAGCCCCCTGCCCTACATCCAATCTCCTCCAGGCAAGGAGGAACCTGACCCAACCAGACTCCCTCTTCATATGGAGCAGCTCTACCTATGCATCAAACCCAATGGGAAGTGCACTGGTGGGGCCAGTGGGCCCTCATGCATTCCTTCCATCCATGGAGCAGTGGGCTGTGTAAGCACTGGTGTGCTTTTGAACTGCCAGGTTGGCAGGAGCTGGGACAGAGTAAGGAGGTGCGGGTGGTGCTGATCAGAAGGTCGGTGGTTCGAATCTGCGCGACGGATTGAGCTCCCGTTGCCCTGTCCCAGCTCCTGCCAACCTAGCAGTTCGAAAGCATGCCAGTGCAAGTAGATAAATAGGTACAGTACCTCTGAGGTGGGAAGGTAAACAACGTTTCTGTGCACTCTGTTTTCCATCACGGTGTTCCATTGCACCAGAAGCAGTTTAGTCATGCTGGCCACATGACCCAAAAAGCTGTTTGTGGACAAACACCGGCTCCCTTGCCCTGAAAGCGAGATGAGTGCTGCAACCCCACAGTCGCCTTTGACTGGACTTAACCATCCAGGGGTCCTTTACCTTTACCAATTCTATTGTATTCTTCTTTAGCTCTATGTTGTCACCCAGAGGCAAACGTGAAGAGAAGGTCCATCAGCAACTAATTAGCTATCTTACAAACATTTCCCCCTACAAAAATATAAATAAATAGGGAAGCTACTGTAACCAGGAGGCTGTCTTGCATACCTCCAAGAAACAATAATTAATCTTGGGGTTTTTTGAAAGAGTTGATTGCATTTTGCTGAAGCAGAAAATGAAAACCACATTTATTTACTGAAAGAGAATTTTAAATCTTTTTAGAAAGAATTTTCTGACCGGCTCCTCTTTCCTATCTTGAAGCCTTCTCTGAAAACTTTAGCATTAGCACTTTTAGGATAAAATGCAGACAGCTCACAGTGAGAAAGATTAATGGGAGCTGTTATCACGAGTCAAGGTAAAAATCTTTTCATGTCTAAGGAGGTGTTGAAGCTCTGCCATTTTACATCAGCAGATGAAAGGAAGCCGCAGTTAGCAATATTACTAGATCTGTTATAGGCTAAGTGCTACTGGTGAAATAATAAAACTCAGTGGTAGATTTAGCACTTTGCCCTTCAGGAAGGAAAACACGTCTTATTTCTAACACTGTCTCAATGTGCAGTGCAGCTTTCTATGCTAGTTTCTAAACACAGCCTCCCTTTGTGTCAAAGAGAGTGTTGATTCACTATATATGTATATAAAAACCCATAAATCTTTCTGTTAAAAAGAAAGGTCATCTAGATTTGATAAGAATTTAATTCTAGAGTCTTGCTTGGGGAAACAAGGTTTGGGAAGGAGTTTCCAGAAAGTAGTTATGTACAGCCCCCCAAAAACCCCTAAAGTCTAGTGGCACTTTTAAATACCTCCACATTTCTGCTTCTTTTCCCCTTCCAAGGAAGGTTCTTCTGGAAAGACATCCCTTTTATGATGGATTTTGTAACGTGCAAACATTTTCTGCAGTATAGCTACCACATATTTATCATTTGCTAAGGAATGCAAAAAGCCGTCTAGCACCTAGATATTAAACTAAGTTGCCTTTCAGCACATCAAAGGTAACATCTACAACAGTTCAGGTTTTCGGAAACTTTCATGTTTCACTTGTTTAAGCACAGTAGACATTTTCCTAGCTACAGGCAGTTTCATACCAACTCCTAACAGATCGAGGACACTATACAGCCTTAAATAGCTCAGGACCGCAATACCTCAAGGACCACCTATCTCCATATGAACCTACCCAGACCCTGAGATCATCTTCTGAGGCCCTTCTTTGTGTGCCTCCTCCTTGAGAGGTCCAGAGGGTGGCAACATGAGAACAGGCCTTCTCTGCAGTGGGTCCCCATCTATGGGATGCTCTCCCCAGTGAAGTTTGCCTGACGCCTTCATTATACACCTTTAGGCGCCAGGGAAAGAGGTTCCTTTTTAACCAGGCCCTTCCGTTGATCTGATTGACATCCAATGCCCTTTTAAAATGTGTTGGGGGTAAACATGGATTAAAAGCCATATAAGCAAACTTAGGGACGCGGGTGGCGCTGTGGGTAAAACCTCAGTGCCTAGGACTTGCCGATCGCATGGTCGGCGGTTCGAATCCCGGCGGCGGGGTGAGCTCCTGTCGTTCGGTCCCAGCTCCTGCCCACCTAGCAGTTCGAAAGCACAATTAAGTGCAAGTAGATAGGTACAGCTTTCTAGCGGGAAGGTAAACGGCGTTCTGTGTGCTGCTCTGGTGCCGGTTCGCCGGAGCAGCTTCGTCACAGTGGCCACGTGACCCGGAAGTGTCTGCGGACAGCGCTGGCTCCCGGCCTATAGAGTGAGATGAGCGCACAACCCTGGAGTCTGTCAAGACTGGCCCGTACGGGCAGGGGTACCTTTACCTTTTAAGCAAACTTAGTAGTGTCAGTTGAGAGTAGTGCCAGTTCAGTGCTGGTGGTTGCTAGGTTGCGGAGGTCCTTGTGACACGCCCTTCATTGTGACACCTCCCTCTGCTGGCTCCTTGGTCACTAGGGCTCTAGAGGCATAGCAATCTCCTTTGGTTTGATCATTCAGCAAGTGAGAGAGAAAGTGGATGGAGATGTAAGTAGACTTTCTCATCAGCATCTGCATTCTGTGCTGATAATGCTCCCTGGCAGTCTTAGGGAATGTTTAAAATAGGGAGGTCCTAAGGAAAAGCAGGACATTCCAGGATCACATCAGAAACTGGGACAGCTTCTGTAAATCTGGGACTGTCCCTGAGAAATAGGGGCACTTAGGGGGTCTGTTACCTGGCCTTTGACACCAGAGTTGTATTTTCAAGACTCTCCCTGTTGACATCCAATGCCCTTTGTTTTGGAGGGTGTTATTGGGCTGTTTTTGTTTTTATTATGTATTTTGTATTTTTATATTATGATCTTATCCTGTGAACTGCCCTGAAATCTCTGGGTATAGGACAGTATACATATTTAATTAATAGCAACAATAATAATTTTGGATGGTTGTAACTTGCCCTAGGACCTGCTGGTGAAGGAGGGTAATAAAATGAATAAATACAAAAGGGGCGATTTCTGGTTTTCCACTGTTCAGCAATACAGTGGTACCTCGGGTTACATACACTTCAGGTTACAGACTCTGCTAACCCAGAAATATTACCTCAGGTTAAAAACTTTGCTTCAGGATGAGAACAGAAATTGTACAGCAGTGGTACAGTGGCAGCGGGAGGCCCCATTAGCTAAAGTGGTGCTTCAGGTTAAGAACAGTTTCAGGTTAAGAAGGGACCTCCAGAATGAATTAAGTTCTTAACCCAAGGTACCACTGTATAGGACCAAAGAGGCAGAGAGGTAGATTAGATAGCTAATGCTCAGTAGGTGCAGGAACAACAGAAGCTTGACTATAAAGGAATAAATTCCATTTTATATATTTGTAAAAAGCTGAATGTGGATTAAAATCCATATAAGGAAACTTAGTAGTGTCAGTTGAGAGCAGTGTCAGTTGAGTGCTGGTGGTTGCTAGGTTGCGGAGGTCCTTGTGACCCGCCCTTTATTGTGACACCTCCCTCTGCTGGCTCCTTGGTCACTAGGGCTCTAGAGGCATAGCCATCTCCTTTGGTTTGATCATTCAGCGAGTGAGAGAGAAAGTGGATGGAGGTGTAAGTAGACTTTCTCATCAGCATCTGCATTCTGTGCTGATAATGCTCCATGAGTCTTAGGGAACAATTAAAAGATTAAGATTGGGAATAATTTAAAGGCTTCGCCAGCCCTTCTCGGCATCTTTATGACTCCACCCACTGTTTTGTAACAGTGAAGGGAAGTACTGTGGATGCTGCTTACAATTTAGGAAAAGGAAAACTAACAGGTCACGTCTTGGAAAAGGGTATTCTTTTAGGCACATGATAACTCACCATGGGAGCATTAAGCATGCCCCCTGGAGAGGGTAATATATCTTCCTCCCCTTCTTGCCTCCCAGGGCCCATCTTTCAAAGAACAGCCAAGATACAAAACCCTTCAGCATGCTGATGTTTCTTCTGTAGTATTATTAGTATGTGGTATTTGATGTTTCCCTTTTAAACATCCCTTCTCCACACTAAGCAAACCCATCTCTTTCAATGAGATGATGAGAATCCTTATAATATCCAGAGGGTGCTATTCTGGCTAGTCTTCAAGGACTCTCTTCACAGGATACCCATAATGATATGCCTAGGAAAGTGACTTCATCTTGCGCTCTGAGTTGTGAATGCCCAAACCAGTTTAGGGATGTAGATCAGGAGAGTGCTGTGAGTCCCATTTCTCACCTTTTGATGGGCCTTTTCTGCAGCGGCTCCCCGTCTGTGGGATGCTCTCCCCAGGAAAGTTCGCCTGGCGCCTTCATTGGACACCTTTAGGCGTCAGGCAAAAAGGTTCCTTTTTAACCAGGCCTTTGGTTGATCTGTTTGACATCCTATGCCCTTTAAAAATGTGGCTCTTTTCGGGGGGGGGGGGTTGTTAGTGGGTTGTTGTTTTTATTTATATATGTTGTGATCTTTTCTGTGAACTGCCCTGAAACCTCCAGGAATAGGGCGGTATATAAATAATAATAGCAATAATGATGATGTTAATAATAATACAGCACGGGTCTAGACCCGTCTGCTCAAAAGTCCCATTGAGTTCAGTAGGATTTATTTCCTGGTAAATGTGCATAGAATTGTAGCTTTAACCTTAGTTTTCATTATAATGTGGTAAAGTCTCACTGATTTAACCCCAAGAATGCAGAGGACAATAGTCTTAGATCTCGGAGGAAAGTTGTACAGTAGTAAGGCTTATAGGAAAGTGAAACTTGCATGCATTGCTAGATATATATACTGATCTGCTAATACAAATCAGCCAGTTTTATTTAGTCACTGCAAGGCTTTATCAGTGCCTTTCATAGTTGTTACAGTACTGAGAATCCCAGCATTTATCTGAAGAAATAGGATTCTAGGCTATGGCAAAACCCTAAAAGAACATGACACGTTTACATCGCAAACACAAATATAATACCTTCTCTAACAGACCCTGTGATATGCAGTTTTACAAGAAAATGTTATCCCTTCTTAAGATTCCTTGGGAACAAGGTAAACCATGCTGGCTAAGCTGCTTTCAGGCTTTTATATTCACATTTGCAGAGTGCCACAATAGATTTCATATATATATGTGTGTGTGTGTGTGTGTGTGTGTGTGTATAAAACCTGGGTAATGAATAGAAGTTTAGAGAGAAGGTTTAAGAAGTGCCAAATTCTTAAATTTCCTTCACAGCTTTGTCACGTTTCTGACCAATAAGACGAACTAACTTGCGCATATAGCAAAAGACAGAAAAAGTAGACAACTTGGATACAGGTATCTGAAATAACATGTATTTTTATCTGAAACTTGCGAACTACACAGCCAAACATTAATGGCAGGTCTGTTGGCCTGACAGCAGTGTGATTTGCCACAGCAGATAAAATTCACTATTCTAAGCTGAGCAGAATTCTGCATGGCAAGACTCTTCTCAACAACGCACAAGTGGCAGAAGGCTTGAGATGCTTTCACTCATGAGATACTTTGCGCTGGAAAAGGAGCACTTAGGATGGGATGTAGTGACATTGCTACTTGTTGCCTTGTGCGATGGTCAGTTTCTCCCAATCTCAGGAGAAATGTTAGCATTTCATTCCTCCGTTGCTAGGTGTGTGTGATTGTTACATCACATTAGTGTTTACTTTCTAGGCTTGGAAAGTGTGAGAACGGAAGTCAGTCTTATCCGTCTTCTGCTGTACTGTACTTTTGTACTTTTCTTTCTCTCTCTCTGGAGAAGATGTGAGAGGACGCCATGGTTGCTTTGTCCTGTATATATTGCTTAATAAACCACTTAGAATGCTATACTCGTGCTCCACGGTCGTTTCTGCTATACTCTGCTGAGTGAGCGTGCACGTCTTTTGATATGTGTCGTTGGGACTGATTATGAACGTCCCGGGCTGCGCTTCATCAGGAAGACGCCCGGAGAGGTCTGTCTCATTCCGGGGGCCGCGTGTGACCCCAGGCGTGTTCCGACAGGTCATGCAGCTAAAAGGGACTTCTCCAGCGACTTCTCTGGAGGGCCTACAGCCCACAAACCACAGCTGTGCAGCTGTTTCTGAGCTAGCTCAGTCAGTAGAGCACAAGATTCTTAATCTCAGGGTTATGGGTTTGAACTCCACACTGGACAAAAGATTCCTGCACTGCAGGTTAGTGTGTTTTACATCTAAAACAGCAAGTCCTCCCAATTTCTTACAAACCCGGTTTTAGGGCATATCCCAGCCACAGCTGTGCATGCCCAAGCCCCATATTTTCAATGGGCGAATTAAACACATCCGTAAGTCTCTTCCAGTGCAATTTCAAAGTACCTTATTTAACTTTACGTAGATTTCGCCTTAATTCCTGGTTTTTGCAACGACCATCCTAGGCACACCACAAACCACTTCTGTGCATGTCTATAGGTTAAAACACCATGCAATTCTCCCACCTTACAAAATAATATATCAGGTAGCAAACTTTACAACAAACCTCCTGCTTTATAGGAATGCAGAAATATATATTGCCTCGGTTCCCTCCCATAACCTGTGGTTTGCATCTGGATGTGACATGATAGACATGCAATATCTGGGACCAGATAATTTTTTGCTGGGGGAAAGAGTACAATGGACATAGCAACGCTTGTTCCAGGTAAACATGAGTAACAGTGCACTATAAATTCTTCTGCACATCATTTCACCATTTAATTAATTCTGTTTGGGACAAGTGGGCTGGCTGGGGCTGTTAGGAATTGCTGGAGAACCGCAGATTAGCTACCCCTGCATTTATACACAAGGTTTATACAATTACACAATGCTTATAAGGCTGTAGTTAGGCAGTTAAAACCACAGATAGTCACAGGCTTCAGACACTTCTCTTGGGCTGCAATTCTACACCCACATACCTGGGAGCAAACCCTATTAAACACAATGGGACTTAATTTTGAGTAGACGTGTACAGAATTGCAGTGTAGGATAAGGCGTGCAATCCTAGGGACTCTAATATGAAAAGTTCAGCTGAAATCAATAGGATTTGCTTCCCGGCAAATGCACTTAGGACTCCAGTATAAAGAAGTAAAATACTTTAATCATCAAAAGGGTTGAGGTGTTTGGCTATTACATAATACTGCCTAGATTTAATTTAGGCTTTGATTTAACCCCATGGCCGGAGGTAAACTGCCATTCTTTTTGATGTTTAATTCAAAGGCTTTTGGCTCCAGAGCTCACAAAATCAAAAGAAAGAGCACAATATTGATGTGGTAAATATATAATGCCAACATGTGACACTGATCCATTGACTTGCTGCTGATATACTTGTAGTATACACTTTCCAGGGAAAGATACTGCATAGCAGTAAATTCAGCTGAGCTACAGTACGCTCCGAGAATAAAAGGGTTGACTATAAGTGAATAGCTACAGCTGCATCTAGCTGAACTTGGAGAAAAAGGGGGGGGGAGGCACTGCATGGATGGGATTGTTTGTGCTCTGGTGTGACAGTGGACAAGCAGAGAATAATCAAGATGCCACTGTCTGTTTGCATTGAAGCTGCCTGAACAATGACATCTCACTTTCTTCCAACGCTCTCCCAGCTTCCAGCTACTGAAGAGAGCAGATTGCATCTTTACAGCAACTGGGATTGTCATGATTACTGAAGGCATTATATCTGGTTTACCCGTGTATTATTTCAGTGGCCTGCAGCATCACAAAGCATCCAGTATACAGTGGTACCTCAGGTTAAGAAGCAGTGATGTACAGTGGTACCTCGGGTTAAGAACTTAATTCGTTCCGGAGGTCCGTTCTTAACCGGAAACTGTTCTTAACCTGAAGCTCCACTTTAGCTAATGGGGCCTCCTGCTGCCGCTGCGCTGCCAGAGCACAATTTCTGTTCTCATCCTGAAACAAAGTTCTTAACCCGAGGTACTATTTCTGGATTAGCGGAGTCTGTAACCTGAAGCATATGTAACCCGAGGTACCACTGTATACTGAAGCGGTACAACCTATGTCCCTTCTCCCTAAGTTAAGAACTCACTGCAAATAGAAAACCAACACAACAGGCAAAGGGATAGGTAAGATTCATTCTCCTTGTTGTGTCGGGCTTTTTTTTTTTTTTTTAATTTGCAGGGAGTTTCTTCTTCTTTATTTATTTAAACAATTTCTATACTGCTTAACTACAACAACCTCTGAGCGGTTTACAAGGGTACAATACAAAAAGTAAAAATCAGTTAAAACTATAAAATCAAACGTCAGTTAAAAATGCCTGCTAGAATGGAAGCCTTCACAGTAGGGACTGGAAATTTAGCCTGTCTGATCTCAAATGGAAGGGAGGTCCATAAAAACTGTGCCCACAATATTAAATGCATGGTCCCTGGTGTCTATGAGCTGTGCTTCTAAGCCACAGGGGACCACTAATAGTGACTCCCAAAGACCCCAGCAATTGGACAGGGATATAAGGGATCGGGCGGTCCCTGAGGTAATCCTGGACCCAAGTTGTTAAGGGACTTGAAAATTAATACAAGGACCTTGAATCTGGCTCGGTAGTGTATGGGCAGCCAGTACAAACTTTTGAGGAACAGTTATGGGCTGGTGATAGACTTTCCCCATCAAAAGTCTAGTCACAGCCTTTTGCGCCACTTTCAGACCAGGCCCAAGGATAACCCCACATAGAACACATTGCAATAACTGAGTATTGAGGTTCTTACATGGGGCAGAATTCAAGAGTAGTATCTCCCACCACAGCATTCTTGTTTTGCTTGCAAACCCAGTCTAAGATCCCAGACCCGTGGGGGTATGTTCTGTGATTTGGTCCATGGAAAGCTCTAAAAAAGACCGAGTCATATTGCATAACCCTGAAGTGTGAAGATATCTGGTATCAACAGAACCACCATCCGGGTGGGCAGAAACAACTTGCCACACGTTCGGTAATTGGATTGATGAACAAAAGTTGCTTTCATTCATTGCCGCAGATGCAGTGCAGCTCAAGAAAAGAAGGGATGCAGATATGATGCACCGCAACAAAAGAAGAATACGCTTATGAGCCATCAGCACAATCCACAGCCAGTTCTACAGGAAACCACGGTAGAGCTATAAAGGCTGACTGAAGAGACTAGTTAATTTCACACCAGCATTTAGTTCTGCTCATTCCAGATCTCTCCCTGCACCCTCACTCATTAAGGTGGTGTCTCTTTACGTAGATCTGTCGGTTGAGCTTTTACAAAGGTTACGGAGGGGGAAGAAGATGAGAATTTAAGAAATGCCCAGAAGAGCAAAATGCCAAGGGATCCTCAACTGCTCTGCAGTCTTAGTTTCAGCCGTTCGGCCAAAGGAAGGGGGCTATCAGACCAGGCGGCAGCCTCACTTGCCTGAAGAGGAGGAGAGGACCGACAAAGCTTAGATTCTGAGAGTGTCAGAGAATTGTGAATGTGTGCAATAGGAAGCTCTTCCACTGGTAAATTAATGGCAGGCCCTTTAAGAGAATTCTTTCCTGGCACAACTTCAGCCACCAATTCATGGCTGCTCCTTTTGTCCCTACACTTGTCCTTCAGCTGAACCACGCGACCCTTCCTTAGCCACTTAGGGCTTCTGTGAGCCTTCTTTCTACCTTTCACATTTTCACCATCACTGTCTTCACTGGAGTAAATCTTCTGGCACACGCTCTTCTTCAGCGAGCTTTTATGAGTGGCCGGCACGGGTTTTCCCCTCATCCGACAGCTATCTAGGACTTCCGTTGACTTGCGAAACAATCTTGGTGACTTGTTTCCCAAGTAAGTTGGTTTTCGTGTTCCGGCACCCAGAGACACTGAAGTTCCTGGACTATTGAGGTTTTCTGACGCCCGGGCTGGATTTTCATAGTTTTTGAGCAAGTCTGGCAAGCCAAGTCCCCGCAGATATTTTCCTGGTAATATACTTTCAACTTCCTGAGCACTGTCATTTAGCTGAGCTGAAGGAGATGGAGCTTTTCCCTCAGGGCTAGATGTAACATTGATTTGTTCTACCATTTGCAAAGAGTTTAACAGAGACATATCTGAAAGGCTGGGAGAAGCTTCCAAAGCAGAAGGCTTCAGAATTGCCCGCTCTTCTGAAGATAAATCATTTTGACCTTTATGAAGGTCAATTTTGGAGACAGAGCACTCCTCACTCCCTGGTAGATTTGGATCATATCGCACAGAATTCAAAGACGGGGGAATGATTTCAGCTGTTTTGCAGTGCAGTGAAGAGTGTTGATTTGGAAAATTACTACTCGCATCTGACTCGGATTCCGAACACACAATATTAACCCACTTTGGAGAAACGCTGAAGGATGTTCCTTCCCAGTCAATGTCACTCAACTGCAGATGGGCAATTTGGGAAGATGCACGCAAGTTTTCAGGTTGCGAGCTCAGAGAACCGTCAGGAATGCAATTATACTCTGTATTTTGCAAAGTAGTCATGAGCAAGGTAGATGGTGGGTTTTGACTTTGCGTGACTGCAGTAGGAAAATGTGCAGTGACAGGTAGGCCCTGAAATTTAGAGCCCTTTTCTGGAACTGTTTGAAAACCAGAAACAGTTGTAAATGGGGGCTTAGGATCTTTGCCGGGAAAGGTTTCCTCATCAGATCGCATGTTCAGCCGAGAAAGAAGATCTGCAATTTCACTGTCCCCAGCTAAGCATTCTCTCTCTTTAGGTTTCTTCTTCTTACCTAAAATAACCAGACAAAACAAAGTCACCTTGTAAAAAAGGAGGCTTTGTTCCTTGTGATGAAGTTAACAGAAGCAATCTGTGATTTAAAGGGCAGTTAAGCAAGGGCTGGGGAAAGTGACTGAGAATCTGCTTACATTATAATGCTTCGCTGACTAAGATGCATACATCTCAGGAGGATAATGGGCAATTTCACAAAACGAAAGGAGCACGGTGTCTATTTAATCAAAACCCGACGCTTCAGATTTACCTTTGTTCCTTTCCTTGCATATTTCCAACTTCTCCATATGGTATCGGGCAACCACTTCTGGATATGCAGCCTCAAATAGTGACGCCTCTTCTGTTGTAATTAAAAAGGGTTCTGCAGGCTGATCGTCTGCTGTAGTGTAATGATCTGGAGCAATGAATCCAGAGCATGGAAACAAAATACTATCAGATACAGATGGGCAGGTTCAGGGCTGCAGAAAAGATAACTCCGTTCTCATTTAGGCACTGTGCAATCCAAGGGAGTAGCAAATGAACTGTCATTTCCTAAGCCCTGTGGGTTGGTTTTTTTTTAGGAGGGGGGTTGTTTCCAGGTTTCCCCCCCTTGGTCTCCACATTGCTCCCCCCCCCCCCGCATTGCACCTCCCATGAATATCTAAGAGAGAGAAAAATTGCCAGGAGGGGATGCAATCTGCTCCAAAAGTATCATCACCAAGGTAGGACTTTCAGGCAAGAAGTCACTGATGGCCTTCTGTTGCCCAGTAAAAAGACATGTGTTCTCCCAGGCTTTGGGAGGGCTTGGTTGACTCCGCTTTGGAGTTTTCATTCCATAGCATCATAAAATTGTAGAGGGGAAGGGACCTCCAAGGGTCATCCAGTCCAACCCCCTGCAATGCAGTATGTATGCATTTATTACTGCTCTGCTACTCATATAGACATTTATATGCGTCCCTGCTTGTTTGTTTACTTTTGTTGTGAACTGTTTGTTTGTTTACTTTTGTTGCAAACCGCTTGGGGACCACTCTGGCGGTGGAAAAGAGGTCTACAAATTTTAAAAAGGTAAAGGGACCCCTGACCATTAGGTTCAGTCGTGACCGACTTTGGGGTTGCGGCGCTCATCTCGCTTTACTGACCGAGGGAGCCGGCGTACAGCTTCTGGGTCATGCGGCCAGCATGACTAAGCCGCTTCTGGAGAACCAGAGCAGCGCATGGAAACGCCGTTTACCTTCCTGCCGGAGTGGTACCTATTTATCTACTTGCAGTTTGACGTGATTTCGAACTGCTAGGTGGGCAGGAGCAGGGACCGAGCAACGGGAGCTCACCCCGTTGCAGGGATTCGAATCGCTGACCTTCTGATTGGCAAGTTCTAGGCTCTGTGGTTTAACCCAGAGTGCCACCCGCGTCCCTCTACAAATTTTACTGTTAAGCAAATTTCAGCACATAAATTTCCAACGTGTCTAAAAACAAAACAGTGGTTCATTCTTAAATATTTAAAACAAAAGCTATTTATGTGAGGTGTGAAACACAGAGCAGTCAAATACAACATTCCTAGAGTGGACATGTTTAGACATGAGGAGGGATGTTTGTCCAGCCAGTAGATAAAGTTCCTGTTTCCTCCTGTGCTGGGACAAACTTCCTCTACATGTGGCCACAGGTGGGCATGACTTTACCTGTGCAGGTAACAAAAGCACAGGGCTGGCCACCACATCTCTCTTCTCCATTTTGCTTTCGTCAAAGAAGCATCAGCCTGGGATGCTCCCTATCTCCTTACGGGATAGATTCTAAGTGTATATATTTTGTAACTTAAGTCTGCCTTCTCGGATCCATCGGTGAACAGAATGAGTGAGTAAACTATTTTATACTTTTCTACAAGACTGTGTCAGGTCTATTCTTTTTAAAAGAGGGAATAAAAGGGGAATTACCAGGAAACTTATTTTAAAGGCTTATGCAAGTCTGGCAAACCTATCCGCTGTGTAAGTTTAAAATGGGGAATGTTACTCTGCTAAATTGTACAACTTGTTAACACAAGTTGGGAAGGATATAATGAAACAATATGTCCGCTCCTGCCTCCCTTAACATTCCCACAATTTGTATTCCAGCAGCATAAAGAAAAGCAGATTTAAACTAGACCAGCGTCAAATTACAGTGAGCAGAGTTCATGCCACTGGCTTGTAAGGGGTGGGGAAGGGGGGGGGGAGTGTCTCTTATTTTAAAACTTGCCTTGTCTCCAGTGATCATGGCCTAGGACCCTCGTACCTACGGGACCGCCTCTCCTAGTATGCCCCACGGAGGACCTTAAGGTCCATATATAGCAACACCCTAGAGGTCCCGGGCCCTAAGGAAGTTAGATTAGCCTCAAGCAGAGCCATGGCCTTCTCAACACTGGCTCCAGCCTGGTGGAATGCTCTGTCTCATGAGACCAGGGATCTGATTTCTTTCCGCAGGGCCTGTAAGACGGAGTTGTTCCACCTGGCCTTTGGCTTAGAATCAGTTTGATTCCCTCCCCCTCTTTCTTTTTGCTTTCTCCTCCTGTGAAGAGGCTGCATCCCAATGTTTTAATGTTGTATCTTAATCTTTTAAATTGTATTTTAATCAGCTTGTTTTTATTATTGGTTGTTAGCCGCTCTGAGCCCGGTCTTGGCTGGGGAGGGCGGGGTATAAATAAATTTATTATCATCATCAATATGAATATATTAAGCCTTTCCCAGCCCCACCCAACCCTATTTGGAGATGTTATGAGTTCAACCTGGAGCCTTCTGCAGGCTGCGCTGATGCTCTGCAACTGAGAAATGGCTGCCACAAGAAAGGAATAAAGTTAGGATTTGATGTGTGTTGCTCTACTCGTCTGAACAGCATGCAAAGATCTAAAGATCCAATTTTCGCTTATTCACACTATTCATTTATTCAATTTCTATCCTGCCCTTCCTCCCAAAAGTGGCCCAGGGTGGCAAGCAAGCACATATATTAATTGTGTGTGTGTGTGTGTGTGTGTGTGTGTTAAAAATAAATCTAAAAACATTCTCCCAACCAGCAATCACTAGACACACAGGGCCAGTCTGTCTTTTATTTTTAACATTCCAATACTGCTAAAGTTAGTTTCTTATCACATCATCCCTGTCTTCCTTCCTTCAAGGTGGTAAGGAAACTTTTCATTAAACCAGCATTTAAAGCAGCATTGTATGATAAGCCCAAAGAACACAGAAACAAACAGCACCAACCTGGCTTTTGCCACTCTATTTCAAAGCAAGGAATGCCATTTTTAGTCCGGGTCTTGATTATCCTGTAAAACAAAGATAAAAATGAGGGGGAATTAAAATATAGGAATCCCTGTGGATCCACATGTGTGGGTGAACAAGAACAGAATTGGCTGGGTTGCCTAGATTCAAAACGCAGGGATTGCACAAAAGAGCCCCAGTAGCAGAGCATGAAACTCACAAAAGTTAAGCAGCAGTATAGCATTAGGAATATAGCTTGTTAGACTTTTCTTATCCCGTTCCAACTACACACAGCAACTGACCTCTTTCTACCCCTCTTGCAATTAGCAGCCCACACAATGTTAAGTAAGTTTAAAATACTTTACTTACAGATTCAAGGTCTCAGTCATGCATTGTGCCATGCAGCAGCAACAATAATAAAGGCAAAATACACTTTGGGAGAAAATACAGAATATGATTCCAAACATGTGCTGTAACCTTGTGAGCAAAGTCACACATGTCTATCCCATTATATGATGTGGAGGGAGAGAGTGAGACAGAGAGAGAGAGGGAAAGAAAGAAAGAAAGAAAGAAAGAAAGAAAGAAGAAAGGCTTTACTTCCTCCCTCTTGTGGCGTGACCTGGCTGAGTCTATTTGTGGTCCTTTACCCCTTCATACACTAACTAGCACTACACTTGCTAGTTATATTTGGCTGCAATATTCCATAAAAAGCAAAAACATAAACCATTTTAAAACAGAAGAATGCAAACAGAAAAATGCCCAAGCAGTTATAAGTTTGTGTGAAATTCAGAATTTAAGTTACTTTTTTAAAAAAGGGGGTTGTCAATCTTCTGTGAATCCAGTGCTTATTTAAGAAAAGAACAGAAAAAGCTAACTGACTATTATTTAGGAAATATGAGAATAGCATTAAAATAAATAAAAACCTTAAAAACCCACTACATATGGGGCTAATCTCCCACGTGGCTGCAATATGTAAAAGAATACAACAATCCCACAATTTATGTGGAGGTTATGTTCTGGGGATTTTACACTACATCAGAAATACAGGACTGATTTAAACCCCCATGTATAAAACCCCCCATATATTTTCCACTTCCACAAGGCTGTCAGGAAGATTTTCTCCAGCAACAGATATGAAAAGAAACAGGGGGTGAGAATTCCTTCAACTACCAAATAAAATTACCTTAGTGCCTGCAGTTGCTGTAGCGTCAAAATGGCCAGACTTCCTTCTGTTCATGTCATAGTATGTGAGGAGGATGCACAATTTCTCACAAGCGTAATGCTTGGACCAGTCCATTTTCTCAAAAGCAAATTTCTGTAAGTGTGAGAAAAGCTCTAAACATGTGTCCTCTAAAACTGGTGCCACAGTATTGTTGGCGAAAACCTTTTCAAGTGCCATGTATGAAACAGTTCACTTGCCATTAGCACACGAAATAGGTTCAGTACGTTTCTGAGCACAATTCAAAGTGTTGGTGCTGACCTTTAAAGCCCTAAATGGCCTCGGCCCAGTATACCTGAAGGAGCCTCTCCACCCCCATCGTTCAGCCCAGACACTGAGGTCCAGCACCGAGGGCCTTCTGGAGGTTCCCTCCCTGCGAGAAGTGAGGTTACAGGGAACCAGGCAGAAGGCCTTCTCAGTAGTGGTGGGTGCCCTGTGGAACACCATCCCACCAGGTGTCAAGGAAATGAACAACTATCTGACTTTTAGAAGACATCTGAAGGTAGCCCTGTTTAGGGAAGTTTTTAATGTTTGATGTTTTATTGTATTTTTTATATTCTGTTGGGAGTTTCCCAGAGTGGCTGAAGAAACCCAGCCAGATGGGCGAGGTATAAATAATGATTTTTTTATTATTACTATTATTACCAAAAGCCCACCATTATCCTGAAAGAAAGTCCTGAGCACAGGAGCATGCTCCATACTTGTGATTCCCATCAACTGCCTCCAACAATGGCCCTTGTGGCCATTGATAGCCTGTTCCTCCATGAATCTGTTGAAAGTCATCCAGAGAACTTCATTTTCTAAAACTGCTTAAGTTTCTCCTTAATTTGAGTGCTCAGATGCAGAAACAATTAACCGACATTGCAATAATTCCTACTATTTTTTGGTGCTTACTTTCCGTAATTTTTCTATTTATATGAAGATTCTTCTAACCAACAAAATGGCAACTACTCATCATTACTAGCTGGGCTAAATGCTCATGCATACAATCAGTTGAACCATCAAAATCTACTATCTGTACCTGAAAGGACAATAAATTGGGCCTCCGGCACCCATTTAACTTCATCGGTTTATCTTTGCTGATTAGATACTCTTGGATAACCTTGGCAGGAAAAAAAGAACAAGTGAAAAGGAGGTTTCTGGATAATAAGATTCTAGGAAGCATTCATTTTCAAATTTTCAAATTGGGTCTAATTACCTCAGGAAATGGAAATCCCTTGCATGCTTTAGCCTTCCTGTGAATAAAAATGCATACGTTAGGAAGAGGTTAGAAATGTGAAGTGTGAAAAGGAGCTGCCTTCAGAGCTGTAAGCCTAAGGCGAAAGGGCAGGAGAGGTGAAGCGACAGGCAGCTGAGCTGAACCAGTCTGGATTCTGGACTCGGAAATAGCTTCCTTGTTTCTGCAGTTTATTCAAAAGGTGGCTTGAAATTTACAGCATGCTATTTACTGAAAGAGAAGTACCGTATTTTTCGCCCCATAGGGCGCACCGGCCCATAAGGCGCACCTAGTTTTTTGGGGGAGAAATAAAGGGGAAAAAATTATTTCCCCCCAAGGTTGGGGAGGGGGAAGCCCGAGCTTCCCCCGACCCCAGCCCCCAGAACAGGCTGCTCTCCGCAAGCCCTCCTGCGGCTTGCGCAGAGCTACCGGAAGCCCTGGCGCGACTGCTCAGGGCGCCGGGGCTTTGGGATAAGAGGCAGCACTGCGCAAGCCAGGGGAGCCCGGCGGGAACTCCCGCGAGCTCCCAAGGCTTGCGGATAGCTTCCTGAAGCCTGGAGAGTGAGAGGGGTCGGTGCGCACCGACCCCTCTCGCTCTCCAGGCTTCAGCGAAAGCCTGCATTAAGCCAACAGGACGCACACACATTTCCCCTTCATTTTTGGAGGGGAAAAAGTGCATCCTATAGGGCGAAAAATACGGTACTTGAAAATGATTCATAGATGCTGCTTAACTCTGAGTAAAATGGTAAAGGGACCCCTGACCATTAGGTCCAGTCGTGGCCGACTCTGGGGTTGCGGCGCTCATCTCGCTTTATTGGCTGAGGGAGCCGGCGTACAGCTTCCGGGTCATGTGGCCAGCATGACTAAGCCGCTTCTGGTGAACCAGAGCGGCGCATGGAAACGCCGTTTACCTTCCTGCCGGAGTGGTACCTATTTATCTACGTGCACTTTGACATGCTTTCAAACTGCTAGGTTGGCAGGAGCAGGGACTGAGCAACGGGAGCTCACCCCTTTGCGGGGATTCGAACCGCCGACCTGATCGGCAAGTCCTAGGCTCTGTGGTTTAACCCACAGCGCCACCCGCGTCACCTTAACTCTTAGTAGGTTGGCTAATATTTACAAATCAGAATCAGATAAGTGTTGGAAGTGTAAAGAAGTGGAGGGAACATTCTTCCACATGTGGTGGACATGTAAAAATGTAAAAGGGTTCTGGGAAATGATTTATAATGAAATGAAAAAAATGTTCAAAATGACTTACCCCCCCCCCCCCCCCACAGAGTCCTTTTTGTTGGGGATAACCCAGACTGAAATTCCCTGGTGTCAGAAAAGATTATTTATGTATGCAACAACTGTGGCCCATGCTTTGTTAGCCCCAAAATGGAAAGTGAGCGAAATCCTACCTAAAGAGGACTGGCAATTTAAGTTGATAGAATATGCACAACTTGCATATAATAAGAGAGCAAGAACATATGTTTAAAGAAGAGTGGAAAACATTTTTTGAATATATGGAAAATAACTGTATACAGTTGAAAACGCTGCCCACTTGTGTGACTGCACAGGTGAGACCCCCAGAGAACTGGCGTCCTTTTCCTGAAGCAATTTGGGGAAATGCACATGGAAGCACACCTACTTTTTAATGCCATTCTCCACTGCGCTGACTTGCCGGTCTTGCTCAGAGGAGTGCCAGTCACAAGGGCAGCAGAATTCTGCATCGTGGGGTTCACAGCATGCTGCACTGCCGCAGAGACGGCACCCGGCGCTCTCATGATCTTTATAAGCTCCTGCAAGAAAATGGTGACGACGGTTGTAATGGAGATTTAATAGAGTTGCGTCAACAGGGAAGATGCGGGAGAAAAAAAGTTAACCCAAGGACCCACAAAAGAGAGGAGGGAAGCCCATGGGAATTTATGGAATTCTCTTTGTGTTTTGGGCGCTTGGGGATTGTTTGTAAATTTGTAATAAATTTATAAAAATGAAAGAAAATGGAAAGGAGAGTGTAGGCTTCTTAAAATGGGGAGGTGTGTCCCATAAAGTTCTGAATGAGGTATAATTGCACAAGTAGCTGAAGCTTTCTGTAGGTTTCATTCTATCTGTAAACTGCTTTGAGGGTTTTTTCTTACAATCAATGGTATATACATTTTATGAAACAAAACAAAATAATAATAAAAAAACAAACAATAAAATAAAAATAAAATGCCAGGTACTGTATAGGGGTTTGTTTGGTTGCTGTGCTGGCTTGGCTTAGCTTGTTGTTCAAACCCAAACTCATGGTTTAGCTCTATACAGGCAAACCGCAAGGTGTAACCAAGGTCTGTTCTACAGTTTGCAGCTTGTGGAAGAGCTAAATGACAAGCCCAGGTTTGGACAACACACTAACCCAAACCATGACTTTTCTCCTGGCACCACAACAGCAGAACAACCAGAAAGAGAGGGGTTCAGCTTCCTGAACCCCTCTTGATAGCCTGCATGCTCACACTAAACTATGGTTTGGTTTAGTGCAGGCATAGGCATACTTGGCCCTCCAGATGTTTTGGGACTACAACTCCCATCATCCCTAACTAACAGGACCAGTGGCCAGGGATGATGGGAGTTGTAGTCCCAAAACATCTGGAGGGCCGAGTTTGCCTATGCTTTAGCATGTCATGCGAACCAGACCTTTTGAATTATCCATGGTGAGAGAAAGCAGGATATAGATTATTATTACAATAATAACAAACAATACGCCAATTGTGCTACACAATGTTCCTTCGGGGAGAGGCTGATTATAATTTTCTGTAGAGAGAAAAGGATTTGGTTATCACTCACTTTTCATGGATTGGCGCTGGCTCAATCCAGTCTCCTTTTAAGAAACCTTTTAATGCTACTGCAAACCTGTTGAAGGGGAGGCCTGCTGCTTCTAAAGTTCACAGGCCGACTCACCTGGATGACGACACACGGCGCAATGAATCACCTTGTTTACTGCCAGGGCTGGGATGTCATCATCTTGGAAGTGGTCTTTCCAGTGCGCAAACCTAATATTTAAAGGATGAGAGTAGCACGGAGCACTTAAGGTGAGGCACACAATCACCATTGTTCATAAGATCTGCTGCTTACATGTTAAGGCAATGCACATCTTACAAATATAGTGGTACCTCGGGTTAAGAACATAATTTGTTCTGGAGGCCCGTTCTTAACCTGAAACTGTTCTTAACCTGAGGTACCACTTTAGCTAATGGGGCCTCCCGCTACCGCCGCCATGAGATTTCTGTTCTTATCCTGAGGTAAAGTTTTTAACCCAAGGTACTATTTCTGGGTTAGCAGAGTCTGTAACCTGAAGCGTCTGTAACCCGAGGTACCACTGTACACTCACTGAAATCAGTGGGCTAGTTCACTAATTTCAATAAGTCTGCTTGAAGTATGACTAATGTTGGATGTCATCCATAGCAGGGAAATGTATCTGAAAACTCATGCAGGGTTTATAGGATGCTAATTTTCACTAAGCAACTCAGCATTAGGCCTGTATGACGCACAATGCTCACACAAATGTACAGCTGACAATTTGTAAATTCTAGCCTACAAGATAAGATAAAATATACCTTTGCAGTAAGCTCTCTCCCCTCACAGTCTTAATCAACTTTAAAGCTTGTTCTTTTCCAACTCCAGGTACTCCCTTTAAGAGACAAGAGAATATCACATACATTGACGTAGCAATTTACAGCAACATTTTGAGCACTGCAGTGCAAATACGAAACTTTTCCCGCAGTATCTTTCATACAAACTTTAAATCATCAATGGGGCAGGTGGTTTAAATGACAGTGATGGTCTAAACAACAAATGACTGAATGAACAAAATGCCTGTACAGTGGTACCTCGGGTTAAGTACTTAATTCGTTCCGGAGGTCCGTACTTAACCTGAAACTGTTCTTAACCTAAAGCACCACTTTAGCTAATGGGGCCTCCCACCACTGGAACACGATTTCTGTTCTCATCCTGAAGCAAAGTTCTTAACCCGAGGTACTATTTCTGGGTTAGCAGAGTCTGTAACCTGAAGCGTCTGTAACCTGAAGCGTCCGTAACCCGAGGTACCACTGTACACATTTTTTAAAATGCAATGGGCAACTTTGACATTTATCTGTTGCAGCAGACAAAATGTGGTCAACATGGAAAGGAGCGACTAACATTCACGTTGGTTTGACCTGTAGCAAATTATGTGTGAAGCTCCTCTGTCTGGTTGGGATGTTGTAAAGTTGGAGCAGATTACCCCCAATGTCCCTTTCCAAATCTCCGATGCTACGCAAAGTTAAAATGGGGGTGGAAGGTCAAATGTGAAACAAATACTAAAGAGAATCAAAAGGCAAACATCCTCTGACAAAAGCACACTGATTACTGCAGAGATGCATTGCTCACCAACAGTGCAATCAGTTACAGCCTGACAGGGTCAGGGAAGGTGACTAGTATGAGAATGTGCAAAGAATTATTATAAGCAAAGGCTTGTTTTTTTGGTTTTGGTTTTGTAAAATCAATACGTTAAAGGATGCTCTCTCTCTCCCTCAATCTCTCTATCAAACATGTGGCAGACCGAAGAGCTTTGAATTGCTTTACCCAACTTTCTGGAAGAAACAGATTTAAAAGCTTCACAAATCAGATTGTTAAGGCAAGCCCGGGATTTTGCAGTAAAACATGGGTTTGCTGCTGGAAAATTCAAAAACAGATTGACTGAAACGGAGGAAGGGCAAGTAGCTGGCTGGATGAAGAGGATGATATTTTGAAATTGAAAGCTGGCAGCAAAACACTGGAAGATTTTGTTCAGACAGCTGCATCACCTGAAGGGAGGTCGCGGGAGTCAAAGGAGACACAAATGTTTGCAGCAGGAGTATGCCTGCATTGAAACAGCGGCATTGCAAAAGCTTTCACACAGTATGGCTCACTGAGATCTCTAGACAGAATTAGCAGTAGTTTGTGCTTTGCCTGTACGCACATGACCGAAGCAGAGTAGTTTGACTGCAATTATCGCTGTTTTAAAGCAGAGAGCAATGGAAAATTAAAATGTGTGTGTGGCCAGGAAGAACGATTAGGGAATTGCAGAATGGGCTGCAATTCACCCAATGTGACTTATTTGTTCAACTGGGTATAGGCTCAGTCACCTTCCTGCTTTATAAATTCTTTTTCCAGCAAGCATATACTCCCATTTAATGCTGGCCTGATTCACAAATGAGAGCCGAGCCCTTTTAGCCCGACTAAAGACAGCAAAAGTTACACAGTCCAAAGAACTGCTTGTGCCAAAGGAACAAACAAGCAAATTTGTTCTGAATCCAAATGTACATGCCCTGGCTTCAAATGTTAAGCCCTATATGCCACCAAAATGGGACGCGGGTGGCGCTGTGGGTAAAACCTCAGTGCCTAGGACTTGCTGATCGTAAGATCGGCGGTTCGAATCCCCGCGGCGGGGTGAGCTCCCGTCGTTCGGTCCCAGCTCCTGCCCACCTAGCAGTTCGAAAGCACCCCTAAGTGCAAGTAGATAAATAGGTACCGCTTTATAGCGGGAAGGTAAACGGCGTTTCCGTGTGCGGCACGGGTGCTGGCTCACCAGTGCAGCTTTGTCACACTGGCCACGTGACCTGGAAGTGTCCTCAGACGGCGCCGGCTCCCGGCCTCTTGAGTGAGATGAGCACACAACCCTACAGTCGGTCACGACTGGCCCATACGGGCAGGCGTACCTTTACCTATATGCCACCAAAACGGTCTCCCTCGGGTGGTTCCGGACTCTCCTTCCTTGGAGGTTTTTAAGCATAAGTTGGATGGCTACCTGCCATGGATGCTTTAGCTGAGATTCCTGCAATGCAGGGGCTGGACTAAATGACCCTTGGGGTCCCTTCCATCACTACAATTCTATGAAAATATCCTTATTGACTAGCACTCGTCTGTTGGCTGGATCAAGAGTCCCCATGAATGTCTCTTGGGATACCCCAGCTGGAGGAAGTGGAGGGGGAAACGTTTTCGTGGATTCCTCCTTCTGCCTACAGCCCACTGAGAAGCTGCTCCAGAGGGCTGGAGGACCCCACAAAAGAGTATGGGAGACGATATGGTGGACTGCAGGTTGAATCAGAGAAAATCACCTTCCTTCCTCTCTCCAGCAAGAGGCTCCAGTGCATCTTGGTCTGTTCAATGAATGGAAGGAGTCCTTTCATTCACAAAAGGGACACTTCAGGATCCACCCCCATTTCCCCGCCTTTAAGAACAAAAGATGGGTTGGGAATCTCATTTCTCAACACTATGCACATGTTTACTTGGATGCTAGTCTCAAGTATTTCAGCAGAACCTTAGAGCTTAGGATCAGGGCCTTGGAAAAGCATGGGGGAAGGGAAATAAATCTATTAGGAAACAACGACTAGGAACCAGCATACGAAGACAGTTGACATGAAGCAATCTGTACTGTACCTGGAGAATCTGATCAGTGTCATGTCCGGGGAAGGTTACGAGCTAATGAAAAAAGATCAGCTGTTCACTCCAGAACGTCAACATTTTTTTGTTTTGTTACCTTAGGAAGATAATCGCAACCGAGTAGAATTGCTAATCCAATCAGTGATTCTCTGTTGCAGCCCAGTGTCTTCTCAATAGCTAATATTGAATAGCAGTCGATGTGCGGGTCCTGCAAAAGAACACAGTCAGATGGCGACACCCTCTGGCATTGGGAAGACAGGCGAACTAATGCCAGTGTACTGGAAAAAAGCAAAGATGATCAGTGTCGAAGCAGTGATTCTTCAACATCAACGTCATTGGACTGGTCATGTTGTTCTGATGCCTGATTATCGTCTTCCAAAGCAACTACTCTATTCCAAACTTAAAAATGGAAAGTGTAATGCCGGTAGACAACAAAAGAGGTTTAAAGACGCTCTCAAGGCAAATCTTTAAAAATGTAGCATAACACCAACAACTGGGAATCACTGGCCTGTGAGCGCTTCAACTGGAGAACAGCCTTCACCAAAGGTGTCATGGAATTTGAAGAAGCACGAACTCAGGACAAAAGGGAGAAATGAACTAAGAGGAAGGCACGTTTGGTAAACCCTCACTGTGATCAACTCCCGCCCGGAAAACCTATGTCCCCACTGTGGAAGGATGTGCAGATCCAGAACTGGCCTCCGCAGTCACTTACGGACACACTGTTACAACAATCATAAAAAAAAATCTTACTCGCCTATGAGTGATCGCCGAAGGAGAAAGAAGATCACAAAGCAGGAAGAAATGTCGTTAACATAGTTTCTTCAATGAGCACTGAGAAACATCCCTGCTAATACCAGCAGAAAGAAATGTTCCTCCAATGGCTCTGAGAACCTCCAAGCACAAGGACGAACTGGCAAACTATGGTTTGCTGAGAGCCAGGGGGGAAATCAGAGCTTATGAGAGGAGGGTGTTGCAGTAACTAAGATTTCTCAAGGATTCTTGAAGTTAGTGCACTTCTGACTTAACACATCAAAGACTGAATGAAATATAGATAGATAGGCAGACTCACATGCCCCTTGAATTCCATGATGGAAGAAAAGTGGGAAATAAATAATGCATATAAATAAACCTATTTAAAAGACAAACCACAGCAGGATAACTGCTAAGAGTACCAACTATAAAATATAGTTATTTGCATTTGTTTCCTCGCTGCAGGGTCACCTTCGCCATGTGCAAAAGGTGGCAGTGAAAGAAGGGCCTTCTCAGTGGTGGCTCACCAATTATAAAACTCTTTCTCCAGAGAATTTTGCCACGTGCCAACACAGCCAGCCTTTAAGCGTCCAGCAAAAAACATTATTGTTTACCCGGGCTTTGGATCTTATTTCAATCAGACCATGGAATGATTCTGGTCCGGTTTGGTTTTCATCTTTTAGCTTATTTACAAAAAGAAGCTCTTTGAAACAAAGCCCCAATAAAGTACCTTTATGTTCATGGTAAAATTCCGGTAAACTGTCTGAGCACCGTAGAGGAAGGCATCACCATCATTGGTGATGCAGGCATCCACGTAGCCATTCAAGTTCAGATAAGCACACATGGCTTCTGCTTCACCGGCTGCCTGAACCCAGGGGACCCCTAAGCACTCCAACATTTCAAGGCACTAAGGAAGCAAAAATCCCAAAAGAAGATGCAGTTAGACCTAAAGCAGGAATTCAGTTCTTTGCAAAATTATGCATGCTTCCATCAAATGGTCACGAGAATCGCCACAAACTTCTGAACCAACTTTCCCCCTGTGCTCTGCTCCGTAGACACTTCATTGAGGTGCAGATCGCTGCCCTGCAATAATTCATAAGTTCTTTAAAAGAGACAAGCCGTATGAAAGCACGGCGCTATAAAATCAGAGAACATCTTCTCATGTCATTAAATCAATAGGAGGTGAAGCTCATAAACGATAGACAAGAGTCAGGACAAACCCTAAATCTTACAAACGCGTGTCTGGAGCTATAAAATTGACATGCAACATTGAAACAATGCCTTCCCAAAAATAAAATGAAAAATGCTTCACGGTCAATTAAGCATAATTATTCTGCAGTTCACAAACATTAACAAATCAAACTAGACTTGGTCAAATACATTATTTTAAAATATTTTTTAAAAATTATACAAAGTAAATAGATTAAATATTATTAATAAATAAATTTATTATAAATAAATTTATGCCTGTGATTGTATAAAGGTAATGGCAGCAGTATTCAGTACCCCGAACACTGAAATTCAGCCACCCATAGACACTTGCCTCTTTCAGTTGAGATTTAAAACGAGATCTCCCTGTTCTTGCCCTCCAGGGTTTGCTGGATGGGCCAAAGCGAGCTTCTGTCCTCTTTCGCATTGTGTCTGCTTTCAGCTCTGGGGACTCTCCCTCCATGACAAACACCAAATGGATTCCCATTAGCGTTAACAGAGAGACTCGAAAATAAAGATTCCTGCAATAGCAAGAGAGTTGAGCCACTTTTGTGGAAGGGATCGCTTCCCTTCTGATGTACATCATACACCGGTCTCACGTGCTGTTCTTACTTATTGGTCAAGACCCGCCAGGGCTTTGGCTGAGTTGGCATCTTGCCTCCTGCTGCCTTGCTTCTCCCTGCTGCTGTTAACAAACTTTACTATTGGATAGTTTTGTGGTTTTCTTTTGAGATTTTTAATAGCATTTGTACTTGCTTTTAATTGTGGGTGCTTTTGTAGCTCACCCTGGGCCCATTTGGTGAAGGGTAGTGTCAGGGAACTGCCATCGGAAGGAAGGGAGGTGAAAGGACTCAGACAGGTTGGAAGAGATTCAGCAGCTGAAGAGGGAACCAGCAAGGGGAGAAGCTGAACTGAGGGAGGTGAAAGGGCTCAGACAGGTTGGGAGAGACTCAGCAGCGGAACAGGAAACCAGTAGGGGAGAGAAGCTGAACTGAGGGAAAGGGAGCTGGGGGATGGCTCAGAGATACTTCCAGCGAAAACAGTGGTGAGGTTTCCGGACCTCCTGTAGCGACACCCACTCCTCGCCGGAAACTGTCACGCAGAGAGTCCAGAAGACGTGTTTCCGTTAAGGAGCTTTTATGTTGGAAGCGATTACGAAAGCAACCACTGTCGGAATCTTCTAGTGACTAGAGGAGCCATGTCAGAGGGGCTCAGTCACAGACAGAGGTTTGTGGACTTGAACAAACTCTGAGGGAATACGATTTTACGCACAAGCAGCTCATAATCCCATCACAGCATTCCGACAGTCTTTGAACGCAGCTTGTGCAGGAGAAGGCGTAATGAGCAACCCAGCAGGAACCGGAGAAGCAGGGGCTGGAGCGGGTCCAAGCCTGGAAGAAAGGTACCGGGTGTTGGAGGTCCAGCTGGCGCTGCAGACGGCGAGGCTGGAGGAGAGGAGGGCGCAAGATGCAGACAAAGGGAGAAAGCCACCCAGCTCGCCAGGAAGGTACCAGGATTGGTGCAGAAATTTGGGGGGGAGCCCAAAGACTATCATAGCTTGGACAGAAATGCAATATGCCCTCAATCTGCAGTTTGATGATTTCCTGATGAGGAATCACGAGTGGCTTTTGTGATTGGGCATCTTGAAAAGGGGGCGAGAGACTGGGTGAGACCCCTGATGGCAGCGCATAGTGACGTCCTAAAGGACACAATGAAGTTCTTTCGCGCCATGGATTTGATGTTTTCCAGCGATATTGAAAAGGGAGTGGTGCGCAGACAGTTAATGGCTTGCAAACAGGGGAGCCGATCTGTACGTGAGTACTGGACTGAGTTCACCATGCTGATACACAGATTGGGGTGGGACTTATCGGCGGAACCCATTCAAATGCTCTTTGAAGAAGGGCTTTCTTCGGCTGTGAAAGATGAACTTTCCCGGGCGCCCAGGGCGGAGTCTATGGACCAGCTGACCAAATCAGCGCTGGCCATAGGAGCGCGCCAGGAGGCGAGAGCATTGGAGAGGCGGGAAGGGAAAGGGGAACGTTGGAAGGAGTTCCGCATTCCAGACATTCCAGAGCCAACTGTCCCGCCGGCAGAGCCGATGGAAATCGGAACAGACGCGCGCGCGCAGTTTCAAAGCCCAGTGAGGGGGGAAAGAAGGATGGAAAAGGCGCCCGGAAATGCTATCTCTGCCAACAGCCAGGGCACTTTGCCAGAGTCTGCCCCCAGAGGAAGGAATGGCAAGGGATGGTGGGAGCTGTGGAGGGAAGAGAGGAAAAAATACCGGAGCAACTAAAAGCCAACGCCTGGCTGCCATTGTCGGGGCACAGCAGCCAGGCCAAAGAGCAGTGAAAGTGCCCACTCCAGAACCTCCTAAACCCGCCCTAGTGATAGAAGTGACACTAGAGCTGCCAAACGGACACCCTCTAAAGATTAAGGCGCTGTTGGACTCAGGCAGCTCCTGCAATTTCATGAGCAAAGAGTTTGCAGCTGAACACCAGATACAGACGCTCCCTTTAAGCAACCCCCTGCAGGTAACCACGATCGATGGCAGGGAGCTGTTGGGAGGAGAAGTCAGCTTGCAGACCGTCCCAATGATAATGAAGGTGGCAAGGCACACCGAACTAATAGCATTTAATGTGGCCACCTTGGGAGGAGCTCCCATTATATTGGGGATGAGCTGGCTAGCGTTACATGATCCGCTGGTGGGCTGGCATCAAAGAGTGGTTTCTTTTGGGTCAGCACATTGCTTAGAACATTGCAAAGAGGGAAGGGTTTTGGCAGGGGCCCAAGCCACTCTAGCAGGGACTGAAGTGACGGAGAACGTGAAGGTACCACGACAATACGCAGATCTCCGCGACGTTTTCAGCGAAAGGGAAGCTGACCAACTACCACCGCATAGAGCCTTTGACTGTCAAATCAATTTGCTCCCTGGGGCACAGCTCCCTGTAGGCAAGCTGTACGCCATGTCAGACAGAGAGATGCAGGAGCTAAGAGAGTTCATTGACAAGAACCTGAAGAGAGGGTTCATCAGAGAGTCCAGGGCGGTGGGGGCAGCCCAGTGTTTTTGTGGACAAAAACACGAACAAGCCGAGACTGGTGTGTGACTTCAGGGCCTTAAATGCAGTGTCAGAACCAGTGGCCTTCCCGATGCCCAGGATTGACGACATTTTGACAAGGGTGCGGAAGGGAAAGATTTTTACCAAGCTGGATCTAAGGGGGGCGTACAACCTGATACGAATAAGGAAGGGGGATGAATGGAAAACCACCATGTTCACCCCTTTAGGGGCATTTGAATACTTAGTTATGCCCTTCGGTCTACAAGCGGGCTCCGCAACATTTCAATCGTTTATGAACCACGTCCTGGGGCCGTTGCTTTACAAGAATTGTGTGGCCTTCTTAGACGACGTGTTGGTGTATTCTGAGAATGAGGAGCAGCATGTGAGAGACGTCAGAGAAGTGTTGAGCAGGCTGCAAGCCAACCAGCTGTGGGTGAAACTGGAGAAGTGTCAGTTTCATACCAAGGAGGTGGAATTCCTGGGGTATCGCCTGTCTGACAAGGGGTTGGCCATGGATCCCGACAAGGTCCAGGCGGTACTGGAATGGAAAACACCCAAAACAAGGAAGGATGTGCAGAGGTTTTTAGGGTTTGGGAACTTCTATCGTAAGTTCATCCCAAACTTTGCCCACCTGACGGCGCCCATTACGGACTGTCTCAGCAGTAAGAAGAAGTTCGTTTGGACGGAGGAGGCGGAGCAAGCATTTGAGGAACTAAAAGGGCCTTCGCCTCGGAACAACAGCTCCTGCATGTGGATTTACAAAAACCGATGAGAGTGGAAACTGACGCATCAGACAGAGCGGTTGGGGCGGTGCTTCTCCAGCCAGGGAAGGAGGAGTCAGAGTGGAGACCGTGTGCCTTTTTTCGCGAAAGCTGAACAAATCCGAGAGGAACTACACGGTGTATGACCGAGAACTACTAGCCATTCATGAGGCGTTCCGGAGATGGAGGCACCTGCTAATTGGCGCACAACATAAGGTGCAAGTGTGCACTGACCACAAGAACCTAGAGTATTGGAGGACGGCACGAGTGCTCAACCAACGGCAAGTGAGATGGGCCCAGGAATTCTCCAAATTTAACTTTCAGATTTGTTACGTGCCAGGCCCAGAGACCATTAGGCGGACGCTCTCTCACGCAAACCTGAATATTGGGAGGGGAGGGAGCACCCGAAGAGAGACATGTCATTCCAGAGGACCGCTGGGTGTGTGGGGCGGCATTGGTGGGACAAAGAGAACTGGTAGAAGAAACAGAGAATGATGAATACGCCCAGAATAAGCTCAGAGGTCTTAGGGATGAGGGAGAGGAATCAAGGGGTTTCGAGGAAAGAAATGGAGCTTTGTATTACAAAGGGGCACTGTATATCCCTGAAGGAGCCTTAAGGGGGAGGGTACTCAAGCAGTTGCATGACAGCCCCACGGCGGGCATTTTGGGCAACACAAAACCATGTGGTTGGTCACCAGGGAATTTTGGTGGCCTAAGGTGAGGGAGGATGTACGTGAGTATGTAAGAGGGTGCGAGCAGTGCCAGCGAGCCAAAGGGGAAAGGCGGGCGCCGGCGGGGCTATTAGAACCCTTACCAACACCAGAACGACCTTGGGAGGCAGTGTCGATAGATTTTATGACTGATCTGCCGAAGTCCAAAGGGAAAACAGCCATCATGGTGGTGGTAGACCTACTAACAAAGATGTGCCACTTTGTAGCTTGCTCGCATGCTGTCACGGCGGAAGAGACAGCGAAGTTATTTGTAGAACACATTTTTAGGTTGCACGGGGTGCCATTGAGGGTGGTCTCAGACCGAGGAAAACAATTTACTTCCAGGTTCTGGAGGAAGCTCATGAGCTTACTGCAGGTGGAGGTCAACTTTTCGACTGCCCGGCACCCTGAAACCAACGGGCAGGCGGAAAGAGCAAACGGTGTCCTCCAGCAATACCTGAGGTGTTATGTCAATGACAGAGAGAATGACTGGGTAGAAAAGTTGGCGCTGGCGGAATTTGCCTACAACAATGCCGAGAATGTGTCCACAGGGATGAGCCCCTTCTTGGCTAATTATGGGTGTCATCCCAGGGCTTTCCCAGGGGGAGAAGGGGAGAGATGGAGCGTACCGGCAGCCGAGCATTTTGTAGAAGAAATGGAAGCAATCCACCGTCAGCTCCAACTCAACTTAGAAAGGGCGAAGGAAGAATACAAGAGGCAGGCAGACAAGAACCGAAGGGAAGGTGAAACCATAAGGGTTGGAGATAGGGTGTGGCTGTCAACCCGAGGGGTGCCGTTCAAAGGAGGTTGTAAGAAATTACGACCCAGGAGGTTGGGTCCCTTTGAGGTCATTCAACAGGTCAACCCAGTGGCTTTCAGGCTCCGGTTACCCAACCACATGAAACTGCACCCAGTATTTCACAGGTCGTTACTGTCACCGTACGAGGGGGGACGAGAAGGGATGGCCACTCGGGCCCGGGTCATAGAAGAAAGAGAATGCAGCAGTCATGTGGCAGAAATCCTTGATGCCAGGTGGAAGGGGAATCAGGTGGAGTATTTGGTAGCGTGGGAAGGAGAACCGGAGTCAGAAAACACGTGGGTAATGGCCAAAGATATCAATGACGAGGTATTGATAGAAATGTTCCATCAAAGGTTCCCGCGGAAACCTCAGCCTGTGGAGAGGTTCCGGAGGGAATACTTTGGGACCACTGAGGAGGAGGAGGAGTTGGAAGGATTCCCAGAATCGGAAGGGGAAGGGGAGATGGACTCGGAGGAGGAGGAGTGCTTCGAGACCAGGAACCGCAACAGGTGGAGAGAAGTGTTCGAGACATCGGAAGATGAAGGAAGTTCATTCCGGGGTTTTGCCTCCTCACCGCCCGTAGAGGAGGGGGCGAGAGGGGGTGAAGGGGGCCCTGGAGGGGAGGTGGATGTCAGGGAACTGCCATCGGAAGGAAGGGAGGTGAAAGGACTCAGACAGGTTGGAAGAGATTCAGCAGCTGAAGAGGGAACCAGCAAGGGAGAGAAGCTGAACTGAGGGAGGTGACTGGGCTCAGACAGGTTGGGAGAGACTCAGCAGCGGAACAGGAAACCAGTAGGGGAGAGAAGCTGAACTGAGGGAAAGGGAGCTGGGGGATGGCTCAGAGATACTTCCAGCGAAAACAGTGGTGAGGTTTCCGGACCTCCTGTAGCGACACCCACTCCTCGCCGGAAACTGTCACGCAGAGAGTCCAGAAGACGTGTTTCCGTTAAGGAGCTTTTATGTTGGAAGCGATTACGAAAGCAACCACTGTCGGAATCTTCTAGTGACTAGAGGAGCCATGTCAGAGGGGCTCAGTCACAGACAGAGGTTTGTGGACTTGAACAAACTCTGAGGGAATACGATTTTACGCACAAGCAGCTCATAATCCCATCACAGGTAGGATATGAGCATTAATAATGATGACAATGACAATGGATTTAAAGTTGGCCAAATATTTGTTAAGACCGATCAATTATATTTAACTTTTTTAAAACAAACAAACCATGATGTACAACATTCATGCAAGATCAACAGTCACTATCTCTGTGTCCATTTTTTATGTTGCCTATCAAACACACCGAAATACGTGAAGCAATCACTACATGTGGAAATGTGAAACTTCATAGGGAATTATGGTCTGGGAAAGGAGGCACGCAGCAAGAATTTGAGAGCCGTATTTGGAGTTCACTGGAGAAGAGGCTTCTGAGAGTGATCCATCCTTGACTATGCTTCGTCCTTTACAGTGGTACCTCAGGTTACATACGCTTCAAGTTACAGACTCTGCTAACCCAGAAATAGTACTTCAGGTTAAGAACTTTGCTTCAGGATGAGAACAGAAACCGTGCTCCGGCGGCACAGCAGCAGCAGGAGGCCCCATTAGCTAAAGTGGTGCTTCAGGTTAAGAACAGTTTCAGGTTAAGAAACGACCTCCGGAACGAATTAAGTACTTAACCCGAGGTACCACTGTACTCCTTATCATTAATGGCTATGGGAGCTATGGATTATCTGCACAACAAAAATAATTTCACCAGTAACAAGGGCTGGATCTAGACACGTCAAAGACGCGCTTCAGTTAAACGTGCTGTAAATTCATACAGGGAAATCCGGTGCAGAAAGACAGGCCTCCACAGTGCCATCTGGTGTCACAGCGTTATATTGCATATACAATGCATATAAACTGATTTTTCTTAACCAATCTGGCCGAGTCCAAGATCATCCTGTCTACCTTGCTAGGTAGCAATGAAGATAAGCAAATAAATATGGGATTGGTTACAGTCACTGTTTTCTCCTTGAGTTTTGCTCAAGAACTGGGTGAGGAGCGGGGAGAACAGGGGAAATAAACTTCCTTCCAAGTTTTAGAAAAATATTTAAGCTATACCTTAGATTTGGGAAAACACTAGTGGGTAAGCAAAGAATTTTATAATCTGTACGCCGCTGACAATAATGTAAGACAGCAGCATTGTACGTACCTAAGGTGAGGTTTTCTGACTATCCCAACCATCTTTTTAACTGTTTGTGCTTCACACACCCAGAGACTTAAATCAACAGCCAGGGTCTTTCCTTTAAGGCTGCTGAGGGGGACGTGTTGTTTTACAGGTTCCAGGATCTGCCACAGGCTGGTAACTCCCATCGTCACAAATATTCTGGCAGTACGAGGACATCAGCTGCAGAGATCAACATAAAATATAATGGAGGTCTCTTGTGATGAAATTTAAATTACAATAAAGAAGAATTTTTAAGGAAATAAAAATTATAAAGCTGCAATCCTAAACATATTTGCATGAGAGTCAGCCCCATTGAACGCAATGGGACTGAAATCTGAGCACACAGGATTCTTATCGATTTGAACCCTGGTCCTAGTCCAAAACTCTAACCACTGCCCCACAGTGGCTCTCTCACGTGTACAGGATTGTGCCAAAGTACACTGACAAAGCACATTTTGCTACAGTGGAAAAATCCCTATTCCGTTCAGTACGAATGATTCAAATAGCATTTGATGATAAAAAATAACAAACAGCAAACGAGCAAACTTCTGAAACAACAATGGTATATTAGCTCCGCCCAAGGCATGAAGGAGAGCAGCAACAACTGGGAAAAGATAGACACAATATTTTACAAGGACAGAAAGAAACATCACAGACAGAATAATGGCCACAAAAAGGAAGAACAAGGATATACGGTAGTTTTAATGCTTCACCTGTAGATTTATAAATCATTTAATGTGTCATTACGAATGGAATTCGTTAATACTGCAGTTGTTGTATAAGGGATTGCGATTTTGACTGGAGGTAATTGAAATTAATAAGATTTTGGAATGAGGAAATGAAGTAAATAATCAAACCATCAATTCTAGCAAGTGGGGGGGGGGAAGAGACACTTAAATTACCTAAATTACATAATTTGGCATCTGAACAATTGGTATCAGTAATTGTATTATAATTTGGCATTTTTATAATGAGGCTATTATTGGATTATTGTAATTGAAAATTAATAAAAATTATTATATTTTTTTAAAATTCTCAGCATTCTTTTAGCAATCTCCATTTACAGCCCTTTTAAACTCTTGGTATCGCCTCCCTTCAATCTCTGAACTGCTTTTCTTAAACAGAGCTTCTTGCTCTACATCATCTTTTCTTTTGTATTGCACATTTGTCACCCAGCCCATTCTAAATGTAGCATAATAAACTTTAAAGCATAACTTGTGAAATCAATCTGAATTGGCTTTCACCAACTGATTTTACAGCACAACCCTATGCATGCTTACTTAGAAGTAAGTCCCACTATATTAATTGGTGCTTGAACTCAGGGATATGTAAAGGATTGCAGCCTTCATCTGTTCCTCCTGACCCTTCCTTGCAATAGTCCCTTCCTATTCCTGATTTCCCTTTCTGGCACTTTCCCTTTTGCCTTTGATGATGCCCATTTCCCCTTGTTATTTTTCTCACTTCACCCTTTCCCACTCTCTTATAGCAGCCTATTTATTAGTAGCCTAATTTAGGGCTCTCTTTCTCCTCTGCCTTGCTCTAAGTTTCTCTGCAGTTACCCTTCTACAAATGAAATTGTGTGGCTATTCTTCTGCATTGTGCCAGAAATAATGTAGTTAAAAACAAGAGAACCTACCCATGTGACGCTGACACAAAACCCTTGCACGTACGCTATGTGAGAGGATGAAAGTTTAATATCCCCCCTCTTCTCTTCCTCCCAACGTCCCGCCCCCCCCACCTTATACTGTCTACAATATTGGTCTCTCACATTGAATAGAACTGGTCTGTAGAAACGACTTTATGATCTGAAAACAGAGATGATGTATGCACTTTTGTGATCTAAGGAAATCTTTAATAAATATTTTTTAAGTTAACACAGCTTTGTATTTATGCATAGGATCTTAAGAGTTGAGGGGATGGGAAGAAACTAACAGTGAAATCCTATATGGGACCACAAAGAAGTTAAGCCCCACTGAGTTCAATTGAACTTATTCCCGTGAAGTCTGTGTGTATAGGACTGCAGCCTGAGACTGCAAGCGACCTTGTTATGCAAACAGTCTGAATGATTACTTCTTATATTACAGCTTTGCAGACAAAACTCTCACACACAATTAGCATCCTGTTGAAACTAGCGACAGTACAGTCGTGCCTTGGGTTACATACGCTTCAGGTTACAGACTCTGCTAACCCAGAAAAATTGCTTCATGTTAAGAACTTTGCTTCAGGATGAGAACAGAAATCGTGCTCCGGCGGTGCAGCAGCAGCAGGAGGCCCCATTAGCTAAAGTGGTGCTTTAGGTTAAGAATAGTTTCAGGTTAAGTACGGCCCTTTGGAACGAATTAAGTACTTAACCCGAGGTACCACTGTATGTCAGAAGATGGTTAGAACGGTGGGTCTGGCAAGCTCTTTGCCTTTCAAGAAATCGCTGCTTTTGAGAAACTCTTGATTATCAGGAGATGAATCAGAGTATTATGACATAGTGTACAGAGCAGGGATTTCTTAAAACAGAAGGATAAAGCATTTAGCATAGCTCAGTAATCCTTATAGCACCCTGAGTGGGGCAAGCGGAAGATGAGACACATTAATCTCTTTGAGGCAAGGTGTGGGAATCTTTGGAACCTCCAGATGCATCTGAACTACAACTCCCATCAGCCCCAGCAGGCATGGCCAATGGCCAGGGATGATGGGAGTTGTAGTTCAGCAACATCTGGAGGGCCAAGTGTTCCCACAGCTGCCTTAAAACCACCCCATGGAAGTTTGTGGCTGAGCTGAGTCTTGAAGTGGGAGCTTCCAGTTCATTCCTTAAACTGTTATGTCCAGAAGTTCCCGATTGTGGTAGCTGTGTTGGTCAAAAAACAATACAATTAAGATGTGTAGCTGTTCAAATGAAAACTTTCCCATTCGCCAGGCTTCTGGGCTTCACAGGACATTGTCACAAAGCAACACAACATTACCTTGCCAAGCCTACAAATCAGGAGCAGCCAAGGCTTCAGATGTTGTGAACTACAACTCCCATCATCCCTCACTATTGGCACTGCTGGTTTTGGGTGATGGGAGATGTAGTCCATGTGTTTTGTTGCGTGAATAAACCACATTTTGATGCATGTGCGTAAAACACATAATATAAGAAATCATCCTAAACATTAAATACAATCTTGCAAGCAAGCCTTACCCGAGGGTCTAAGCATGAGGCCAACTTTTGGTACACTCAAACTGAAATTTAGTGAAAAAGGAATTCACTAGGACACCTTTGACCAAAAAAATAGAGCAGTGCCATCTAATGGACACAAATGTGTATAGCATTAGAGCTACAGAAAAGCACCCATTACTGAAGCACAGGAATTGACTGGTATCCCTCTTGCATGGCCTGCTGGGCTGTTGCTTTTAGACCAGCCTGCTCATGATTCAACTGTGTGTATTGACTTCCCAAAGTAAGTGCCAATACCAATCCTTGTGGGAATCAACTTTCTACCTCTCGTTATTCATTTGGAGAACTATCCGTTTAGTCCTATTCTTTGCTTCCTGCAACTTTAACTATAAAATTTGTTTTTATTAACGGATTTTCATCGTTAACATGGGTACATGCAACGTCTGTTTTCAATTCACAGAGTCCTTTCAACTTGACTAAGCTGCGATTCCCAAGAGGATCTCTCCTCTTATTCCTCGACTGCTAAGCTTACTCAAGAGTCTTCAGCGTGGCCATGACAAGATCTGCTCAGTGGATTTGGCCAGAACCCTTAACTGGACAGAGATTGGCTTGGCGACTTTCATATTCTCTCTTTCTACAGAGCCCCACCTCACAAACAGTAAACCATAGGCTTAGGAGGAACCCTAAGATGACATCTAGAGAAGCCCCCCATCATATAACAATAATACAAGTGCCTAGCCCTTCTTAAAAGAAAACAATACCCACATCAATGCATACAGCATGGAGTCAACTCCATTTAGTTTCCATTGGAGAATTCTGTGTAATTGGAAATACTGTGTAAAATGTGAGCATGGAGACTGTAATTTTGGGGATCCATAACTGGCAGCATAATCCTATGCTTTTACTTGCAAGCAAGCCCTGCTGCGTTCAGAAGTTTGCCACGTAAGGCTGTGTTAACTTGTGAAGGGCAACTGAGGGAGCCCTGCATAGGGAAGTTTTTAATATTTGATGTTTTATCATGTTTTTAATATTCTGTTGGGAGCCGCCCAGAGTGGCTGCGGAAACCCAGCCAGATGGGCAGGGTATTATTATTTTTATTACTCCCAAGTACCATAAGTGCCTCCTGCCAACATAGCAGTTCAAAAGCACATCAAAGTGCAAGTAGATAAATAGGTACCACTCCGGCGGGAAGGTAAACGGCATTTCCGTGCGCTGCTCTGGTTTGCCAGAAGCGGCTTAGTCATGCTGGCCACATGACCTGGAAGCTGGACGCCGGCTCCCTCGGCCAATAAAGCAAGATGAGCGCCGCAACCCCAGAGTTGGCCACAACTGGACCTAATGGTCAGGGGTCCCTTTACCTTTACCATAAGTGCACATTGGGTCGCAGCCCAGTAGTGCGATCCAAAAAACGTTGGGCAAAAGCTTTGCCAACTTAACACACGCAAACACCCCTCCGCTCTTAGAATCGTTTCCCTGCTGCACCTGCCAAAAGAGGGTAACATCTGAGAATCACACAATTGTAGAGTTGGAAGGGACACCCCCAGGGTCATCTAGTCCGACCCCTTGAAGTGCAGGACTCTTTTTGTGCCATTGGTGAAGCAGACTCTAGTCCACGACAGCTTCTTATGCCATAATAAACCTGTTAGGGTAGGGTTACCAGATGTACCTGATTCTCGGGGACAGTCCCCGGATTTGCAAATCTGTCCCCAGACAAATTCCATCCCCAGATTTCATTAAATGTCCCCAGGAAATGTGGCAGCGGCAGTCTCAGCAGTCTGGAGCCAGGCTTCATTGAAAAAAAATCTGGTAACCATAGCCTAACTGGATGCAGGAGAGGAGTTTAAGTGGGGGCGAAGGAAAAACGCTAGAATTCTTTCAAACACACCTACACGTTTCTTCCACCGGATTTAATACATTGCATGGTGGGGTTTTTTTGTTTATTTTTAAATTAACCAAAGCTCAGTTTTAAAGCAAACTTTGATCTGTGGTGTTGACTTTTTTTCTTAATTTTTTTTCTCTTTTCAAAATAAAAAAATCTTTTTAAATTATTTTTTTTAAAAAAGTGTCCCTGGATTTATTGAAAAAAATCTAGTAACTCTATGTTAGGGTCGTTAGAGGTCCCGCAAGACTCCCGTTCTTGGCATAGCTGTCAACTTTTCCCTTTTCTTCCGAGGAATCCTATTCGGCAGCGGCGTAGCGTGGGTTGTCAGCACCCGGGGCAAGGCAAGTAATTTGCGCCCCCTAACCCGGGGCAAGGCAAGTAATTTGCGCCCCCTAACCCCTAACCTGCCGCCGCTGCCAGCTTCTTCTTGCTGCTGCCTGGTCTGGTGTGGTTCTCTCCCACGCTGCGCTGGGCGGCCGCTGCACTGTCCCTCCCCCAGATAGTCCCTCGCTCTCTCTCCGCAGTGGGCGGCGACCCAGCGGCTCGGATCGGATTCGCACAGCCAGCACTGCAGTGAGAGAGAGTGAGTGAGCCAGGTAGGGGCAGAGAGCTGCGAGTGCGAGCGCGCCCCCCCCCAGATGTTGCGCCCGGTGCGGGCGGCCCCCCCTGCACCCCCCACGCTACGCCACTGCTATTCGGAATAAGGGAATTTCCCTGAAAAAAAGGGAATCGTTGACAGCTATGGTTCTTGGTGCGACTGACCAACCAACCTCCAGAAGTCCTTTCTTTCTGACAGCAAATGCTGGATTCTCCTTCCTTGGCTGGATGGCCACCTGTCACGGATGCTTCAGCTGAGATGCCATGCACTGCAGGGGGCTGGACTAGATGACCCTAGGGTGTCCCGTTCCCACTCTACCTCCCTATGGCTCTAGGAAAGGTTCTTGCGAGTCGCCTTGTGGGGAAAAAGAAAGAGAGATTTCACCGAGGGGAGCAGAGCCGACTCTGTGGGCGCAGACCCATCTGGGTCCCTCAGACGACACGACGGCGGCAGCGTCGGAAGCCCTTCCGCGCTGAGGTGAATAACGGCACTCAAGCGCCGCGTTCGTAATTCCGCGGGCGCCAAGCGCGCCTGCGCGAAATCGTGACGTAAGCGGGAGGGAAGGTGCCAGGACGGCGGAATCGGACGGCCTGCCGCTGAGGGGAAGGAAGCGGCATGCCTCACATTTCTGGTTCGCAGTTGAACGTCGGTGGGTGGTGGGTGGGCGAAACCCGTGCCAAGAAAGCGGGGTCTGGACGCCCTCGAGTGTTTTGGGTGAGAACAGAGGGGCTCTTTCTCTACCATCTCCTTCTCTTGTAATTTCTATCTCTATCGTCGTCACGTTAGGCCAGTTCCCCGCACATGGCGCCCTTCGGATGGGAGCCGGAAGCGACGACAGGAAGGAAGAGCTGACGCTTACCCTCTTTCCTCTCTCCTTGCCAGAACTGCGCGTGCGCCCTAAGGCCGCGGGACGAGGTGCTTTGCCGTTGGGAGAGGCAAAAAAAAGAAAAAGGAAAAAAGAAAGGAAGCGTAAAGACGCGCGTCGTCCTCGCTCGCGCAGCGCGCGGCGGCTGCTGATTGGATGGCGCGGGGAGGAGACTCGCCGCTCTCGCGCCTCGGGGCGTAGTGCGCAGGCGCGAAGCCTTTCAACGGTTTCCCGCTGAAGCGCCAGCTGCGTGGTTTCGCTTTCTGTTCCTGAGGTGAGTGGCGTAGAAGGAAAAGGGGAGAATTAGGTCGCCTGCTTTCTTTAATTTTTATGAGTTTCAAGAGGTAAGCCTTAACTTATTATTGTTATTGTTGTTATTATTATTGTTATTGTTATTAGTGAAATTCATTGGACTCATTTTCTTGCCGCTAAGCGTCTTTACAAAAACAACCCCCCCCCCCAACGTTCAATAAAAAGCAAGGCGAGGGGTTGAGGGGGGGATGAGACATTAAAGAGGAAACATTTGCCTCATTAATAACGCAGGGAGCCCTGTGTCAGGCCCAGGGCAGACTAGAAAGAGGGCATAGCTAGAACTATGGAAGCGGCTTCCGAAAGAGGCTGGGATGTTTTTAAAAAGAGGGTAAGGCCACGACAAAAGAAGGTAGGATACAGTAACGAATGGTGTATGCGGAAATGGCGAAACTTGCCAGAAGAATGAGAAACCGGGAGAACAGAAGGGAATGGAGGTGGTTTATTGAGTATTTACAAAAAAGGAAACAGATTAAGACATGGGCAGGATTATTAGTAAAACCTACAGTGTTTTTTTAATTATATACATAAAAAGGTAAAGGTACCCCTGCCCGTACGGGCCAGCCGTGTCCGACTCTGGGGTTGCGCGCCCATCTCGCTTAAGAGGCCGGGGGCCAGCGCTGTCCGCAGACACTTCCGGGTCACGTGGCGAGCGTGACAAGCTGCATCTGGCGAGCCAGCGCAGCACACGGAAACGCCGTTTACCTTCCTGCTAGTAAGTGGTCCCTATTTATCTACTTGCACCCGGGGGTGCTTTCGAACTGCTAGGTTGGCAGGCGCTGGGACCGAAAGATGGGAGCGCACCCCGCCGCGGGAATTTGAACCGCCGACCTGACGATCGGCAAGTCCTAGGCGCTGAGGTTTTACCCACAGCGTCACCCGTGTCCCTGCCAATTATATACATACCTATATATATATATAATTAGTAGATACACACGTACATATGTGTGTGTGTGTGTGTGTGTATATATATATATATATATATACACACACACACACACACATATATATACATATACATGCATATGTATATGTATTTGTATATTTTTATGTGTACTGTGTATATGTGTGTGTGTGTGTGTGTGTGTGTGAATGTGTATGTGTATATATATATGGTATATCTTAGAATAGACAGATAAAAGAAGTAAGTTAAGACAATTTGAAGTATGCAGGAAAAGATGAAAATAAATGTAAGGAACTGCAGAAAGAGGGGGAAGGGAGTCGAAATTGAAAATGTTACAATTTCAAAAATACTTGTAAAGTATATAAATGGAAAATAAAAATTGATTTATTTTTAAGAAGAGGGTTAGGCAAATTCAGAGGATAAGGTTACCAGTGTCTATTGGTCATGATGCCTGTGTTCTTCCTGCACTAATCATTAGTCGTCTCCTCCCCCCCCCCAGCATTGTAACCTGATAAGGGCTTGTTTAGGTATAATTAGGAAAATACATGGGTAGTAAATCAGGGGGTGGTAGCTGATGGGTCTCGAACCATCAGTGAGTTAGGGACTGTCCCTACATGCAAAGACAGGCTCTGGCAGATTGAGTGGATGAGACCAATAGTGGGTCCAGTGGAAAGGTGGTTTCTGTATGTGTTGTAGAGGGACATGAGGGGCAGATGTGTGTTGTCAACCTGGGAAGGTTGGCTATCTAGGAGAAGGAAAACTCATATCCTAAAGCTCTGCTGCCTTTCAGGAGATCTTCAGGAGAAGAAAAGGCATAAGGAGTAAACTACACAAATCCGGAGTGTAGAGTGCATAGTTATTTCTTTCTTTCAACAAAAATTTAACTCATAGCAGCCTTTGCTTGCTCACCCAAAACCAGGATGCAAGGCTCATTTTCTGTTTAGTTGATAAACCCTCACATGGTCAGGCTCCTCGAGGCAGCTGAAGTGCTGGCTCATTGGCCCATGTAAGAGAGGTGGTGGGGCATTCATGGACTCTGCCTGTCCATGTTGCTCTGGCTGTAGATATTCAGTATCTAAATATCCTATCTAGATATTCAGTGCAAGGTACTGTACTGCGTATTTCAGTGCCAATCAAGTTGTGATACAACGGAACCAAAGCCTTAATATGAGAACCATGGAGTGTACATTACAAAAGAAAAAAGTGCAAGAACACATGCCAGGTAAAAAATGATAATTTAAATTATTGGCATCTCCATTATAAAGCATAAATTAAAAAAAACCAAGCAGCCTAATTTTGTGCATATTGACTTAGAAGTAATGTTCAGTTACTCCCATATGGCAATCAAAGGAAAATTCCTTTGGTTTAAAGCTGGAAAGTGCAGGCTTATGAAATCTGCTTTTTTATTATTTGTTAATTGCATTTATATTTCACCTTTTTCTCCAAGGAGCACAAGGTGGCATACATGGTTCTTTTCATTTAACCCCCACAAAATGTAGAGGGAGGTTAGGCTAACAGGCATATACTCTTAACAGAATAAAACTTAACAACTACAGTAAAGCCTCTCCTCTTCCAAGAGGGGAGGTGTTGTGGGCGGGACGCGATTTCTGCGTCACGCAGGGGGCATTACACCCCCTGCCCCACTCACCTGGCTGGCACACCACGCCCACAGGTAAGCGCCCAACTGGGCGGCTTGGAGGGGGCGTGGTTTGCAGTTTAATTTACTGCTGTGCCAGCCATTCCGCCTCATTTTCCGCCTTCTCGTTGCGAGTCAGCTAGGAGTCATCGCAGGGAAGAGCTCAGCCACGAGGTTTGGAGTCGGGGGTGTGTGTGTGTGTGGAGGCTTCTTGGTTCCTGGCTTGCCTTTTAAATTTAGGAGGCTTGCGTGCGCTCATTGCTTTACTGCTTTTAAAAACCCAGGCATCCAGGTTTGCTATCTGCGTTAGTTTTCGCAAGCTGCCTTGCTGCGTCCTCATTTCCATATAAAAACCTACATTTAACCTTCTATTTCCCCCCACTCCTGGCATGTGGGCTCTCCAGTTTGTTTGTTACCTTTCTTAAGCTGCAGCTTGTTCCCTTGCCCAGCACGTGGTCTCTCCGCCCCCAGCGAGGTGTGAGTGTGGCTCCGTCTTTCTTTCTCCCTCTTCTCTTCGCTGCACTGTGCGTTTTCTCTCCCCATGCATTTTTCCTTCCCCTGCCTCTGCCTTGGTGGCTGTGCGTTTTATTTTAATTTTTGGCCAGGGTGCTTGTACGTTTTTCCCTCTATTGCCGTTGCTCGTCCGATTGCATGGCTGGTCTGGGTGACTGAGTGGGTTTGCCTTACATTTTAATTTGTTGGCCAGGGTGCTTGTACGTTGAATACTATAAAATAAGGAAACATTTATTATATAGTTTCATTAACTTTCCCTCCACTTCCCCAACATTACAGCGCCAGAAATTTGCCAGATTTCTGATGAAATATTTCCAAAAGAATTTCTGTAAGCACAGAGGCCAATATGTCAAAGAGAAAAGAGAGAAGCTTTTCAGCACCATCATCTGAAAAAAGACCTAGGCAAGCCACATTCGATTCTGATGATGACCCTAACGAAGAGGAGTTGTCACAGCTACAGAGTGACAGCGGTTACTACTCACAGCCGGTAAGCAATTTGTCCCACAATGTGGTTTTATATTATGCCTGAGAGAAAAATGAAACTATTGATGATCAGACAAGCATTGGGGGGGGGGGGGGACATGTAAGTTAAGCACCTGTGCTAGGAGAAGGTAAGTACTATCTACTGATAGTAAGTACTAAAGCTGGAATAGGGGATTGCATGCTTGGAGCCAGATTTCTACATCTCCTTAATTACCGCTTATTGTCAGCTTTTGTTATAACCATTCCCAGGGGTCTTTTAAGTTTCCATTAACTTGAGAGCCTGCTTTAAAAGTTGAACTCTCACCTGTCTGCGACAGAAGTTGGTGGAACTTAGCCATGGGTAGAAAAGTTAAGTACCTTTGAGGAGGAGGCCATGCCAGCCAACCCTCTCCCTTTTTTATCTTACAGATTTAAACTTTCATACCGAATAAGCCCAGTAAACAAAAAACAGATAATGAAAGGTTAGAAGCAAGGGTGTGGGTACTATGGCACAGTGTATGTATGACTACCTGCTTGCAGGGTGCAAGTTGAGTATGCTCTGTGCAATGAACTCTTCAAAACCATTAAGAATGATGCCTTATGCTGAGTCTGGTCATTGGTCAGTCTGTGCACCCCAGAGCATCTGTAAGGAAGGAGGTAGTTTTTCAAGTACAGTAGTACCTTGGGTTACATACGCTTCAGGTTACATACGCTTCAGGTTGAGAACAGAAATCGTGCAGCAGCGGCAGCAGGAGGCCCCATTAGCTAAAGTGGTGCTTCAGGTTAAGTACAGTTTCAGGTTAAGAACAGACCTCCAGAACGAATTAAGTACTTAACATGAGGTACCACTGTATTGTATATGGAACACCAGATATTATGGTAAGTGTGGCTTGACTGAAACTGCCTTGCACGTGACAAAAATGCACAGGAGTTCATTATTACCTGCTCACTCAACTTCCTTATCCCTGGGCCTAAAGTGGATACTTTCAGGCAAAATATCTCTTTATATTTCGTTAGTTGCACTTGGGCTTTACCATTGCTCTCACGTTTTTTAGGGAGACTCATTGGACACAGTTTGTGATCTGCTATTTAGGCTACTACTTTAATTGTGTGGGGAAATGGCAAATGAGAGCTGAATGTTCTGCTAGTAAGGATTATTCAGACACCCCATGGTATTGTTAAAAATATGCAAGCATTGTGATGATCTGTGACTTTCTGTTTGTGTACAAAAGATGGGTGATCAGTTTTAAACATCTTTGTAATGTATCTCTAGGTGTCAGGAGAAGTTGGAATAATTGAAAGTATCCAGCTGAAGAATTTCATGTGCCATTCAATGCTGGGCCCCTTCAAATTTGGACCCAATGTCAATTTTATAGTTGGAAATAATGGAAGTAAGTTTTTATTTATTATTTTAAATCATATGGAAAATTATAATATTGGCATTTCTTCCATTCTGTAGCATATTTCTTTTTTATCAATTTCTAATATACCAGTTTTTCTGAACAAAAAGCAGAATAGAACACTAATAAAATACATATAAAAGATTACAAACAATAAAGAAGCAAATTTAGTACCTCTCAAACAATAACTAAGATACATATGAGAGATAAGATGCTTGGAGAGAAGGAACAGCAGAAGATTATGGGGAAGGGGGAAAAGAAAACCCCCAAATCAAAAAGAGAACATTATTCTTATATGTATTTAAGCGTTTCTTTGGAACACAGAAACTGTGTTTTATCAGGTCAGACTTGACTGTCATGTCCAGTGTTGTACATTGTAGCTGACAGTAGCTCTCTAGTCTCAGGCATGCTCTTTCACATCATTGCCTATCAGAAACTATATTGCATTACATGGACTTTTTGCCCTACTGTTCATATTTTTCCTCTCTCCCTACAAATAAGTTTGAGCCTGTATCAGAAGAGGGCAAAACAATCAGTTAGGCTCTTTTCCACAAAAGCTTATAACCAAATGAATTTCACTAATGAAATTTATCTTATTATTTTGCAGTTATTTCTATTGAATCATTGAACAGAATAAGAATCCTCTATTTTCTAACTTTACCTTGCTAATTTTGCAGTGAATATGTTGACACACTGAGTTATCATCAAAGCCCACTTTGTGACTGTCAAAAAAAGCATTAGCAGTATGTACTCATGCTCCTCAGTTGAGCTTTTCCAGTTGGTTCAGGGCCTCCTGACCCACAAGATGTGAAAGAACCATCAATGGCTTGCTGCGATATATTTGTGTAACACTTAAGAGAATGCTAGTTACAAAATTCTTGTATTTATTTCATAAAATGTATGGGTCACTTTTGTAAAAAATAGAAATTAAGCTATATGATGCAATTAATACCAATACATTATTAAAGTGTACGTTAAAAACCCAGTAATGCAACACATTTTCACAATACAGCAGCAAATATGAAACAAATGAATATTGAAGCTATAGCTGACCTAGTCTCTCATGAGAAAAAGTGTCATTGAGTTATTTCTACCCAAGAGTGTTTTTATGTTATGTGATCACATGCTTTATAACCCAATAGCTTCTTTAGGAATGGTCTTTTTAAAAAAGAAAAGAATAAGAGCCATTTTTTGCTGCCTTAAAAATAGCTTGCCAACTATTAAGAGCTTAATAAATGTTGCTTCATTCAGGTGGGAAGAGTGCTGTGTTAACGGCCCTTATGGTTGGTCTTGGAGGAAAAGCTACAGTGACAAATCGAGGAACATCTTTGAAAGTATTTGTGAAAGATGGACAGAGGTAAGTGAAAATCCAGTATTAAGGCAGAACGAGTAAGAACAGTACCAGGGATGGAGGGAAGAATTTCCTGTTCCTCCAGAAATACTCTGCAATCTTTGAGGCCAGTGTCAGGCAGTGAGATCTCTGCAAGAGTAATACATATTAGCTAGCTACCTACACCAACCATTTGTGGTGTCAGCAATCTTTGAGGCCAGTGTCAGCCATTTGTTAGTTCCCAGGAGAGGTTAATCGTAAGTCTGTACAACTCCTCCAGTCCATCTTGGAATTGTTGCAGTCTGCAGACGTTACGGCTTGAGTGTTAGGTTATGCCTTTTTTCTTACCCTGCCTCCTGGTCTAGAAACATTGGGCACTGTTTACTGATATTTGTGCTCATTTTTACAAAGGTGTTGCGTACTGTGGATTAAAAATAATATCTTCCTTGGCATAAGGCTTAGAGTACTTATTTATTATTTCATAAAATACACTACATGATTGTAAAGAAGCTCAAAGCGGTTTACAAAAAAGATAAAACAATAAAATCAAGAAAAATGCACAGCCATGCTTTTAAACATACAAAAAGTTAAAATACTAAAACAGATTAAAATCTCAACTTCTAAGCTCCTGGGTAGGCTTGTCTAAACAAAAATGTTTGTAGCAGGCACCAGAAAGAGTACAGTGAAGGTGCCTGCTTGATCTCAAGAGGCAGGGAGTTCCAAAGTGCAGTTGCTGCCACACTTAACAGCTGCGGAATGGGTCTAATATGGCACCTGTAGTATTGCCAATTCTGCCGATTGAAGCAGTCTAGTGGGCACATGTTGGGTAAGGCAATCTCATCGGTGACCTGGTTGCAAGTTGTTAAGGGCTTTATATGCTACTGGCAACACCTTGAACTTGGTTAAAAAGATAATTTCTTGAATTTACATGTTAATTAAAATCAGCTCATTTTTTGTCTTCAGTTCTGCAGATGTTTCAATAACGCTGCGAAACCGAGGTGAAGATGCGTTTAAACCACAGCAGTATGGTGACTGTATCACCATCAGTCAACGCATAAACTTGGAAGGACATCGTAATTACAAACTGAAAAGCAGCACAGGTACTTTTAATTTTTATGAAGTATTCAAAGAAGCTCTATTTTTAGAAGAAACGTGAGGTGAGCTGCCTTTCTTAAATACAGTAAGCCCATAGCTTGTGTGCATTTAACTTGTATGCATTCAGGCTTACCTGCATGGCAATTTTTTGAACAAAATGAAAAAGGGGGTGGGGTTCTGGGAAAAATGAAGTTGACAATCCTACCTGACATTGAACCTATTGACTCTGCAATTTTAGGCGTGATCCCTAGAACGTAACCCCCACATAAGTTGTGGGCCTCCTGTATCCTCTTGTAAATGTTGGTATAACATGAGCATGCAGATACCTTGTATTGCTCAATATTTTTTTTGTTGGACTGCTTTGGCTTGCTTCATCATTAGCAAGGGTAATGATAGGATTGTGTCTGCATTATACTGGTGTCTACCACGACGTTGTAGGCATAGTAATAAGTCCGAAGGATTGGCCTGGTTTTTCACTCCTCAGGCTTCCCTGTCAATGTTACTAGTCCATCTGCATGCCCCAGCCTGATCATTAGTATTAGATCAGTTTTAATCTAAATTGTACATAGGGAAGCTCAAACAATTTCTTAAAGGGGCACACTAGGAAAACTCAGGATTGTTTCTCTTCTTCTTTTTGTCAGATTGTCTTCCTTGGTGCGAGTCTTCTTCTCTATTCTCTCCCCTATCATGCACTTTTGCGGTTGTTTAAATAAAAAAGGCATTTCAATTTTGTTCCTCCTCCAAGTCACCTTCTGTGTCCCACTCTTCTTGCTTTGCATGTCTCCCTCTGGTGCCATGCCCTACCCCCCTTTGTTATGACTTCACAGAGGAAGGGGAAAGTGTAGAAATCCACTGCCTTGCTAAACATAAACATGTGATAAAGCAACAGGAGAAAGCCTTGGCAGTAGCTGCAGAGCAAGCTCCTCTGGCCCTTCCTCTACTATTGCAGTACAAGTTCATAAAAAAGCAGCAGTGCTTTCCACGGTACATTAGTTGTCCTGGCTGTAGCCACGGCCAGAGAGTTGATTTGCCCTCCAAACTCAGTGGTATGGCCTGGTTGTGCCTCACGAAACCTGAACTGCTGAAGTATTTTGCACGCGCGCGCACGCGCACACACACCCACACCCATCTCCTAGAGATGTCTTTCTCGAACATTCAGCTTTGCATAGGCCCAGACTATACTGGCTTTTTCTTTTTCCTCCTTTGTTCAAATTTTGGTCCTGCTGATATTCTCCCCTCCCGATTACTAAGGAGTTCTATAAAAGGCCAGCCACAGAACAGAACTAAGGAAACAGTAGAAGTAGAGGTCTCCAGGGGGAAAATCTGGTCACACGGTTCCTGCAGTCTGAGCAGTAGGAGGGATCATGGTCCATTTGGGCACCAAGACAAAGCAACATCCTGGACATTTTTAGGGGGAATGGAGGGTATATAAATGCAATAAATATAAATAAGTGTTCATTCTCAGCACCAATATTCTGTTCTACACTAAAGGTATAATTTAATTGGTGTTACATAGTAATTTTAAAAATCTGATTATGGTTTATTCTCACTTTTATATTCAGGTGCCATAATTTCATCCAAGAAGGAAGAACTTACTGCCATCCTAGATCACTTTAATATCCAGGTACGTCTAAATTTGTTTACTTCTACATATAACACCTAATAGATGATTTTTAAAAATTGATTTGATTCTCTTTGCTTAAGGGTGTGTAGACAGTTACTGCAGCTTATGATTCCTCCCCTCCTTGAATTGAAGCCCCTATGCTCAAACTCTTATAGCAACTTTTTGTGCGTCACGAGAAACTGGTTTTGGGTGGTAGTGACTGAGTGTATTGTCAAAAGGTTCCTCTGGGTGTACTGTTTGCAGTGCAGTTCTCTGGATTGTGGCCAGTGGTTATGTGGAATTTGCATTTTAAAAACAAACTTGCCTGTTAAAGCTCTTCTGACATCCTGTTTCAGTGAGCCGTTTGTGACTTCTCAAATTCTTAAAATAGTAAAGGTGCCGTAAAGGAAAATCTTCATGAACTTTTATGTAGTTAATTAAAAGCCGTTACGCTTGAGATACTGTTACAACCATAATAATAATTTATCTTGTCTTGCAATGGATGTTGAAGAGAATTTCTGAATTTCAAGTGACTGCTTACTTAAATATTGACTACTTGCCAAAGCTAAACAAAATAGTAAGTGACTTTTGTTGTTGCAGGTGGATAATCCTGTATCTATACTCACTCAGGAAATGAGCAAACAGTTCTTGCAATCTAAAAATGAAGGTGACAAATACAAGGTAAACAAAACTACCATATGATGTTGTCGGTAATCCATTGGGGAGTGTATGGGGTGTTAGTAGAGGGGTAGTACCTCTGGTGGGGGACATGTCGTGCTTCTTCTGGGGTAGTTTGTCCACCTTTGGTCCCAACCCTCCTAGAAGCTGTCAGTATGCCCAGCTGGTTCCAAACATATTGTTCTGTTTTCCTTTGGACCACATCAGCACAGCCGAGGGAGGGGGGCCTTGTTGTCTGGGCAGCTCAGGACCTCCATTCGCACTGCCTAGGCTTGTGCCCCAAGGAGGTCACTTCAGTGCTGCTAATGACTTCACCCTTGGAAGCACACTCCATTGTCTCTTGAGACAAATAGATACCAACAAATCCATTGGAGATGACCCTTCCTTGTTTTGAGAAGCACAGCACACCACTCTAAGGAATGGAAAGTCTATGTGTGCTCTTCTTATTCAGATTTTGAGCAGCTTGAAGGGCTTGATGGGTATATTGGAAGCATGCACAAAATTTACATTTAGTGGATAGCCATGGTGCTGCTTCTATATGTTCTTATCGTGCACATGTTGAGTGAGGTGGGTGGAGCAGGTAACTAGGGCTTTAATAAAATGTGTAAGTATAAATGGACTGCATTCATAATTCTTAGTCTTTTAGAAAGTCAGTTATAGAACATGAACTTGTGTTTTCTTGCATTAGTTCTTTATGAAGGCAACACAGTTGGAGCAGATGAAAGAAGATTATGCATACATTATGGAAACCAAAGCAAGAACTCATGATCAGATTGAACAAGGAGCAAAGGTATTATAAACAATAATGTTATGTTTCCCAGGCCCACATATTGGACTGTGAAACTCCACTTCCCCCAGCCTTTCATACTGGTTCTAGGTTCACTGAGAAGTGCTAAAATAAGAACAGTAGCCCTACAAAAAGAAGGGGCACGGGTGGCACTGTGGTCTAAACCACTGAGCCTCTTGGGCATGCCGATCAGAAGGTAGGCGGTCTGAATCCCCGTGACAGGGTGACCTTCCGTTGCTCAGTCCCAGCTCCTGTCAACCTAGCAGTTTGAAAGCATGCCAAAAAAAAAGTGCAAGTAGATAAATAGGTACTGCTCCGGCAGGAAGGTAAACGGCGTTTCCGTGCGCTGCTCTGGTTTCGGTGTTCTGTTGCACCAGAAGCGGTTTAGTCATGCTGGCCACATGACCCGGAAAAACTGTCTGCAGACAAACACTGGCTCCCTCAGCCTGTAAAGCGAGATGAGCGCCGCAACCCTAGAATCATCTGCAACTGGACTTAACTGTCAGGGGTCCTTTATCTTTACCTTTTAGTCCTACAAAATAAATTCCTAACACTGATTTATGCTTCATGAAGCATCATAGTAACTTTTTAAAAAATATATACTATTTTGTTAAAGATTTTGTGCAAACAAGCAAAAGCAGTTACAGCAGAATCTCATACAAATGATTTTGTAAAAACACAACTGCAACTTAAAGAAACAATGCACAGATGCAGTAAAACATTTAGTAACATACATAATCTGATACTGAGCTTCCTAGACAACTCCTCTGGGTTTCTTCTGTCCCTAGTAAACACTAAGAAATGGTCCTAGTATCTGTACTGCTGTCATCTCCAACAACATTTTGTGTCTCTCCTTAGTATCTTGAAGAACTTCGGAAGCGTTATTTGGAGAAGGAGGATCGTTACAAAAGTATTGCTTTTGTGAGTGAAATGCAGAATGAACTGAAGAAGTTACAGCACCAAATAGCTTGGGCAATGGTAATTTGTTGTTTCAGTACCTATATATGGGTTTAAATTGTGTGATATTTATTGTGATGCTTACATTAATCTTAAATTTTAGGTGAGAGACACTGAAAATGAAGTTGAAACACTCAGAGATAATATTGGTGCTCTAGAAGCGAGAACTGGAAAATTTGTTGAGAAAGTGAAAGAATGGCAGGTATATATGCATTTATTGCAAATACTGACTTGAATTGCTTTGATTCTCTTGTTAAAGTGAAGCATTGTTTTTGTTTCTTTAATGACTTGGGGAGACTAACAGCCAGTTTAAAAATCTTGCCTGTACACTTTAAAAAATAGGTTAGTGTGACTGGTGTCTTCTGAGACTGCATCACAAAATGTCAGATCTGTTAAGCAGTCTGCTTTATTGTCACCTCTCATCAAAGCCTTAGCCTTCATGCAAGGATCACAAGAAGAAAGAACAGATGCTTCTTGTACAGGTCCACATGAATGCCCTCGCATGAGCTATTTGGCCATCTAATTAAATGTGTGCTACTTGTGAGCTTTCTCATATAAGTAAATTGCATTTAGAAGACTGGAGAAGCAAATATCTCAGTTTTGAGTTACTTTGAGTTACGTGTCAGCTTTGATCGGCTTTGCATATAATCTAATAAATGATGAACAAAGATTTTGTAGAAAATAATTCAGTGTTCCTATTACTGCCCTGTAATATTTGGCATTTGAGCTGATTTTTTTGTTTACATGTGTCTTTTAATGAAGCCAAGTTGAGACAACCATTTGGTCAAGAGTGGATACCACGGCCAGGCCGAAGCCATCAATAGGTCTACCCAAACCACCTCTGGTTGGCTGCCATCCCTGGCCAGAACCTAAAGTATAGCTTGGATACGATGCTGCTTAGTTGATCAGAAAAGGGCAAGAACATATTCCTGGTATTTTTGCCAGGGGCTTCATCTTGCCCAAGGGGGCTGGGATGGATACCCTGGCCCTCTTTTGTGTCAGAAGAGGACTCCAAGATTGAATTACTCACAGTGCTAGGCTGCCCATCCGTTTGTGCTAGGCTCAGCTCTAAGGTTCCCAGTTAAAATCAGAGGCCTGACATTATGTTAATGAAATCCAGAATGAAGTGTTGTCTGGAAAGTAAAAGGTGATCATACTTCATCTGCAAACTGTTGACCCTTTCTCCCGTTCCAAGTCATGGCTGATTTGTCTCAACTTCCTTTAGATCAGTCTCTGCACATTCACCTAATTTCCCTGGTATAATGAGATTTCTGAATGTTTTGTCTTTTCAGACTAAGGTAAAAGATGCAGAAGGAAAACACAGAACTATGCAAGATAAGCTAGAGAAGATAACGGAAGAAGCTCAGGCATTAGAACCATCATGTGCTGCTTTGAAAGCAGACGTTATATCTAAAAGAAGAGCGAAGAATGATGCAGAGGTTTGTAGGTGTAAAGTTCAGACTTAGAAGTTCTGTAAGAATTTGCCACACACTAATGGTCTAGGCATACTTTAGTATTTTGTGCAGATCTGCACTGAAATCAAACACACAGATTCTTTTTATCAGCAGAGTTGAGTGTCTTGGATTGTAAAAGGCATGAAAGCAGAGTAATGGGTCAAATGAGTATAATTTCAAAAAAAGCAGAAGAAATAACAGATCGAAGTTGCTCCTCATCTATAATATTTTTGTCAATCTCTGCTGTAAGTTTGTTCCACTCAGTTGTTCACCAGAGTTTTGCTTTCCTTGTTTAAGGCAGCATATAATCGGTCTCAAAATGAATTGAAACGCTTGGTTAAAGACCATGAACAGCTTTGCAAAAAAATTGAGGAACTGAAGACCAGGTAATGTTTCATTTTCTAAATATGTTGTATCAAAAAGAGAAGTGAGTAAACGGGCATTTTGTTACCCAAAACCACTATATATACATATTTATCTGAAAGAAATGTAATGACAAACAAGAAGTTGAAACATCTCTATGTTATCGATAATTTCCTAAAAGTTCACTTTATGTTTAAACAAGACTGACCAAGTTGAAAACAGAGAAGTTGAAATTTATTATAAGCAGCCTTTTTTATCTCTTGAGTATATATCAGCTTATTAAACTTAATTATATTAAATTTATTTAACTACTTATTAAACTCCGCTAAAACTGTGCTCTGGTTATCTCACACTTTGACTACTCCAGTCTTCTATCTGGCTGCCTTCTCTTCTATTTTGGAAACTTCATTGCAAAATCATTAATATCCATCTTCAGATAATTATTTTTTGTCAGAAGCCTTTAATGCCACTTCTGCATCATGCAGAAACTCTCCTTAAATGCTTTTTGCGTCCTTGCTTCATTAAAGGAAAAAGAAAACCCTTATGAGGGCCCCCTCACTTAAAGATGCTAGCTTTTCTTTTTAGAAGTGCCACAATCACTTGCCCATTTTGGTTTTCCTTTTCTGGATTTAAAATACCCTTTTTGATATTGGGTAACTAGTACTTTAGCATTATTCCAAATGCAGCAACACTATGTGTATAATGGTACTATGATTTGTCAATTGGACAAATCTCCCAGAGAAGCCCTTTATTATTATTATTCATATTATTACTATTTTACAACTGCTACTGGACTATCCACCAGAACCACAAGTTCCATCAGCATAGATGTGAAGCTAGCCCCCGCCCCCCAAACGGCACCTTCCTTTTATTTACACAGAGTCTCATTTGCTATTTTGTTGCCCTTTCAGTCACTTTGGAAATACCCTTTTGGAGCCCTTTGCTGCTTGGCTTGTAAAGATCTTTAAAAATTGGTTACTCCACTGGAATCTAGATAAATGTACAGTGGTGCCCCGCAAGACAAATGCCTCGCAAGACGGAAAACCCGCTAGACGAAAGGGTTTTCCGTTTTTGAGTTGCTTCGCAGGACGAATTTCCCTATGGGCTTGCTTCGCAAGACGAAAATGTCTTGCGAGTCTTGAGATTTTTTTCGCTCCCCCCCCTTTTTCTAAGCCGCTAAGCCGCTAATAGCCTTTTAGCAGCTAAGCCGCTAAGCCTTTAATAGCCGCTAAACCGCTAAGCCGCTAATAGGGTTGCTTCGCAAGACGAAAAAAACCGCTAGACGAAGACACTCGCGGAACGGATTAATTTCGTCTTGCGAGGCACCACTGTATAAGCATCTTAAATAGCACTGATCTCTAATAAAGATGAGTGTGGGGGGTGGCTGCTTACTTCCCTCCTTTGTGATAATTTTCTGTCTCCCCCTCCTTTCTGCTACTTGTTTGTTCATCGCTTGCTGATCCATAAGAGGATGTGTCATTTTGTATGACAGCTAAGTGTACTCTGAAACCTTTGGTGGTAGACTTTATCAAATATAAATCTGCCCACTTTATCCCCCTTGCCCTGTTTCCTCTCTCTGTTTTCCCCATTTTCTATTTAGAGTGTATATTCCTTGCAGGCAGAAAGATGTCTCTAAGATGCAAAGAGTGATGTATAAATAATAATTATATAATTAATCTACAGTGCTTTGCTAAAAGCAGGTAGAAAAGCACATGCTGCTGCCTTTTGTTCAGAGAATGGTAAATAACATAAGTCTCTGTGGGATTTTAAAAATCTATAAATGCAGCCTTAAAATCTGTATTCGTGTTTATTTTAAAATGCAAGTGTGAAACTGTGGCTAGCCAGTTTTGATTAAACTCAAATGCTGCATGCATAAAAGCTGCCCCAAAGGAAAGATGTATGTCACAAAAGTATTCCTCCAGAGCAGCTCTTTAATATAATACTGGTTGGTTTGCATGATGTTACAGTGCTGAACAAATTTCGGAGCCTGAAACGTTGGAAAAACAAGCAAGAATTGAACGAGCAGCTAAGGAAGAGCAGTTAAGGACACTTCTTGATCAAGAAGAATCAAATGATAACCAAATAAAGCAGTTTCAAGAGGCTATAAAAACATACAAGGAAGAGGCTGTGAGGCTTAAGTAAGTTTATGAGATGTAACTGTCGTTATTACTTGATTTGTGTTTTGTGCTATAAGTTGGGCTTCTGAGCATTTATTTTTCTTGCTCTGTGGACCACAGCTAGCACCTTCATTCAGCTCTCTCCTGTCGGGCATATTTGTCTGAGGAGAAGCATGTATGTTCAACTCTTTCTTGGTTAGTTTTGGGAAAGGACAAGGGATCGTTTCAGTTTCAGTTCCCTGTTGTTTTTCTTCAAGGGGTAGAGGTGATTGCCTTTTTGGTAAAGACATCTGACATCCCACTTTGCAAACAAACACATCTTGTTTTTTTGAAAAATGAAAAACAATAAAAGCAGTTATTTTATAAGCTTCCTCTGGAGAAGGGCACCCAAGGTACCAATTTGGAGAATGTGTTATTAAATACAAATGGCTTGCAGTTTTGCAAACAGCTTCCTGATGATTAGTTGGAATCTTCTTTCTTGTAAATTGAAGCCATTGGTTTGGGACCTACTGTCAAGAGCAGGAGAAAGCAAGCTTGCTCCATCTTCCATGTGACAGCCCTTTTAGATATTTGAAGATGGCTGTTTCCTCTCAGTTGCTTCTTTTTCAGGCTAAACATACAGAAATGAAGCTCCCTTATTTTGGTCATTGAATGTGGCATGTTGTTTACTTAATCTTGTTACAGTGAAACCTTGGTTCTCGAACTTAATCCGTTCTGGGAGTCCATTTGACTCCCAAAACTGTTTAAAAACTAAGGCGCGGCTTCCGATTGGTTGCAGGAGCTTCCTGCACTCAAACGGAAGCTGCGTTGGACATTCAGCTTCCAAAAAACATTCGCAAACCGGAACACTTACTTCCGGGTTTGCAGCTTTCAGAAGCCGATTTGTTTGACAACAAATCAAAGCCATTCAGGAAGGTATGACTGTATATTAATAGTAGTCAAATGTGCTTGTTTGTATGTTATTCTGTTTTTGTTTTGCTATGTTACTATGAAATTGTTTAGTAGTGTTTGTTTGAAATGCAACCCTGTTTCTTTGTTACAAGTCACTTTGAGCTTGTTTCTGTGTGTGGAAAAGTGGCATACAAATAAAGTGAATCAATGATTGACTTGGAAGCCCTGCTAAAGCAATTGTGCCTTATAAGCAATCAGGTGGTGTGCAAAAGGCTACCTGTTTCTATAAAATGGACTAGGCCGTAATAATAATGCATGATATTTCAGTAGCTTCTTTGTTGTTTTAGGAAGGAAGAATTGGAACTGACGCAAATATTGGATTCTCAGCAACGACAGCTAAAAGAGTTAAAGGAGAGTAAAACAGATCAACTGAAAAGGTTTGGACACTATATGCCAAAGCTCTGTAAAGCAATTGAAGAGGCTCACCAGCAGGGGCAGTTTAAATACAAACCATTAGGACCCGTAGGTAATTTATAATTCTCCTTGTAAATAATTTTTAAACATTGAAAAGTAGACTATGGATACTGCATCACAATTTTAATGGTTCTCAAATTTGATCCTGAAATAGAAATAGTAAACTTTGTGATTTCTTGATGTACGTCCATGGCTGTGTTCTTCTTCACCAGGATGAATAAGGAAGTAATTTTCTTTAGGTCTTGAGAAAAATGGTGACAGTGGGAGACTCTTAAATTCCTATTCCCCAACTATTTCACAGTCTTAGCTGTGCTTTTATAACCCTCTTCAGATATTTGCACGAATCGCCTGCATACCCCTGCCCCCATCCCCAGTTTTACACATTGCAGTTAATCTGCAAGTTAATGTACAAGCAGTCCATAGTTGGTCTATAAGTAGTTTACTGACCACCAAGTACCGTGCATATATTGAGGATTTGCATTTTAAAAACAGACTACCATGACTTTGTTGTGCTTTTTTTGCGTGCTTCAGTATTGGGAATACTTACTCTTGTTTTGTTTTGGGCCACTGTGTGAAAAAGATTTTGTACTAGGTAGGCCTTTGGTCTTATTTAACAGGGCCGCACTTGCGTTCTTAGGAGTGGCTGGCCACCTTTGCTTCATTGTAAAGTGGTTTCAGCCTTGCCAGGAGGTTATAGCTTGTGGATTTGCATTCATTTTAGTGGAATAATCTTATGGGAAGTTGCTTTTAGAATAAAAGTTCAAACCTTTTTTGATATTTGTTGCGTTCTATAGAAAGGCAAGAACTTTACACTGATTAAAAAATGGAAAAAGCAAGGATAAGAAAAAAAAATATTTGGAAAGTGTATTGAAGTTTTGAGGTATTTTAAAAAAAAAAAATTCAAAAATTAAACTGTGCCAGTCATAGGCCAAGATAAGCATTGTCTCTACTGGTGGTTTCAAAGGATTTAAATCTCCTGCATGGTAGAAACATAGTCACAGGCCCAAACTAAATTTGACATTAATGGTTTGCAGGTATGTAAACCGCACATTCATTACATTTTAAACAGCCATTGCATATGCACATTCAATCTCTCTCCCCCTCCCTCCCTGATTCCCCCTCCCCACATAAGCTGCTATTAGTTTTGGATGTGGAGCTCCAAAACTCCTGCAGTTGCTACTAAACCCCCCATTAATGAGCATTTTAATTGATTTGATGTCTAGTGTGGTGAACTTCTGAAAATGGAGTTACCTCCAAGCTACCTTTTATATTACTATGGCATTTTCACAGAAGAGGGGGTGAGAACTTCAGGCTGCGGCGTTCAGATGGTTTAATGTTGACATTACATACAATGCTGAGACTTTCTTCTTGCATTCAGGTGCTTTTATTCATCTGAAAGAGCCTGATTTTGCGCTGGCTATTGAGACATGTTTAAAAAGCTTGATCTCGGGATTTTGCTGTGATAATCATAAAGATGAACGAACTTTACAGATGTTAATGTCCAGATTCTGTGAACCTGCTTCTCGTCCTCAAATCGTTGTTAGTTCTTTCCAAAATAAGCTTCATGATGTAAGCCAAAGGTGAGTGTATCTGACACGTGGTCTGTGTAAACTGGAATTTTGAATTTTCATTAAGGGTTTATAGTTATGCTGCATTACTGTTGAGGGTCATTGATAGAACTATTGACTTAATGGTAACTTATATATTTGTTATTGTCACCCTTAGTTCTAACAAATATTATGGGACAAGAGACCTTCTTTCAGATAGTATACAAATGGTTTCATTTCCCAGTTCTTTGACAGCAGCCTGTTTGCAGAATATCAAAGTGCAGTGTCTAAGGGTGCACACCATAAGTATTTTACTAGTAATTAAACCCACTGAACTCAGTGGAAGTTATTTTGGAATAAATACGCATAAGATTGGGCTGTAAGATTAGTTATTGGTTATGTAAAATTATTCATAATGTTAATGAACTTGGCTGCTTATGCTGGTTTGCAGTGGAATCAGGTACTTCACTCTGAATTGCTACATATCCAAACACTGCTACAGCTTTGAGCTGATTAATTAGAATTCATCTTGCTGTATGCAGTGGTGCGCTTCTGTTCATGGAAGGACATTTGAGCCAAGTGACGTTTCTGCTAATGAAAGGCAGAGAAGCCATTTTTGTTGGTTCCTCCCCCCACCCTTTTCCACCCTGTGGCATGGGAGGTGGTGTGAGGGGCTTCACAAAACAGGAGGAATCAGCAAAGGTTTCCAGAGTTCTGCACTGATTTAAATACCCCTTTGCAAATGGAACAACTTCATCCATGGGGGGGGGGGGGCAACACACACACATCATTTTAGATAGATTTTCCAAATATTGTCAATACATTTATGCTTCTGAAAATGTAACTGAAATGCTCTATGCCATCTTTTGTAAGACTGCAAGTGAAGTGACTGCATTGTAAGAACATAAAATAAAATAGAAATGCTACCGGGTTGTTTTTTTGTTTTTTGTTTTGTAATAGGGAAGTTGTTCATCCTGAATTCCCATCAGTCTTGGCTGCGTTAGACATCGATAATGCAGTAATAGCCAATTGCTTAATTGACATGCGGCGTGTAGAAACAGTCCTGTTAATCAAAGTAAGATTTAATTCTCATACCTCTAGTGCATAGAAAGCCTTACTTGATGTTTCTATAACAGTTCAGATAATTCTGTATTACCTTGGACCAAAGATTTTCAACCTTTTTGAGTCCACAGCTCCCTTGACCAACTACATTCTTTCTGTGGCACCCTTGTGGGGCTCAGAAGCCCAGTTATGTCACCCCTTGCCTGCAGAGCCGGCAGTCTCTCACGCTTTCTCAAACACCCTCCATTGTGGAGTGTTCCCTCAACTGTCTCCTTGGGAGTCCTCTGGGCAGCCGCTGCCACTGCTGCCGCCCCTGATCTCTGAGCTGCCCCCCTGGCCCAAAGAGAGGTGACTCCTCACACTGCCCCACAGGGACCTAGGACTTTCTGTCCAATCCCAACAGCAAGGGCTGGACTCCCTGGCTTGCTTGCTTACTCTGAGGCCACCTCAGCTCCTGGCAACCAGCACCCCCTGACCAGCCCCAGAGGCACCAGTCACCTCCAGAGTTTGTAGCTAGGGCTGCTGCAACAAACAGTTGTGGAAGCCATTGGGAGGCAGAGACATGAGAGGACATCAGAGGAGGGAGGGAAGGAAAGAGGGATAGAGGCCAGTGTTGCCTGCAGCACCCCTGACCATCGTTCAAGGCACCCAAGGGTACCACGGCACACTGGTTGAAAACCACTCACTTAGACCACTCACTGCATGCTATTTCTATATCACATGTAACAAAGAAATAATTTTAAATGCCAGGTGTTTCTCAAATTGACTTGCTGGTTATGTTAGAGAGAGTGGAATTTAACAAGAGGTGTGATTATTGCAGTGCATGGGAAAAGCTCGTTGGTTTCTGTCTACAGTTTCAAGAGAGATTGGCAGCTGATTTTATTCAAGGCAGGTAGACTGTAGTAGCCCCACTGTTCTCTCTCTGCAGGGAAGAAATATCCATGATTCTGAGAGAGGGAAAATTCTGCTGGGAAATATGTCACATCCCCTAAAGATGCATGCAGACAAGACAGCACTCCAGTGTGTGTTATAGTTGCCCACTGGATATTTTAAAGGACAGTTGCTCTGTGACTGACAGGAAGTAGCTTAATAGTCACATTAATTAATTAGTATATTTTAAAGTTGAGACATCAAGTTCCTTTTTACTCAGCTCTGAATCCTCCAGTCTCAGAGGAGAAAGTTTTTGTTATCCATGTTTTCTCCCCTAGAGTAATGAGGAAGCTCGTAGAATTATGCATCAAAACAATCTTCCGAGAAATTGTAGAGAAGCTTTCACTCGTGATGGTGATCAGGTGTTCTCAAGACAGTATTATTCTTGTGAATATAAAAGGCCCCGCATCCTCAGCAAAGATGTGGAGGCAGACATAAGGTGAGCATCAGTTACTTACCAGCTTTCAATTCTTGTGCTCTGTTGTTTTAGAATTTCTGTGTACATTTGTTAACAATACTTTGTTTCTTTAAGTCACTTGGAGAAAGAAGTTGGAAACAAAAAAACCCATCTGTCAGTAATTCAACAACGTATACGTTCTACTGAGAATTCTATAAGAGAAAACGAACATTTCCTTAAAACTCATCGTTGGGACCAAGAACAATTAAAAGTAAGAGATACGTAGGAAGAAGCTCCCGTATTGGATAATTATTCTTAATTGTTGTTAGTGTTTGATGTTGACATGCAGGAGCTTTTTAGAATATGAGTAATCCTTGTTTTTCCTAATTTCATGGCATTAATTGTTTCAAAAGCATTGTTTCAAAAGTGTGCTGCTGTTGCGAAATACCTAGCATTGCGTGGCATACCAGTATAGGGAAAACAAATGCTTTTGTAAATTTTAATTGGCAATGGGCTTTTAAACAGTATTTAGGGTTGTGTCTTCACGGTTCAAAAGAACCCTTGGGTTCAACAAACATCCACTGAGTGCTCTGCAAAATTTTACAAGTGCTCACCTTTGGCATGAGTTATCTATGCCTCTTAAATATTTTGTAGCTGTTAAATTGCTTTTCTGCTCGTGTTTGCGAAGTCGTTTACTTGGGGGTAGCGAGTGAAATCGGATTGGATTTCAGCTAGCTAAAGTAGAAGCGGGTGGGCCCTTCCAACTGCTGGAGCTGCTGTGCAGTGGAAAGCCAGTATAATGCCTCCTAGAGGTTACCTGCACATTTTGCTTCATAACTTTTTCTTGGAGGGACTAGAGACAATTTTAAAACAATGAAAGCTCAGAATCGGGGGGGGGGAGGGGCTTCTGCCAAGGGGTACCATCGATGGGCTTTGTGGGTCCTGGGATGGCAAGCTCTGGAGTAAGGGTATATTGGGTTGTAGCTTAAATGTCTGTATTAAATCCAGTGTGATCCCCCCCCCATACCGTTTATTTTTATTGTCATTGCAGATAAAAGTGAATGAAATAAAGCTAAAAATTATGGAGCTCGAGAACGTGGAGGAACAGCAGTCAGTCATCATCTCTACATTAGTAAGAATTGCGCACTTTCTACCTTTCTAAGTATTTATATATCATAGAGGTGTTTGTGCTAGTGGCAGAGAGCATATTTTGTTATACTGATCAATAAGAATTCTAAGGATTCAACTTATTTCTTTTTTTTTAAGATGAGCAAGAAATGGGTTAATTTGAAGTGGTTATAATTCAACCAAAGAGGGGTGCTGGGTAGCTTAAAGACTAACAGCTTTGTTGTAGCACAAGCTTAAGCCACAATAAACCTACTAGTGTTTAAGACTCTAGTAGTATAATCCTATGCATAGTTAAAAGCTCCCATTTCCGAGCCAGTGCAGACACACGGGCAGGAGAAGAGTGAGCTTTTTCTTTTGAGGAACTCCTCACTTATTGAACAGGAGTCTCAGTTAAAAGTTTCTTAACAGGGACTCATCTCCCTCTTCCATTTGGGGCTTGGTTTCATCGGTATGCTGATGCTGCCCATCTGCTTCTCTATAACATCTAAATCAATTATGATCTTGGACCAGCATGGCTGGATGCAGAGGTGGGCTGGATGAGGGCCAATAAACTGAAGCTAAATCCTAGTAAGGCAGAGTCCCTGTAGGTAAGTGATTCTTAGATCTGGGAAACTGGTGAACAGCCTCTCCTGCATGGGATTGCCCTCCTCATGAAGGAACAGGTACTTGCCAGAAGGTCTCCTGTATCCATTGTTGTCACTGGAGGCTCAGGTAGCTGTAGTGATTAGGAGTGTCTTTCTCCAACTTCTGCTGGTTTCCTAGCTATGATCATTCCTGGAAAGGGAGTAGCTTGGTCATAGGGAACTGTGCATTAGTAACCCTTAGACTGGATTACCGCAGAGTGCTCCATTATTATGGTGGTTCAGAAGCAACAACTAAGGCAGAACGCAGTGTCAAGATTTGAGGTTTTGTTGTTAAACTGTAAAGCAATTTAGGACCAACTTACCTGAGAGAGCTCCTCCTCTCATATACAAATGTCTACTTACCATCATTGCCAGGTGAGGTTCTCACAGCCATCAGAAGTGCATCTTACAGCCACCTGGGAGAGAGCTTTTACAGTGATAGCAAATGTTGTTGTTGTTTAGTCGTGTCCGACTCTTCGTGACCCCATGGACCAGAGCACGCCAGGCACTCCTATCTTCCACTGCCTCCCGCAGTTTGGTCAGACTCATGTTTGTAGCTTCGAGAACACTGTCCAGTCATCTCGTTCTCTGTCGTCCCCTTCTCCTTGTGCCCTCAATCTTTCCCAACGTCAGGGTCTTTTCCAGGGAGTCTTCTCTTCTCATGAGGTGGCCAAAGTATTGGAGCATCAGCTTCAGGATCTGTCCTTCCAGTGAGCACTCAAGGCTGGTTTCCTTAAGAATGGATACGTTTGATCTTTGTGCAGTCCATGGGACTCTCAAGAGTCTCCTCCAGCACCACAGTTCAAAAGCATCAATTCTTCGGCGATCAGCCTTTTTTATGGTCCAGCTCTCACTTCCATACATCACTACTGGGAAAACCATGGCTTTTACTATACGGACCTTTGTTGGCAAGGTGATGTCTCTGCTTTTTAAGATGTTGTCTAGGTTTGCCATTGCCTTTCTCCCAAGGAGCAGGCGTCTTTTAATTTCATGACTGCTGTCACCATCTGCAGTGATCATGGAGCCCAAGAAAGTAAAATCTCTCACTGCCTCCGTTTCTTCCCCTTCTATTTGCCAGGAGGTGATGGGACCAGTGGCCATGATCTTCGTTTTTGATGTTGAGCTTCAGACCATATTTTGCGCTCTCCTCTTTCACCCTCATTAAAAGGTTCTTTAATTCCTCCTCACTTTCTGCCATCAAGGTTGTGTCATCTGCATATCTGAGGTTGTTGATATTTCTTCCGGCAATCTTAATTCCGGCTTGGGATTCATCCAGCCCAGCCTTTCGCATGATGAATTCTGCATATAAGTTAAATGAGCAGGGAGACAATATACAGCCTTGTCGTACTCCTTTCCCAATTTTGAACCAATCAGTTATTCCATATCCAGTTCTAACTGTAGCTTCTTGTCCCACATAGAGATTTCTCAGGAGACAGATGAGGTGATCAGGCACTCCCATTTCTTTAAGAACTTGCCATAGTTTGCTGTGATCGACACAGTCAAAGGCTTTTGCATAGTCAATGAAGCAGAAGTAGATGTCTTTCTGGAACTCTCTAGCTTTCTCTATAATCCAGCGCATGTTTGCAATTTGGTCTCTGGTTCCTCTGCCCCTTCAAAATCCAGCTTGCACTTCTGGGAGTTCTCAGTCCACATACTGCTTAAGCCTTCCTTGTAGAATTTTAAGCATAACCTTGCTAGCGTGTGAAATGAGTGCAATTGTGCAGTAGTTGGAGCATTCTTTGGCACTTCCCTTCTTTGGGATTGGGATGTAGACTGATCTTCTCCAATCCTCTGGCCACTGCTGAGTTTTCCAAATTTGCTGGCATATAGAGTGTAGCACTTTAACAGCATCATCTTTTAAAATTTTAAATAGTTCAGCTGGAATACCATCACTTCCACTGGCCTTGTTATTAGCAGTGCTTTCTAAGGCCCATTTGACTTCACTCTCCAGGATGTCTGGCTCAAGGTCAGCAACCATACTACCTGGGGTATACGAGGCATCCATTTCTTTCTGGTATAGTTCCTCTGTGTATTCTTGCCACCTCTTCTTGATGCCTTCTGCTTCTGTTAGGTCCTTTCCACTTTTGTCTTTTATTATGGAAATCTTTGTACGAAATGTTCCTTTCATATCTCCAATTTTCTTGAACAGATCTCTGGTTTTTCCCATTCTATTGTTTTCCTCTATTTCTTTGCATTGCTCGTTTAAGAAGGCCTTCTTGTCTCTCCTTGCTATTTTTGGAAATCTGCATTCAATTTCCTGTATCTTTCACTATCTCCCTCGCATTTTGCTTGCCTTCTCTCCCCCACTATTTGTAAGGCCTCGTTGGACAGCCACTTTGCTTTCTTGCATTTCCTTTTCATTGGGATGGTTTTAGATGCTGCCTCCTATATAATGTTACGAGCCTCCATCCATAGTTCTTCAGGCACTCTGTCCACCAAATCTAAATCCTTAAACCTGTTCCTCACTTCCACTGTGTATTCATAAGGGATTTGACTTAGATTATATCTTACCAGCCCAGTGGTTTTTCCTACTTTCTTCAGTTTAAGCTTGAATTTTGCTATAAGAAGCTGATGATCTGAGCCACAGTCAGCTCCAGGTCTTGTTTTTGCTGACTGTATAGAGCTTCTCCATCTTTGGCTGCAGAGAATATAATCAATCTGATTTCGATGCTGCCCATCTGGTGATGTCCATGTGTAGAGTCGTCTCTTGTGTTGTTGGAAAAGAGTGTTTGTGATGACCAGCTTGTTCTCTTGGCAGAACTCTTTGCCCTGCTTCGTTTTGAACTCCAAGGCCAAACTTGCCAGTTGTTCCTTTTATCTCTTGACTCCCTACTTTAGCATTACAATCCCCTATAATGAGAAGAACGTCCTTCTTTGGTGTCATTTCTATATGGTGTTGTAAGTCTTCATAGAATTGGTCAATTTCAGTTTCTTCAGCAGCAGTAGTTGGTGCATAAACTTGATTACTGTGATGTTAAAAGGTCTGCCTTAGATTCGTATTGAGATCATTCTATCATTTTTGAGATTGCATCCCAGTACAGCTTTTGCCACTCTTTTGTTGACTATGAGGGCCACTCCATTTCTTTTATGGGATTCTTGCCCACAGTAGTAGATGTGATGGTCATCCGAACTGAATTCGCCCATTCCCGTCCATTTTAGTTCACTGATGCCCAGGATGTCAATATTTATTCTTGCCATCTCACTTTTGACCACATCCAACTTACCCAGGTTCATGGTTCTTACATTCCAGGTTCCTATGCAATATTTTTCTTTACAGCATTGGACTTTCCTTTCGCTTTCCTTTCGTGATAGCAAATACCATGTGTGAAATAGTCTCCCCTCATGCATCTGGCATGCATCAATAACACCCCCCCCGGTCACATGCTAAAAACACATTAGTTCACACAGGCATTCTATGACCTTTGTTTGTACTCCTGCCTAAATAGATACTGTATTGCTCAAATTTCTTGTAATGTATTTTTATACTGTTTCGCTGCTTTGTAATCTTACTCTCAGGGTTTTGCTTTGAATGTTTTAAAATACAAAATGATTTATAAGTGTCCTCAAATAAATTAAATGGATTGGGGCCCAGTTTAATTATTAGTAATTGAAATTAGCTTAACCGTAACCTGGAAATATTTCTAACAGGAAGAAGAAGCTCAAGATAACAAGAGGAAGATGGAAACTGTAGAGGAGCACATGCATCAACAGAAAAAGAAAATGGAAGATGCGAAATGTATTCTAAAAGAGGCAGAACAAAAACTTGAAGTGATTAGAAACAAAATCCATCGAGTAGAAGAAGAAGCTGACCCAGTCCGGGTAAAAAACCACTAATATATTCATTTTAAAAATCCTGTGGAGAATCTGCAGACACTGGGTTACATCAAGTGGTGTTGCTCAGCCCAATAGTAAGGGTTCCTTCAGCAGAATGGGAAAGGAAGCAATTTTCAGCATTTCCTCTCCCCCCCCCACTGCTGTGCAACCCCTCTAAATCTCCATTGTGCTGAGATTTGGGGGGCAGCACAGGACTACAGAGGGAGGGGGTATCAGTGAAAATTGCTTCTTTCCTCATTCTATATCAGGTATACAATTACCATCAGCTGAGTAACACTGTTGGATACAACGTGTCACAAATGCATGGCATCAGACTCAAGGAATTTTAACAAAAAGTGAATTTTTCAATTGAGATTAAAGAGATGGCATTTCTAGAAGTTGTGAAGCTGTAAAAATACCCCACAAAATCAAAATATATGAAATACATTTCTTATCAAATCTAAACATTTTACTTTTTTAGCACCATAAAATGCACCACATATAACATTTTCTTTCTGACTCCTGTGTAATTTAAAGGCTTGCTACACACTAAACTGAGTTGATACCAAACTGGTATTATCTGATTTATTTTGACTTTATGTATAATACTGAAAACAATTGTTCTTAACTGATAATAATAATTATCCTTCAATTATAATTAGCTACAAGATAAGTACGATAATATAGTTTTGTTTATATGTTATCCAGTTTCACTGTACTTTGCCATATTGGGTACGCAAGTACAGTGGTACCTCGGGTTACATACGCTTCAGGTTACATACGCTTCAGGTTACAGACTCCGCTAACCCAGAAGTAGTGTTTCAGGTTAAGAACTTTGCTTCAGGATGAGAACAGAAATCGTGCTCTGGCAGCGCAGCAGCAGCAGGAGGCCCCATTAGCTAAAGTGGTGCTTCAGGTTAAGAATAGTTTCAGGTTAAGTACAGACCTCCGGAACGAATTAAGTACTTAACCTGAGGTACCCCTGTATGCTGTCTTAAACTGAAGTTGATAAATTAACACTTTGTATGCCACTTTCATCTTACTAAAACTAGTTTACATTTCATGTTGATTTGTTAACAGGATGGACTGCATGAGGTGGATGAAGAACTGGAACGAAGTAAAAGCCATTTGCGGCATTATGAGGAAAAAGAAAAATCCCATTTAGGAACTATAAAAACTCATAAAAATGATCTAGCTACAAAAGAGAAAGAATTAATGGTGTGTATTTAGTTTAATCTGATTTAAACCTTTCCTTCTTTTTGCTAGTGAAATAAATGTTGAAAATGTTTGTTACATTCTCTTACGCACCCTTTCATTTACTCATCTCTATATTTCTGTGGAGTTAATTTTAATTACAATAGGCTAAATGAAACATGGCGAGGGACACGGGTGGCGCTGTGGGTTAAACCACAGAGCCTAGGGCTTGCCGATCAGAAGGTTGGCGGTTTGAATCCCCGCGACGGGGTGAGCTCCCGTTGCTCAGTCCCTGCTCCTGCCAACCTAGCAGTTTGAAAGCACGTCAAAGTGCAAGTAGATAAATAGCTACCGCTCCGGCGGGAAGGTAAACGGTGTTTCTGTGTGCTGCTCTGGTTTGCCAGAAGTGGCTTAGTCATGCTGCCCACATGACCCGGAAGCTGGCTCCCTCGGCCAATAAAGTGAGATGAGTGCCGCAACCCCCGAGTCGTCCATGACTGGACCTAACGGTCAGGGGTCCCTTTACCTTTTTAATGAAACATGGCACACGGAATGTGTTTTGCAGAATACATTTCCTGCATGCTCTCTATGCATTTTCCCTTTCAAATGTCAGATTTGTGGCTCCCTGAGTGCTTCAGCGTTGGCCTTCGGTCCCCACTGATGCAAGTAGAGATCGGTCAGTTGCTAGGCAGTGTTTTGCTTTGGCGGTATGGAGTTGCTGACTGCGGGAGCTAGTTGTTTTTCAGTTAGGTGTGCTATGAAATGGAGTATTGGTCTGCTGATTATTGCTGTCACAGAGGCTCTGAAGCCTTTGTGTTGAAACAGCCCTGTCCTTTTCTCCACTGCCATCTCTGGGGCTAACGACTTTTTGAGGGCTTTCTTCAGCCTGCACTGGTGACAACAGGATCTGGGGGGGTTGGGAGATTAGCTTGATTGCTATGTCAGAGAGAAAGAGAGAATAAGATTCTGGTAACAGTGGTAACATATAATACCTTATACACCAGGTACGCCCAACTCCCAAGAGACTGCGATCTACTCCCAGTATAAAAAAAACCTGGCAGTGATCTATCCATTGTCATTAGAGGGGGGACACCAAAGTTGTTGGGATTTTTTTGGGGGGGGGGGGAAGGCCAGGTTTGTTGTTTTCTGACAGCTAATGTGGCCCTCAAGAAAGGGAAGGTTCCCCATCCTTTGGGGATGATTCCGGGATATTCTTTACAAGGTTACATTGATTGCTGATACACAGCATGCAAAGCATTTTGAACACTGCAAAACATTATGTAAAATGTTGGGTATCATTTCCTATTATACTAGAGTGATCTACACATTTTTTTAAAAAAAAAGAAGTGGAAGAAAAAAGCCCCATTTGCTTGTCATATTAAAATGGAGGGGGATTTTATTAACCCTGCTTCTAAGCAAAATACACAAGAGTTTAAATCTCTTTTTGTTGTTGCATTTTAACACTTTAGGAAATGATTGCAAAGGCTTCAGAAATCCATCCCGAGCGAATAGAAGTAAATAGAACATATAAGAGTCTTGATACAGAAATAAACCGCTTAAAAGAAAAGATCAATTCAGAAAGAGAACGTACTGGAGATAGAGAAGAAATAATCAGGTAAATGTAATGGTTCCTTTGGCTGTTCTTTTTGAGGTGGGATATTCTTCCTGCTCTTTCCTTAAGACCTAATCCCGTTTTAGAGCCATGCAAGCAAACACCTAACCAATTTTCTGACAGTAATAGCACTTTTTCTGATGACTTTTTTCTTCTTTTTTCTGTTGTGAATCTACCAACAATCAATGTTATTGGTGTGCACAGATTCCACCATTATGAGAGGAACTGGGCAGGCCTCTGCCCAATTTGAGGCCAGTTCCCCCTTTCTAGCAGGCCCCTTGCATCCCATGCCACATTGCTCAGAAGAGACCCTCACGGCTTCCCCTAGAAAAGTTTGGTGGGACATAGGTGCCTGCCACATGGGGAAGGAAGAGGTCAGAGATTTTCTTGTGAATTTTGTTAATTGAACTTAGCATCCAAGCCACAGTCTTCAACTAATTGATCCTTATTTTGGACACATTTTATTGACCTGCAGAGAGCTTCAGGAAGCAAAAGAAAAATATCAGACTGCAGAGAGTGAAGTCAAGAATTTGAAGAAATTTATTAAACTGTTGGACGAGGTGATGGTTGAGAGATATAAAAGATACCTGAAGTTTAGAAGGTTGGTGTGATGTTATTTACATTTACTGACATACTGCGGGGGTGGGGAGAAACTGTGTTAATAGATGTTGAAAAGAACCAGAGTAGCAAAACTAGAATCCCAAATTACAGTTTGGTACTTGAACATCACCTGTTGTTCAGGATTGGTTTCAACTGGTGAGCCAGCCAGAGCTGGAAGAAAGCAGTTTATACCTGGGCTTCTAGTGACAGTGCTGGATTCAGGAGCATGCTTGGGTATATACATCTCTCTCTCTCTCTGTATATATATATATATTATATCTATATTTTTTCATTTCTTCAATCTAAAGGTTCCTTACAGTGCGATGCAAATATTACTTCAACTGCTTGTTAAGTCAGCGATCGTACTCTGGAAAAATTGAGTTTGACCACAAGAATGAAAAGCTTTCAATTACTGTAAGTCATTTTGGATTTCCTTATTAATTGCTGTGTGCTGTTTGATAGTTGGTCAAAGGCTTATCTCATCAGCAGCTCATATAAGTTACTTACCAGCCAATATTTCGAAACCACTTTCTTGGTTTAGGGGAGGAAGGTTGACCCTTTAATCCCAGTTTTTACAAAATACTGTTTAAAATAACACAGTTGTTCTTGGATTACAGATCTTAAAAGGGGGGGAACCTAAAAGCGGGGAAGAGTAGGGGAAGTGACTTAATAATTACGTAACCCGAAAGGCAGAAATTTAGAAGAATCACGGACCTATTTGCATTGGAGCCCTTAATTCACAAAATTCTGTGTCCAAAGGTCAAGCATTTTCTATATTTTTGCCCTCATCCATTTACAACAGGACTCCGTATGTCATCTTTTGTCTATTTCCCTACTTTTAAATTTGAGTTTGCTCAAATCACTCAACAGAAAATTTCTCAGCAGTTATCAAAAAATATAGTCATATACAGTGCTATTTTTCTAGAAAAAGAGGTGCTGGAACTCACCATGAGCGCCTCCCTTGTTCTCTTACAATGGCAATGGTGCCCACCTGAGAGGTGCCGGAACTGAGTTCTAGATGGAAAAAAAGCCCTGGCCATGACATGTGACATTCTGTGCATACACTGGATAGCCTCCATATCTAAGCTGGCATTCTATCTACATATCTGTTACTGTTTGAGTTATTTTACTTGGGAGCTCAGCCTCCTTGCTGCCAAACACTCTCAGCTACTGAGGACTTTCCAGAAACATTTCCACAATTGCGTAATTTTCTGTGCTGTCCCAGCCCTACAAGCGAGACACTCTATATCAGGCATAGGCAAACTGGCCCTCTAGATGTTTGGGACTACATTTCCCACCATCCCTAGCTAACAGGACCAGTGGTCAAGGATGATGGGAATTGTAGTCCCCAAACATCTGAAGGGCTGAGTGTGCCTATCCCTGCTCTATATAGTTTAACATGCATATATCTCTGGTTCCACACAAAGCTAATGGAAATTCCTTGTAAAGCTATCTTGGGCACTGTAGCGTAGTTCCCCCTCAAAAGTATTACAGGGAGGAAAGATGTTTGTTCTTTTCAGGCACAGTTTTCAAATGTATAGATGGTATATACTATTTATATTTTAAGTGTTTTATATTGGTTAGCTTAGTCCGATCAAAATCAACAAGGCTAAAATAAGCTGCTCTGCTGCCACTCTTCTGCCAAGCTTAAACATATTTTAAAGGCAGTGGCTTGTGCATTATTTTATCTTCATTAACATTTTTTACCTAATGATTTCCATTAGTCTGTCATGCAGACCATTCTTCAGCTGAATCTGGCTTGAATTGATCATGGTGTATTTATAGATAAATACAGTGGTGTCACTTGACAGGGGAAATAGTTGTGACAGTTATGACCTCAAGGTGTCCTCATAATTCCAAGAAAGACTGGCTATACTGAATTAATTTTACAGAAGAGAGGCTGGAAATGGCATGTATTTCACTTTCTTAGCATGTTTGTATAGCACAGCATCATTTTTCTGTGGTTGCCCAGTGCTACAAGTTTGGATGCAATTTATGAAGCATTGTCAATGAAAACTTGTTTTATTTTTGGGGACTTGTAACGGTATTGGCCTGTCACTAGCTTGTTTAGTTACTGCAACTGCTGCATGTTTGTTTCATGAAGAGTCTTTTCGTTTTAAGCCGCGCTGAAATTAGGTCTGAATACTCTGTTTACACAAATTCTGTAATTGAACTTCTTGCTTCAGATTGATTTGGTATTGCTGGCTGTTAGTAGTTTTTTTCACAGTGGAGGAGGCTTCTGTGAGATAGGTTGTGATCAGTGATTCACTTTTTCTGGAAATGTTTTCTGTGTAAATTAAGGTAATTTTCTGATGCCGTATAGCAGGTATGGGGACTCTTTGGCCCTCCAGATGTTGCTGAACTATAACTCACTAGCCCCAGTTACAGGTAGGTAGCCGTGTTGGTCTTCCATAATCGAAACAAAATAAAAAAAAAATAAACAAATCCTTCCAGTAGCACCTTAGAGACCAACTAAGTTAGTTATTGGTATGAGCTTTCATGTGCATTCACACTTCTTCAGATATCATTAGCCCCAGTAAGCATGGCCAATAGCCAGGGATTATGAGAGTTGTATCAACATCTGGAGATCCTCACACCTGCTGTAGAGAGGAAGATCTAATTTTATATATATTTAGTATATCTCGCTGTTTGGCTGGTAATGTATCACAAAGTTGAAAACCAGGTGTTGCCGAGCCGTAGTCACTAAACATTGATGCATGCAGCTTCCACACCAGCAGACCTCTCGATCCTGTCAAGTTTTCTTCTTCATATTGCTGCTAAGTATTGACAGGAAGAGATAAACCTCAGTGCCCCATAACATACTGCACCACTGAGAGTTCCTGTCCAGAATAAATGGGTGGTGAAGAAGGATGTGACTGGAAGCATCCACCAAGAACGATAAAATGTAGGAAAAATCACTGTGTTCCTGGTGTACTTGCAGACTTCAGCCTTCTCTACCTCTTGAGACGGGAACGCGGGTGGTGCTGTGGGTTAAACCACAGAGCCTAGGACTTGCCGATCAGAAGGTCGGTGGTTTGAATCCCCGTGACAGGGTGAGCTCCCGTTGTTCGGTCCTGGCTCCTGCCAACCTAGCAGTTCGAAAGCATGTCAAAGTGCAAGTAGGTAAATAGGTACCGCTCCGGCGAGAAGGTAAACGGCATTTCCGTGCGCTGCTCTGGTTTGCCAGAAGCAGCTCAGTCATCTGGCCACATGACCTGGAAGCTGTACGCCAGCTCCCTTGGCCAATAAAGTGAGATGAGCATCGCAATCCTAGAGTCGGCCACGACTGGACCTAATGGTCAGGGGTCCCTTTACCTTTACCGCTTGAGAAAGAGTCCAATACCCCAACAGATGAATTTATTCTTTCCATAAAACAGGGTTGGAGCTTAAAGCCCTGCTAGATTTGCATAGTGTACTGCTTAGAAAGCTCTCGATAACTCAGTTAACTCGCTCTTCAACCCTTTGCTCATGAGTTTCCAGCTGACACAACTTTCCCCAGTAGTCAGCTTTCCCCCAGCCAGCATGCTGACCTCCTTTTTAGAAGAAGCTTCTAGAAGTTCCGATTTCAAAAATGGATGGAAGTCACCCATTGCAGAATGCCATCCTTTTCACAAACAGAACCTTCATAGTAAAGTGTATTATTTTGTTTTTTTTACTTTGCGTAAGTATACACTAATATTAGGGAACTCTTTTTTCTTTCGTTAACTTTCTTTTTCAGTTACACTTTTCTCTCTTTATTTATTTGAAGGTCCAGCCTGGGGAGGGAAACAAGGCTGCTTTAGATGACATGAAATCTTTATCTGGAGGTGAACGTTCCTTTTCAACAGTGTGTTTCATCCTTTCTCTGTGGTCTATTGCTGAATCTCCTTTCAGATGCTTGGACGAATTTGATGTCTTTATGGTACAGTTGGCTGAGTTTACTTATTCAGATACTCATTAGACAGATCTCCATAGCTGTTAATCAGTTATCAGTTTTTATTCGGAACATGAAAGAGAATATATTGTGTTTCTTTTTCTTGTGATTTTAGGTGCATAATATTCCCTTAATAGTTCAGTATCTTATATCTAATTCTTTTTGCAAAAAAAGAAAAAGAATCCTTAAACTGAGCGTTTTAAGCATAAATTGAAAAATAAAACCATGAAATGTTCACGTTGCTCTCTTTGAGAGATTTATCAGAGGAAAAGAGTGTATAGCCCTGATGCAATTCGAAATGGGGAGTAATTCCAAAAAGAAAGCTATTTTAAGGACGGCGGGTTTCTTCATTATTGCATATTAGTCTCACAGAAACACGGGGGATAGATTAAGTTGTGACAGTGACTTGTCCATGGTGATCTAGTTTTCTTCACAGCTGAGTGGATCTTTGAACCAAGGTACCCAACACTTTAAATTAATTTATCTGTGAAATGGGTGATCTTGGAATTGGTTTCAAAACCATCATGATTTTACTGTCTGGGCCCTGGTTTAAGAGACAACATTGTATTATTAAATTTGAATAAAATTTATGTATTAAAATATATTGATACATTGCAATTTTTGTTTTTAGGACATGGTTAACAGGCGAATTGCAATGGATATGATGCTTAAGATGGCAGATTCTCAACGTTACCGGCAGTTTGTTTTGCTCACCCCACAGAATATGAGGTGATCCGCTTTTCATATTCAGTATCCATTAAGGTTCTTGAGTTTTTAGAATGTCGGTGGCAGTCATTTTTATATTTACTGTTTGGATTTTTAATAAGTCTTCCGTCCTCCCCATCCCGACCCATTTTTCTGCCTTGCTACTTCAACAAAATCAAATACACATTTCTGGTTCATTTTAATTTGCATCTCAAAGGCTTATTGAATGAGCTGTGTTGTCAACAGGAATACTAAAACTTAAATGAAAAGATAGAAAACAGCTACATTGATACTTTAGAAACTTCTATGATGGAAATAGCTTTAATCAGAAAATAAACGGAAGCCAAAAGACAAGACTATAGAAAAGTGAGGCATAAAATCAGATGCATATATAAATTAAAAAGTGGCGGTGAATTGCAACATTTTCCTTTCCCTGAAGCTTCCATCAGCTGTGTAAGTTTTAAAGAGAAATACCCAGCAGCTTTGAGAGTTCAGAGAATATGGCAGATTGTCTGTTGGTTGAGCTGCGGACACCTGGCTGCAACTTCTCCTGTTTGGAGCTGGTCTGTACTCTTTCCCCTAAACAGGAAACCATATTCTCCTCTTTCTTCCTCTTCTTCCAAAATGTACCTTGCTTAGCAGCAGTAGTAAAGAGGTTCACTGGGTTTCTAGGATGCTCATCAGAAGCTAGCTAGTACTCAAGCCCCTGTTTCTGAATTTCTTCTCCCAGACAAGGCCATTGCATTAGAGGCTGCAGGAATTAATGAGGATCCTTTTCTCCCCACCATTAAGTCTGGGAGGGAGCAAAAAACTATTATCCAGCCTGATCGCAAGATCACAGGAAGTAACCTAACTGGGATATCTAAGGCTTCTGCAGTAAACCAGTGTAGGTGCTAAACTCTCCGGAACAGAAACATTGGTATTCGTTTCTCCTTAATGGTGGATGGTGGAGTGGGGTGGACCACTTAAGATCCACTGGATAAATTCGTCTGAAACAAATACCGTCAAAGGCTCTAACCAGAGCAAATTTCTGCTTCTTCAGTGGATAAGACATCATATTGCAATCAGCATATGCTCAGCTGAGCTGCCTCTGTCTGCTCTCCCACTGTTAGGAACTCTCCATTCCATGGGGCTGGCAATCCCTTTTTGGGTTACAAAATCAGCTGGCTCTTCTGGGTGGCCACCTCCCTAGAGACTGCGCTCTACTCATGGAGTTAAAGACTGGCAGTGATCTACCCCCTTTTGGGGGGTTCAGGTCTAATTTTTTTATGAAGAAAAAAGACCCTTTTTTGGGGTGCAGGGCAAAAATGTTGAGGTTTTTTTTTAGGAGTGCCAAGCTTGTTGAGCTTCTTTGGGGGGAGCCAGTGATCTACCAGTAAGTCACGATCTACTTGTTTGGCCTGCCTGTTAGAACTTGTTGCATTTTCAAATGCTACCCATATAGAGGGACAGCAAATTACCAAGCGCTGCCTCTATCTAAAGTATCTCTCACAGATGTTTGTCTTCATTAAATGGCATATTCAAAACTAAGAATTTCCATGATACAAGTGAAAGAATCATGCTTGAGTGCGCTGCTATTAACTTGCCCTTATGATTTGTATTTAGCACCTTGCCCACGAGTCGTCTCATTCGAATCCTTCGAATGCAAGACCCCGAGAGGGGACAGAACAAGCTGACTTTCCGTCGTAGAGGTGATGAAGATGAGGATGAAGAATGAGTGCCTTAATCATGTACATTGCTCTTTATCAGCTTGCTTTATGTTACATTTGTAGGAATTTAAGATCTCAGTTCAGCGTGTGCTCATGCCCTGCTGAAATCAATGAGACTCGTGCCTTTAATTATGTCCGTAAGATGCATTTGTGAGCTTGTGCCTTTTGTTCTTACTGCAGCTTGCAACACCCAGCATCAAAAGTAGAGTTTATACTTGGGAGCATCAAAAAGCATTTTGGCGATGGAAATGCTGCAATATACATGCCATCTCTTGTACATCTGGCTCCTCCGCATTGCAGTCACTTTTTGTTAGAATAGAAATAGATTACTTGGGGAACGACAGACATGGTACTATTATTTTTGCTCTTTTTTACAAAATAAAAGTTTGAGAGCGAGTGCGGTGTGAACGCCTTGTATGTTTTTCCTGGCACTAAGAAGTGTTCCCTGTTGCTATTAGACGGCACCGTCTGTGTTGTGGAGATCCCACAATACTGATTTTAAACACAGTTGGGACCAGCAGGACATGATAAGCATAAGGTGGTCAGGGGTGACTGCATCTGTAATTTTGTGTTGCGCTGTGAAACACGCCCCTCCCCCCAAATAGCAGATAGTTTGTGATTGATGCCCCCAGCACTCTCAAAATTCAAAATGTCCAGAGGTTGGCTTGGTGACTTTTGGATTAGACAGCTTCTTGAACACAGAGGAACTGAATGTTTTGTCCAATTTCTAGTTCAGTTGCCTTAACCATCAAATTTTGCAGCATAGATTCCTTAAGAAATGCTATTCTTCAGGGCTTCATAAAACAATACATTTTATGAATATTTCACCCATGTCTGAAATTTTCATTACTGAAAGAAAGATACCGTCTTGATCCTATCAAATTCTTCTTTTGCTTTAAGGAAAGCTGATCTTAATTTCTCACTTCTATCCTTGATGAAATTTATAATCTGGTATTCTCTGCCCTACCCCCACAAAAGTTTTGCACTACTTATAAAAACAGGATTTTTAGCTTAAAAACCAGTTTTGAGGAGGATTGTATATCTTAAAAGTCTCAAATTGACAACATGATACGTTTAACAGATTCTGGGAGAAGAAATGGGGGCAAGCAGGTCACCAGATCTCGATGGGTTGTCAGCCGAGTATTATAAAATTTAGCTGCGTTTAAGACTGATTGATAGAAGAATTCCTAAATCATGAAAGCTCATCTGTCCTCTGAGTGATGTTACGGCATTTAATTTAGTCACAAATAATCTGGAAGCAAGTGAGCAGCAGCGTGGCCCAGCTTGCAGAAAGCAACCAATTATTCAGGATGCTAAGAATCCAAGCAGATTGCCAGAAGCTCCAAGCTGACCTAAAGCACAAATTTTATGCTGGGGAATTAAGAAAGGAACGGGACAAAACTGCCAGGATAATGCTTTTGTATAAATCCATGGTGTAGCATATCTGGAATAAAGTGCAACTCTGACCACATGGGTATCGGCTGTCACAGCTAAATGAAAGCTTTTTGTAAACTGCTTTGTAAAAAAAGCAAAACTCAAGTCGAGTGGTGTATAAATTTTATGAAATAAATAAATAACTAAACAAATCAGGACTGGTGATGGGAGTTGTATTCCAACAGCATATGGAGGGCTGCTGTTTTTGTTGGGTAATGTGATGGTGGCAATGTTTCTGCTGGGTGATGTGAGAGGATGGTGATGGCTGAACATGATGCTAAAGGCTGTGATGACACTTCAAAAATAGGTTGTGGTGAAGCGCCGAGACTCTAGCTGCATGGGAACTTGAATGTGTTAGGGGCTTTGTACAATCTGTCAACTTAAAATCCAGTCTCTCCCCTAAGCCCTTTGATGTTTTTGTGGCTCAGGGATAACTGCTACTTCATATGAACCAGCTGTTTAATCAAAAAGTTTCCTCCCTGGTGCGCCACTTTTGAGTTTTCCAGAAAAACTTGCTTTATTGACACATGCTCCTGCTAATTTCCACAATAAAGCAGCAAAAGTCCCCCTTTGCTGCTTTAGGCAGAATCTTCCTCAACCTGATTTCTGTTCCTTTCTGCCAGGATAAGGCTCCAAACGCATGAAGGTTGGCAGTATTTTCGCCAAGACAGTACGGGCAAGTGGCATTTGTTGTAATAGCAAACGTTTGAGTCTATTGAAGGTTGTGTTCGTTCTCTGATTATTCTGACTTTTTTCCTTCATGGCGTGAATTTATTCCCATGGCATTTTAAGGATTTAAATTATCTACTGCCGCAGGCCACATCTTTAAATTATCTGCTGCTGGCAGCCATTGTGAACCCTGCTTGAAACTCTGGAAGCGTGGTCTATTTTAATTCAGAAGGATTTGTTCCATTGGTAGCAATTTGAAGGCATTTGTTGATAATATTAAGTGCATGGCATAGTTCTTGCACACTGCTTTTATTTAGGGCAATTTTGACAGGTACAATCTCTGGAAAGAATTGCAGACAAGTGATAAAATGTTTTACTTCATAATAGTTGTACTTTGTTCAGTCACTTACTGGAATGGATTTGGGGTGGGCACGAGGATCCCTTCCCTAAAATTGCCCGGTTGTAACTCACAGATTCCTTTTACAGCTTTAAATCTGCAGCTGGGAGAGAAGGTAATTGCAGCTTCTTCTGCCCACCCACCTGACATCTCATCTGACAGTAACTGGTAAATTTTATTTTCCAATTTTCATTTTAACAATAATCACAGTACATACTCAATTCGACTCCCCTTCTGTGGTTTCATATAAAATCATTTCCAAAACTGCATCTCCCACTTCTACTTAATTACTCTCTACTTTTAAATTAACCTTTTAATTGCTTGTTTTTAGATTAATGCTGCCAGTGTGTTTAGTTGTTTACTGTCTTTGAGACAGTCCACAAATTTCCCCCATTCTTTGTTGAAAATTCTTTCTTCTTGATTCCTTAGTCTTCCCATTAATTTTGCCAGTTCTGCATAGTCCGTTAACTTTATCGGCCGTTCTTCCTTGGTTGGGACAGTTCCTTCTTTCCCTCTCTGTGCAAAAAGCATTCTGGCAGCCATTGCTTGCATACATAATCAGTTTTTTGTGGTCTTTTGGTCTCCTGCTCTATTATTCCTAATAGAAAGTCTTCTGGTTCTTCGGTAGTAATTACCTTTAACTCCTTGCCCCCAGCTCATTATAAATCGTTTCCCAGAAGTCTTTGACTTTCTTACAAATGATGAAATGTACCCATCTGACAGTAACTGGTGAGGAAGATTTCATTTGTTAGATTGTGTTGGCTGTCTGAAGCTAGCTGTCTCACATTGGCCAAATTAATGATAAGTTGGTTCCCTGTGACCTTGAATGTGGGGTTTGCTTATTGCATGTATATTCCACCTGTCCTTCAAAGAACTTAAGGAGGCATACATTGTTCTTTGTGTGCATCTCTCCCCCGTCCCATTTTTTTTTATCCTAACAGCTCTGCGAGATAGGTCCCAATAAGCTTTATGACTGAGGATGTGAACCCTAGTCTTCCAGGTTCTTGTCCAGAACCCTTTAACTACACTGTACTAGCTTTTAAAACAAAAAATGGCAATGTAAGAGATTCTTGTTTGGGTTAAAATCCTAGTGTGGTGGCTGGGTCTGGGTAAGAGGGCTGGAATTGGGCTGCCTGTGTGCTAGCAATGGTGAATCTCCCATTTGCTTCAGTGTGAAATTAAACTGTGTTAGTGCCCTCTATTGAAATTTTGGGTCTTGCCATAAGAAGTAAATCACAAAATAACAAAGCATCCACGATGAAAGCTTTGGTTAGGAGTGCTCCGCCATGGGTTTTCTCAGATACATTTTTCTGATGTTGCAGAATCATTCAAAAACTTAAATGATTTTTGTGTGTGTGGTAGTCCTTACCTGGTCCACAGTTCAGCTACTTGCGTTTTATCTAAGTTATCTAGGTTGCAATCCTATAGCATTTTCCTGGGAGTAAATCTTACTGGATTGATTTCTCAGCAGAAATGCACAGGGTTGTTAAAGTTCCTCATACACCTTGAAAGTAACTCAGTGATTTTATTGGAACATAAATGCTGAAGCTTGCAGCCATATGTCTGCTTTCTTGCGTGGGCCCCAAATGCCTCAAAATCCAAATGTTCTACAGACTTCTTTGTGGACTAGTCTATAAATCACAGAAAGCCGCAGTGATGCTCTCTGCCCAAGAAAGACAAGTTATTCATGTAGAAGAAAACAAAGGAGAAGTCAAATGTTATAAATTTATTTCGGGACATTGATTTCAACCTCTTTGGAAGCTTATGAAAACTTCAAGCAGAAATTAATACACTCCCAACAAAACTTTTTTAAACTTCCAGTAAAACAGTATTTTAAATGTGTTTATATATATTTATATTATATATATTTATATGTTAACTTTCAATTTAGGGAACACTTTATAGCAGGGTTAGCTTTTTTAGAAGGTTTCATCATATACTTCATTCTTCTGACATAGCTCTCTCTTTTTTTGTCTGGTTGAAAGGATGCAAATGAGGTAAGAATTAAGGCAAACCTAAAAGTCATGCAAATGAATACATTAATATTCACTGACAGTACAAGCACATGTCTGGACCAGACTCAAGAACTGAGGAGCTTCCCTCTGTCTGTCCACTACATACAGCAGAAGGGTGTCATGTTTGCTAATGAACAGTTTACACTACCATGGGGTTTTCAGTGTCACTAACATTACCCAGTTTAGGAGACATATAACTAGCATCAGTAAAACATGAACAATAAATAGTATATAGTTCATTGCAGCATGGAAGTGCTGCACAGGCATCGGAGGAATAAGACTCATGAAATGACATTGCACACATCATATCGTGGCATTTTTTTTCTTATAATATATACTTTTAAAATTCTGTAGCAATTGACATTCTCATGCACACAAGTGTTTCAAACACAAGAAGCAAGTCCATTGATAGGTAGTCCAAGCAATTTTTTTGTTTGTTTTGTGTGTGTGTGTGTGTGTGTGTGTGTGTGTGTGTGGAAATAGCTGCAAACTGAATGGAACATTTAAATTTCTGTGCAGTCCATGAAAGCATTTTTACATGAGCTCATTTCTGAATGTCACACTGCAGGAGTAATACAATGGAAGGGTCGCTCTTTGCAGCTTCTTTGAATTCATCCAGTGTGATCTGGTCATCATGGTTCTTATCCATCTTGCTGAAAATCTTATCCACTCTTTGCTCCGGTGTGAGGCCATCTTCGTTCATTTTCATCATTATCACAGTGCCCACCATTTTATAAATGGCCTTGAGGAGAGAGAGAGAGAAAAAGAAAAGTTCATAAGGTCCAGCACGATTAGCCTGGCCTTTGAAACACAGAGTCCACTCAGAGGCAAGTCCTGTTGAGTTCAGTGGCACTTATTTACAAGTAAATGGGTATAGCATTGCAACTTAACTTGTAATTGCGCAGTCTTGCACTTTTAAATTTAAAGGATTTCAACTAGAGAGTTAAGCAGGAAACATGAAATGCATTATGTGAGGCTGATCTGCTATACCAACGAGTATTTTCATGTTTGCTACATAGTGTTCATAAGCTAATGAGAATCTTGCATGAGCATCAGCTATTCTGCAACGAAGTTCACAAACCACTAGAGATAATGTCTAGGGGATGCTCAACATTTGGCTTTTGGAAATGGGAAGGCTACAGTGAGAGAACTACTGGGGATGCATCTGCCAGAGAGGGCCGGGAACAGAGAGCAAATTTTGCAGTTACTGCAGAAGCATTTTCTATTTCTCATGGGACTTAATGATATCAGGTATATAGGACAAAATTAAGAAGTCCACTCAGTGACTATGCCCTGCATTTGGCATTGCCAGTTACTGGGGGTCAGACCTGCGCTTACCTTCTTAACCCCACCCTGTGTTAAATTTATTTAGGCTACAACTCTACTCAACTAGAAGGAAGGTCACTAAATTGAATGTCTACTCTGCTTAGGATTGACAGTTTACCCACAAAGGCCCCAAGGGAATTGACATTATAATCATAACCATAAAACTAATCACAGAACGTTGTTTTTTTTTAAAGCTGTTTCTTAGTCACATGTGACAGAATACTGGAAACAGGCTTCCAGTGTTCATTCAGCCTGGATAGGTCAGTTGCTTAGAGCTGATAACGGCAAGGTTGCAGGTTCAATCCCCAGTATGGGACAACTGCACAGTCCTGCATTGCAGAGGGTTGGACTAGATGATCCTTGAGGTCCCTTCCAGCTCTACATTTCTATGATGATGTGTGTAAAATCTCACCTCTATAATTTCCAGCATCTCCACTCTTGTGATTTTTCCATCTCCATCTAAGTCGTACATATTGAAGGCCCAGTTTAGCTTCTGTTCAAAACTGCCCCTTGAGGTGATAGATAGCGCGCAGATAAATTCTCTGAAGTCAATGGTTCCGTCGCCATTCTTATCAAAGGTTCTAAAGGCATGTTGGGCAAACTTTGAAGCATCTCCGTAGGGGAAAAACTGCAAAATTAAACACAAATGAAAGTATTAGGAGGCAATGTAAACCTCTGTATTATTCCCTTTGTGTATTGAAGTATGGTAAGAGCCAGGCCTTAAGCACCCCTAGCCCTACTGGAATATTTGGTTTTTTCAGTGCTTCACTCTCTTGCCCATTAGACACCACTGTAACTCAGCTGACTTCAGTCAAACTATTTCTGAGTCTGTAGCCTTGGGTCCCTTTGAAGATGACATCTTGGCTCTAATTCTATAAAGTGCCGGCAGAATTTATAATATTATAAATCAAACAGAATTAGCTATTTCCAGCTGCTGTCATCTTATGCCAAGAAGCCTGAGACTTATTGGCTTTCATCAGGGCTGCATTTCTCTTTTTTCCTTTCCTTTTGGCCTTACTTATGAATTCTAATAACCATGAAATTGTCCATTTATGAAATGAAGACAAAGTGTGTCTGTCTGACCTTCTGTAGCATTGAATTTCATGGGTGCCTACATATTGGCTATCCAAAGGGAGAACAGAAAGTTATATTTATTCTCCTTTGCCATTTCTGCCTGTCCAGTCTCATTTTGTCCATTCCTTTATATTATGACGACCTGGAGCTATCAAGATATTGCTTAGCCTTGGTAGCACAGCAGGACTAGGAGAGGAGCACAGGATCCTAACACATCTGCACAAAGGCATGGTTTGGCCATCATGACATGCACATCAGGCTGATAGGTCGAACTCCTGCCTCTTTACACATCTTTTAATTACTTGAAAATGAAAGCCACTCCCATATTTGTGATTTTCATTTAAAGCAAACACCTTACGGGTGCCCAATGTTTCTAAGAAGGATGCACTTTGCCATGATGGAAATTATAATTATGAGGGGAAAGGGAGTAGTTTCAATTTCCTCGCGGTTGTTGTCTCTTCTCCTTTCTCTCTCTCTCTCTCTCACACACACACCAGCATATTTTTAAAATTCATACAGTCATACTTTGGGTTGCAAATGTGATCCGTGCAGGAGGCACGTTCGCAACCCACAGTGCCATGTCTGTGCATGTGCGTGACACAATTCGTTGCTTCTGCACATGTGCAAAGTGCAATTTAGCGCTTCTGTACATGCACGAGTGCTGAAACCTGGAAGTAACCTGTTCCGGTACTTCTGGTTCGGCGTGGTCCGTAACCCGAAAATGCGCAATCCGCAGCGTTTGCAACCTGAGGTATGA